GAGACGGAGGGGGTGGCGGAGCGCGGGCGCGCGCGTGGTCGAGGCGACGGCGACGGCGCGCGGGGGGAGGTGACGCGGCGCGCGGAGACGTCGCGGATGAGGGAGCGGGGACGCGTCGAAGGGACGCGCTTCCAAGCGTTTCGTTAAACGGCCATTTTTTATTTTCCATCAGTCAGTCGACCGCGTCGTCGGACCGCTCCGCCGCCGTCGGCTTCTCCGGGGACGCGCAAACCCTCACCCCCATGGGCGACTTACACGCCGGGCACGCGAGCGTGACGCGGTCCGGATCCCCCGTGCTCGTCATCGCCGCGCTGTTCGAGACGCTCGCGGTGTGGAAGTAGTCCAGAACGCACTTCCGGTGGAACGCGTGGTAACACTGCGGGTCGTCCCATCGGTCAGTTGAAAGGGGGGTTCGATCAAATAATAATGTTGAAAGCGAAAGCATACCTGAAGCACCTCGACGCACGCGCCGGTTCGCACGTCGAGCGGGTCCAAGCAAATCGCGCACTCCTCCGACACGTCCCTGTTTACCGCGCGCAGGGCGTCGAACAGCCGCGCGCGCGCGCGGTCCGCGCGCCGCGAGAACACGTAGCGCGACTCGAGCGACGTGGGGTCCTCCGTCGCCGCGGCGGTCGCCGCGGCTGAGGGACGTTCCATGCAAAAAATGTTCATCGGTCAGTTGAAAGGGACCCACGCGATCAAGTGTTGAAACCGAGCGATGATGAATGAAAAACGTTTGCAAAAGTGAACGCACCCGAGTCGACGTCCGCGTCCGCGGCTTCGCCGTCGCGGCCGCGCGGCGGGACGTACTCGACGCCGCCGTCCAAGACGAGCGCGAGCTGGCACAGCAGTCTAACGCGCGTCCACCGTGCGTTTTCGACGTTTTCCAACCCCCCCACGCCGCGCGTCGCCCGCGCGTCCACCAACTCCAGCGCGGTCTCCAAGTACCCGGCGGAGACGAGCCTCAGGGTCGTTCCATACAAGCGAAAGTCGGGGTGGAGTTGAAAGGCGTCAGTTGGAGTTGAAAGGCGTCGCGGTGTGTCGGGATTGAAAGCGAGGGGTGGGCGGAGAGACACGCCGGCAAAAGTCCTTAAGGATCGGCGTTCACCACGCCGACGGGGTCGTATGGGGACCAGTGTATAGAACGCACCGCATTCTCGGCAGCCCTCGCGTCGCGTACGCCGCCGCCGCGTACGCGTGTTCCAACCGCTCCGCCCCCTCCTCGCCGACGTCCTCGCGCGCGTACTGGAGCGCCGCGTCCACCACGTGCGCGATGACGCCCTCGAACGTCCCCGCGGCGTCCTCCCCGATGCCGTCCAGAAACGACGGCGGGTCCGCGTCCGCGTCCGCGTCCGCGTCCGCGTCCGGGTCGTTATTCTTCGCTTCGTCGCTCGAAGGCGGCCGCCGCGTCGCGTCTCGCGCGTCGATCACGTCCTCCGCCCTCGCGCCCGCGCCCGCGCCCGCGTTCATCCTCGCCGCGCGCGCGCACGCGTCCGCGAAGTGAAACAACGCGTCCACCGCGTTCGCGCGCAGGTTCGGATACCCATTTCGCGCGAGCATCGAGAACTGTTCCGCGGCGTCGCGCAGCCGCCACGCGCACTCGCGAAACCACGACGACGCGTCGCCGCCGCGCGCCTGCGGTGAGGGCGATCGATTAGGGTTGTGCGAAAGGTCGGTCAGTCGAGAGGGATCCGGGACCCACCGCGCGATCGAGTGGAGCGTCGTGACCGGGCGATGTGTGATGAGAAACGTGGTTCGTCAGTGCAGTGCAGAGCCGATACCTGAAAGCCGCCCGGCGAGCACAGCACCTTGCCGTGCATCGCGTGCGCGAGCGCGAAGAGATGCAGCACCTGCGCGACGTCGCCCCCCTTCCACCCGCGCGGCGCGGAGATGTCGTTCGCGTGGACGCGCAACCACAGCGGCGGCGGCGCGTCGACGTCGACGTCGTCGTTCGCGGCCGCCTCCGCGCGGCGCGCGCGATCGAGCGCCTCGGCGACGCGGCCGAGCTGGTGCGAGCACTCGGCGAGGTTCACGAGCGCGCTCGCTGTTCGCGCGAACGCGCGAGGGCCGAGCGACTTGTACGCGTCGACCGCGCGGACGCCGTGCATCATAGCGCGCTCGTACAGCGCGACGTGGCGACCGGAGTGCACCTCGCGCTCCGCGCGCTGCATCGCGAGCGTGAACGCGCGCGCGTCGTCGTCCGCGCGCCGCATCGCGACGACCGCGTCGCACTCCTCGCGATGGAGCGCGCGATGCGTGGACTGGCACTCGCGGTCGCAGTACGCGACCGCGAGGCACGCGCCGCATTTCTTGCACGACGCGTCCTGGCTGCCGCAGTTCGCGCACCGGTCGAGCGTCAGCCAGGACGTCGTCATGACGACCGACGACGACGACGACGCGCCGGCGGGGAGACGAATCTGATGAGCGCTGAGGTGCCCACCCGCACCCTCCCGAAAAACTGTTCGCGCGCGTTCATTCAAACAATCACAACGATCCGCGCCTCGCTCCCCGCCCCCCCTTCCACCGCCCGCCCCGGCCGTCATGAGCGTCGACCTGGACGAGTCCTCGACGATCGACCTCGACCCGGACGAGATGATGGGCGCGTACGACGTCCTCGCGCCCGGCGACGCGCACGACGCGCTCTTCGGTGGCGCGCAGCTCGCGCCTGAGAGCGTCATGTTGGACGACGACGACGACGTCTCAGCGGACGACGACGACGTCTCAGCGGACGACGACGACGCGGACGACGTCCGCGCGATGACGACGGGCGCGGATCGACGTGGAGATGATCATGACATCTCCGCGAGGGCCGAGGCTGCCGCGCCGTGCGATCGCGAGACGGGCCCGTGCGAGTGGAACGCGGTGTGCCGCGCGCACGTCGACGACTGGGAGCGCGCGCACGGAGGCGGCGCGGGGAGCTACCTCGCGTGGCTGCGCGCGAACGCGCAGCCGATCCCGGGATGGTTGGAGGGAGGCGCGGTCGGGCAGAGAGGGTCCGGGTCCGTCGACGCGGTCGCGGGCGTCGCGGTGACGGAGGAGCCGCCGGAGGGGGTGATGGACGCGACGACGACGACCGCGACGACGACGACCGCGACGACGACGACGCCGCCGAGTCGCTGGTTTCAGAACGTCGACGACGACGACGACGACGACGACGACGACGAGCGGTACGCGTTCGAGGCGGAGGACGCCGCGGCGACGATCAGGGAGTACGCCGCGAGGGAGGCGATTCGGCACGAGCGAGACGTGCCGATGGCGAAGTTGGCCGCGAGGAAGACGGTCACGGACGCGTTCTTGAAGGCGGCGACGCCGCTCGTCTTCGGCGGGCCCGGCGCGCGAAGCGGCGGCGGCGGCGGCGGCCCGGTCGACGTCGGCTCGCCCGGGAGCGACCTCGGGAAATACGACGACGTCTTGGACGCGTACTACACCGGCGGCGGCGGCGGCGACGACGACGACGACGACGACGCGATGCAGACGGGAAGGGGGGAGAAGCGAAGGGCGGAGGAGGAGGCGTAGGATGGCGGACGACGTCCGCGGCCGGCGGCGTTTGGTTTTGGTTTTCCACGTTTGGTTCCGGAAAGATTAAGATTATTAACAACATCGCTTTTGATTACTCGTCACTCCACCGCGCCGGTTATCCCGTCCAAGAAGAGCCACTTCCCGTCCTCCGCGCCCTTTCGAAACGTGCTCAGCTCCGAGTGATTCTCCTCCGCGCCCTCTTTAAACCCTTTCTGACCGACGACCCTGCACTTGTACTTGAACCCGACCATGTGCTCCTCGGCGTTTTTCCCCGCGCGATCGGTGACGATCTCGAGGCCGTAAAATTTCACCTTTTTGCACGTCATGCGCACGTCCTCCGCGAGCGACGACACCACCTTCCCGCTCTCCGCTTTCGCGCCGTCGCGGAAGATGGGATTCTCCGGGTGCGTGGTCTTGACGACGTACTCGCCCTCGCCCTTGGCGTACGCGGAGAACCGCGACCGCATCAACGTCACGCAGTCGTCCGGGTAGGATTCGTTCTTGTGGAAGGGTTTGCAGCATCGCGCGTACGGCGCTCCCTCCGCGCCGCCGCCGCACGGGCACCGCTCGGACGCGCTCAACTCGGTCGAGGACTTCGACTTGGCGACGACGACGGGCTCGTCCTCCCCGCCCAAGAGCTCCGCGAAGCCTTTCTTCTTCTTCCCGCGCGCGACGACGCCGACGCCGCGTCGACGACGACGGCCGTCGTCGACGCCGCCGTGGTCGTTTCCGTCCCCGCCGCCGCGGCGCGGAGCGACGACGACCGGTCGCGGCGTCGTCGCGTCGCGTCGCGCGCGCGCGAGGTTTGCGTTCGGGCATCGGACGCCCTTCGTCGTCGCGGGGAGGAACGCGCATCGGACGGCGGCCATCGTGCCGCGGCGTGTGGCGTCGCGGCGCTGGGACAGGATCGGGTCGCGCTTTTTCTGATGAGTCATCATCTCGACGCGAGACTGCTCACGCAGTTCGTGAACGTCGGACGCGCCGAACCGGGGGCTTCACTCACTGTCGACGCGTCGCCGCGCGCGCGTCCGCGTCGACGCCGCCCGCCGTCGCGTCGTCGCGATGACCTCGTCGATCGCCCTCGGCGTCGGCGCGCCGCGCGTCGCGGTCGCGAGCGTCGGCGCGCGACGCCGTCGCGCGCGAATCGAGCGCCCGCGAACATTTTCTCCTCCCGGCGCGGTGATCGCTAACAATAATCCGAATCCGAATCCTGCCCCCGCGACGCGGGCGGTATCCGCCGCGCGTTCCCCGCGCGCGATCCCCGGTCGCCGCGGTATCGCCGCGGTCGCGTCGTCATCGAGCGCGGACCTCGACGACGCGGCGGTCACCTCGGACGTGGAAGTAGAACGAAACGATGTCGTCGCGCCGGTGCGACCGCATTCGATCCTCGAGGAGGACGCGTCGTCGTCGTCGTCGTCGCCGCCGCCGCCGCCGCCGCCGCGTCCTTCCCCCCGCCGCCGCCGGAATAAGATCGCGATGATCGCCGCCGGGATCGGCCTCGGGATCGCGAGCGCGTCCGTTCCGATGAACGCGAACGCCGCGCGCGCGAGGAAGGCCCCGGTCGTCGCCGCGGCGGCGGCGGCGGCGTCGCAGTCGTCGCAGTCGTTCTCCCCCAACCTCTTCTCGCTGCCGCCGTCCGCGAGCGAGGCGATCGACAGCGCGAGCAAGAGGGCGCTCGTGGGCGTGAAGGGCTTTCTGGAAAAGTGCGACGAGAACATCAACGACCCGTGGCACGCCGAGGACGTGTGGCTCATATTCGTTTGGCACTGGCTTTCGGACGAGAAGCGAAGGAAAGCGTTCCACGCGTTTTTGCAAAACACGCTCAAGCCCGACGACGAGCCCCCGACGCCGTTCGAGGAGTCGTACTGGCACTTCGTGCACGGGCCCATGAAGGTCATCTTCGCGCTGTGGGTGACGCTGTATATGTTCGACAACCTCGCGTGGATCGGACGTCTGCTCGAGCTCAGCGTCGGTTTACCGCAAATTTTCGTGAATCAGTTCGACCGAGGGATGTACGCGCTCGCCGCCGGATGCATCGCGGGTCTCTCCGCGAACGAGTACTTCCCAAGGGTGCTGCGATCGAAGTTCGGGGTCACGAACACGTCGACCGAGCTTCTTCTCACCAGATTCGCGATGGGCGTCATCACGTTCACGACCGTTCTCGTCGCCGCGTTGCTCTTCGGTCTCCCGCCGAAGTCGTTGCTCGGGTTCGGAGGCATCGGCGGTCTGACGTTCGGTTTAGCCGCGAAGGATCTCATAAGCAACTACCTCGGCGGCGTCATGCTCGCGGTCATGAAGCCGTTCAGCCCCGGAGAGAAAGTTTACCTCATGCCCGTGAACGGACGGTTCCGAGGCACGAACGAGCCGGACGTCGGCGGTTACCTCGTGAAAGAGATCGGGTGGTACCAGACCACGCTCATCCCGAAAGACACGCGTCCGACGACGGTGCCGAACGGTTTCTTTCTCGGCTCGTCCGTGATCAACATATCGCGGCAGACGCAGCGGGTCATCGGCGGGGAGCTCAGGGTGAGGTACGACGACGCGGAGTGCATACCTCGGCTCACGGAGGAGATCGCGGAGTATCTCCGGAATCACCCGGACATCGAGTCGAACTCGCGGCCGATTCGCGTGCACATGCGGACGCTGATGAAGGACGCCTCGGACGGGTCTCTGCGCGTGCGGATCGAGTGTCACTGCAACGTCGTGAAGAAGGACGCGTTTCTGAAGACGCAGCAGGCGATATTCATGGACATCTGGGCGATTCAGAAGCGGCTCACGACCGGTCCGGCGTGGCCGGTGCTAGTATCCCCGTCGGACTACAATCCGCCGTGGGGAACCGGCGCCGCCGCGGGGGCGGCCGGCCGGTGACAGAAGGTAACGCCGCTGATGCGAGCGTCACCACCACTGCATGGATCATCTGGTTGGTTTTTGTTTTTGGTTGTTATCTTTATTGCATCGTAGGCACGCCCGACGCGCTCGCTCGCTCGCGACGATCGACCTCTCGTTCGATCGCGTCACGTGAACACGCGCATGGCGTCCCCGACGACGACCGCCCCCGGACCGCCCGCGCGCGCCTCCAGCGTCAACCCGCACGCCTCCCCGACCGCTCTCAACGCGTCCGCCGCGGCCGCGCCGTCGAACCCGCCCCCGAACCCCGGCCCCGATCCGACGCCGCCGCCGCTCGGCGCGGGCATCGCGACGACGCGACACGGCGTCCCCGCGAGCTCACACCGCGCGGCGACGGCGGCGCCGAGACCCGACAGCAGCGCGCCGCACGGCAGCGGACGCGGACGCGGACTTGGACGCGTCGCGTCCGTCGAGGTTCCGTCATCCGTTATCCGTCTTCCGTCTTTTAATTCCTCTCCCCGCGCGGTCGCCGTCCCGTCCAGCGCGTACGCCTCGCGGCGTCCGTCCGCGCCGTAATCGACGTCGTGCTCGTCCACCGCGCAGAGGACCACGACCTTCGCCGGCGCGGCGTCCGCGAAGACGCGCGTCGCCCATTCGCGCTGGTCGTCGATCGGGACGTCGACGCGCGCACAGACGAGGACGACGCCGCCCGCCACGTCTTCTTTTACTTTTTCTTTTTCTCCGCCGCCTGATGACGGATGTCCGCCCCCCGCGCCAACGCGCGCGCCCGCGACGCCGACGTCGTAGACGACCGTCGTCGGGTCCGTCGGAGACGGCGACGCGGCGAGCCCGCGCGCGCTGACCGCGGACGTCGTGATCGCGCCCAGAGGTTTGAGGTCGAGGTCGATCGCCGCGGCGCCGTCGCGCTCGACGAGTCGGCACGCGAGCGGGCCCGCGGCGACGAGGAGGACGTTCGGTCGCAGCGCGCCCGCGGACGCGATCTTCGCGCGCGCGGACGCGTTCCACTGCGGGAGCGCGGGTCGCGGAGCGACGGCGTCGGGTCAGCGCGCGGAGTGGAGTGGCGGAAGAGATGGCGTCGCGGGCGGCGCGAGGGAGGGAGGGAGGGAGGGAGGGACGGCGGACGGCGAGGCTGTCGGGACGCGGAGGGAGAGGCGGCGACGCGAGGATCGGATCAGATCGGGATCGCACCAGCGCGAAGACCCTCGGGTGGTCCCCGGCCGCGGCTCGCGCTCTCTCCGCCCTCGCCTCCGCGTCCTCGTCGGCTTCGACGCGCGAGACGATGTCCTCCTCGAGGGGGGAGAAGAAGTCGCCCATGCTGCCTTCGCGCGCGAGGATCTGGCCGACGGATCTAGCGGACGCGACGTTGAAAAAATTTCTTCAGACGCTGCGCTGAGGTTTTCGAAACCATCGAGACGTACCCGCCGGCCACACGCGCCGGCGCGCGGCAGCCGCGTTCGGTCCTTCGATCCCCCCCGCACTGCCGGTCGACGCGCGATACCGATGTCCGCGTTCCTCCCCAACCGCGGCGGCTTCTTCGGCCTCGGACGCGGTCCGTCGCGCTCGTCGTCGTCCTCGCGTCAACAGCGTCGTCGGATCGCCGCCGAGCGTCCGTCGCGCGCGCTCGTCGCCGTCGCCGCCGCCGCGTCCGGCGGCGCGGCCGCGTCCGCGACGAGCCCCGCGCTCGCGCGACGCGTCCTCCTCGCGTCCACCGCGGCGGTCGCGCCCGCGTTTCTCGCCGCGCGGGTCGCGCACGCGAAGAAGCAGCCCAAGAGTCGCGCGGGCGGATCCTCCGACGGATCAACCGGCGGCGTCTCGGTGCCGAAACCCATCACGAAGCTGAGCCTCGACGGCCGCCGCCTCGTCGCCGTCGGCGACGTCCACGGCGACTTCCCCCAGGCGATGAAAGCGCTCGAGTGCGCGAAGGTCATGGACAAGACGGGCAAGTGGTGCGGCGGGGACACTGTCGTCGTGCAGGTGGGGGACATCCTCGACCGCGGGGATAACGAGCTCGCCATTATGCGAAAGTTTCGCGCGCTCGCCAAGGACGCGAGAGCTGCGGGCGGCGATTTCATCGTCATCAACGGCAACCACGAGATCATGAACGTCCTGGGCGACTTCCGGTACGTCACCAAAGGCGCGTACGGCGAGTGCGCGAGGTACACGGAGAAGAAACGCCTCGCGCAGATCGCCAAGCTCGGCGAGGAGAACGTCGAGCCGCCGCCGGAGACGCCCGAAGGGGTCAACCCGCAGACGTACGCCGGTCTCCTCGCTCGCCGCGCGCTCTTTCTCCCGGGCGGCGAGATGGCGGTCAAGATGGCGTCCAACCCCACGGTGCTGCAGGTGGACGATACCGTCTTCGCGCACGCGGGGATCGACGAGAGCCACGTGGAGTACGGGTTCGCGCGCATCAACGCCGAGGTGTCGCAATGGATGGCGGGCTCGCGCGCGCAGCCGCCGAAACACGTCTTGGAGGAAAAGGGCGTGGTGTGGACCAGGGAGTACGGCGGCGCGGACGCGGGGCAGACGAGCGAAGCCGCGGCGTGTCGACGGTTAGAGAAGGCGTTAGACGCGACGGGGGCGAAGCGGATCGTGATCGGGCACACGCCGCAGCAGAAGGGCGTCAACTCGGGGTGCGGCGGGAAGGTGTGGCGCGCCGACGTCGGCGCGTCGCGGGGGATCTACGGGAACACCCCGCAGGTGATCGAGATCGTGAACGGGCGCGTCCGGGTGTTGTCCGCGTGAGGAGGGAGACGAGGAGGAGGGAGAAGAGAAGATGAGAGAAGAGAACTCTAGAGGGTGCTTGGGTTGACATATTATCGTCGTATTACGAACGCGAACACCTCGCCGAGGAGGGAGAAGAGAAGATGAGAGAAGAGAACTCTAGAGGGTGCTTGGGTTGACATATTATCGTCGTATTACGAACGCGAACACCTCGCCGCGCGGTCGGCGAGTCATCAGTCGTCGTCGGCGGCGCGTTTCGCCGACGAGCGTTTCTTCTTTTTCTTCTCGCCGCCGCTCTCCTTCTTCGCTTCCCTTCCGACGTCCTCGTCGTCTAAGACGTCGTTGTTCTTCCACACGCCCTTGACGTCCTCGTCGTCCTCGTCGTCGCCGCCGCCGTCGTCGCCCTCCGCGCCTTCTTTCAGGTGCGCCTCGAGCATCCCCAACCCGGCGAGGTTAAACCCGAACACGTCCCTGATTTCCTCCGCGCGCTTCCGTAACAGCGGCCGTACTTTCAGTAACACCCCTCGCGCGGCCGACGTGGCACCGAGCTGGACGTAGTGTAACCGCACGATGAGCGCGGCGAGGCGACACGTCAGCTCGATATTCTCGCCGGCGTGTAACCACCCGGCGAGGTAGTCCAGCAGCGCGAGCGCGCTCGAAAACGGCAACGCGAGAATCGCCTGCTCTAAATCCGCCGCGCGCACCTTCTCGATCGCCGCGAGCGCGTACCGCTCCGGGGTTTGACCCATGAGCAGCGGGTTCGGCATGAGCCCGGGCGGATACACGTCCGTGCCTTTCAACCCGAGCGCGTTCGCGTTACCAAGGACGACCGCGTCCGCGACGGCGTCGCCGTCGTCCCTCTCCTCCCCAAAAGTCTCCGCGTTCGCCGCGCGAAGTTCGTCGTCGTCGCTAAAGTCCTCGGGCTCGAACGACGGAAAGTCGCCGCCGCCTCCCTCGATCTCGTCCGCCTCATCGCCGTCGTCCTCGCCGTCGTCCTCGTCGTCATCGCCGTCGTCGGCGCGCTTCCGCCGTCGCACCTCCGCGTCGATGCGCTCGCGCTCGTGCCCGGCGACGTCCAACGCGTCGACGATGGCATCCGCCGCGCTCAACGTCTCGAGCGTCTTCCGACCCGCCATCCCCGCCTCCGCGCCCGCGGGGGCTGAAGCGCCGCGCGCCGCCGCGCGCTCGCGCGCCGCCGCCGCGACGCGGTCGTCGTCGTCGTCGTCGTCCGCGCCGTTTCCGCCGCCCTCTTCCAGAAGCGACTCCAACCGCCGTTCCTTCTCCTCGTCCACGAAGAACGGCTCGTCCGTCCTCTCCCAGACTCGAATCGCGCGATCGTGTCCGGCGGTGACGCAAAAGTCGCCCCGCGCGCTCACCGCGACGCACCACGCCTCGCCGTGATGCCCCTGGAGCGTGAGCAGCGGCTCGAACTTGTCCGCGTCCCAGTACTTCACCGCGCGGTCCTTACCGGTGCTGAACATGTAGTGCGTCTTCGGCACGAACGCGATGGCCGTCACCGAGTCCCCGTGCGCGAACACCGACTTGTGGCAGTCGCCGAAATCCATGCCCCATATGCGTATGTTCTTGTCCGCGCCCCCGGACGCGAGCAGCGCGCCGTCGTCGCTGACGTCGTGGCACAGCGCGGGGAGACGGTGCCCGTACAGCGACAGGAAAAACTTGAGCGTGTCGACGAAAAAAACCTTCAGGGTGTTGTCCAGCAGCGACACGGACAGGAGCTTCCCGTCCTTCGTCACGCGCACGGAGAGCACGTCCTCGCTCATCTGCAGCGTTCGAACGTGCGCGACGCCGAGCTCGCGACGCCCCGGCCCCGCGCCGGGCGCGACGCCGTCGCCGTCGCCGCCGGTCTCTCCGTCGTCGTCGTCGTCGACGTCGACGAGACGCCACTCCCAAAACTTGACCGTCTTGTCCGCCGAGCAGCTCACGAACCCGCTGCCGTCCGGGAGCGTCGACACGCCCCACACCGCGCCCTCGTGCGCGTCCGGCGCGCCTCTCAACCGCGCGCCCGCCTGCACGTCCACGAGCTCTAACGCGCCGGACTTTGTCCCGACGACGACGTGCCTTCCCGCGGGCGCGAACGCGACGCACAGCCCGTACCCTCCGTCCACGGACCGAAGGCACGCGCCGCGGCTCGGGTCCCACACCTTCGCGCCCTTCGCGGAGCAGCTCACGAGCGTCGCGTCGTCGGACGACAGCGCGACCGCGCGGATATCCGAGCGATGCCCCGCAGCCTCGAGCGCGCGCGATCTCGTCGGCTCGGCGAACTTGGAGGCGGACGCCGTCGCCGCGTCGTTCGCGGCGGCGTCGTCCGCCGCCTCCAGCTCCCACTCCTCCACGGCGTTGTTATCGAGCAGCACCGCGACGACGGCGCGGACGCCAGGGCGACCGCGGCGCGATCTCGGCGCGAACGCGAACCCCCTGGTCTTCGCCTTCGTGCGCACGACCGCCGCGAGCTCGAGCTCGTCCGCGGCGACGTTTTCGTTTTCGTTCGCGTCGTCGTCGCCGCCGCCGCCGTCGCGACCCTTCTCGCGCTTGCGCTTCGCCTTCCTCTTGCGCCGCTTCGCCATCTCCGCGTCGTTTCGCACGCGGTACATCTCCACCGCGCGACCGACGGTCTGGACGCCGAGGAGTTCGCCGTCGTCGTCGAATCGCACGAGCGACGCGCGCGACTTGTCCGCGCGCGGTAGGTGCCCCATCGGCGTCAACGTCCTGGACGCGTCCTCGATGCTCGACGCGATCTGCTCGCGCGTCAGCGGCGCCTTAGGTTCGTTCCTATTCGCGGCCGCGGTCTCGGTCTCGGTCTCGGCGGCGACGAGGTCGGTGTTCTCGTCGGAGTCCGAGCCCTTCGGAGTCGGCGTGCTTTTTCCGCCGGCGACGGCGAAGAGGTGGAGCCGGTCGTCCGAGGTCCCGACCGCGAGCCTCGCGCCTCGCGCGTCCACGTCCAGCGACCACGCCTCCGCGCCCAGCGCGGAGACCGTCTGCGCGCAGTGCTGCGTGTCGAGATCCCACACGCGCACGGTCGCGTCTTTGCTGCACGTCACGAGCCGCCGCCCCGAGGCGGACGCGCCTCGTGTGTCGGCATTATTGTCGCCGTCGACGAAACACGCGTCCGTGACTTGCCCCTTGTGCCCTCTGAGGCGGCACAGACCCGCCTCCGCGACGACGTCCCACACGACGACGTTCGTGTCCTTCCCGCCGGACACGAGCAGGGAGCCGTCGCGCGAAAACCGCAGCGCGGTGACCTCGCTCTTGTGCCCTTTCAAGAGGACGTCCGTGCTGCCGTCCACGAGATTCCACAGGCGGATCGATCCGTCGCTCGCGCCCGCGGCGACGACGTCGCTCCCCGGCGCGCGCGCGATGCGCGTCACCGCGGGAAGCGCGCCGCTCTCGCGCGGCGGCGGGACGAGCGAGCTCGCGAGGATGCCGCGTCGGACGTCCCACACCGCGAGACGCTCGAGCGCGGCGCAGACGAGATTCTTACCGCCGGCGTCGTACACGGGAGCGCAGTCCGGGGACGCAACGACGCCGAACGAGCGCGCTTGCTCGTAGCGAAGGTACGCCTTCACCATGACGCGCGGACGAGAGGATTGATGAGAAGGAAGCGGGCCGGCGCCTTCCGCTCTCGCGCGCGTCGCGTCTCGGTCGCGCGCGACGCTTGTGGGGGGCGGTCGTCGGCGCGGATCGCCGAAAAAGCCGCCGCCGCCGCGCGGGCGCGGCGGCTCCGACCTTCTGACGATGACGAGTGATGTGACGGAGTGAGAAAAGACGCGAATAATGAGACGAGGCGAACGCGAGCGTCTGTTACACTAACTACGCGTCGCGGCGGTCAAAAGAACCCGCTCTTGCGGCGGTTCCCGCCCCCCTTCCCCTGCTTACCCCCCCCGAGCCCGCCGTTCCCTCTCGCGCTCTTCGCGGGCGCGCTCCCCGGCGCCGCGCGCGCCGCCATTCCCGCGGCGGCGGCGGCGTGAATCGGCCGCAGCAGACCCTTCTTCGGCGTCGACGACAGCAGCGATCTCAAGCTCGCGCCCTTGACCGGGTTCGGCGGCCCCGTGGGCGTGTGCCGCGTGTTCCGCTTCAAGTTCCACGCCACGCGCTTGGACGGCGACGGCGACGCCATCGCCGCGGCCGACCCGGACACGGACCCGCCGCCGAACAAGCCGCCGACGGCGCCGACGGCTCTTCGGGCGAGCGCCGACGCGCCGCCGCCGCCGCCGTGGCCGTGCTTCGAGTTCGACGCCGGCGCGGGGGATCCGACGGCGGCAGCCCAGCGCTCAGCCTTGCGCAGCGCCTTTCTCTCCGCGGCGGCGGTCGCGGCGGCGATCGCGGCTTCTCCGCCGTCGCCGTCGGATTCGCTTCCGCTGACGTCGCCCTCCGACTCCTCCTCGCTCGACTCGTCCTGGTCCGAGGTGTCGTCCATGGAGTCCTCCTCGGAGTCGTCGTCGTCCTCCTCCTCCTCCTCCTCCTCCTCGTCCTCAACCTCCTCGCCGACGTCGACGTCCATGCCGTCGTCCTCGAACTCGTCCGCTTCTTCGAACTCGTCGAGCTCTTCTTCTTCTTCTTCTTCCGAGTCCGAGTCCGAGTCGGAGTCGTCCGTGGCGTCTTCGTCGTCGTCTTTCGCTCCGAGTCGACGCGTGGACGGGGCACTTTCGGGTTCTTCTTCCTCGTCGTCCTCGTCCATCTCGTCGTCGTCGTCATCGTCCTCCTCGTCGTCTTCCTCGTCGTCGTCCTCTCCGTCGGCGGTGTGGAAGCTGTCGTCCGCCTCCGCCTCCGCCGCCGCCTCCTCCTCGGACTCCTCCTCCTCCTCCTCCTCGGACGCATCCTCCTCCTCCTCGGACGCCTCGGACTCCTCCTCCTCCTCCTCGGATTCCTCCATCGCGACGACCTTGTTCTTCTGCTTCTTCTCCACCACCCCCTCCGCGACGACGGCGCTCCCTCCCGCAGCCTTCTCCTCCGCCGCCGCCTTCGCGACTCGCGCGGCTCTCTTAAACATCGTGTGCAACGCGTATAAACTCTCCCGCTGCAAATCCCCGACGTCCGGCTCCGCGCCGACGTCGATGAATTCCCGCGACATCTTCCTCAGAGTCTCCGCGTCCAGGCACACCATGATCGCGGCCGCGCACTCCGCGCGGTCGTCCTCGTCCGACGCCGGGTCGTCCATCATCCGCGTCGCGACGCCGCCGTCCGCGCCCTCGAGCGCGGCTTCGAAAACCTCGGACACGACGCGCTCGTGCAGCGCCCTGTGCGCGTCCACCGCGAGGACCGCGCTGAACGGCGCGAGCAAGAGCGCGACGGAGGACGGCGGCACCGGTTTCGGGTCGCGCTTCTTCGGGCCTAAGTCCTTCTTCGCGTCCTTCGTTTTCTTATCCTTCGACTTGGTGTCCGGCCGCTTTTCCCTGCCGAACGCGCCGGGGACGCCCTTCTTCTCTGTCGGCTTCTTCCCGCCTCGAAACACCGTGATCGGCGCGCCGCCGTTCCCTTCGTTCTCCTTCTCCGGGTCGCACCCGACCTCGACGTAGTCCTGCCCCGCGGCCACCTTGCGCAACTCCGGCACGAAAACCTCCGCGAGGTGCAGGCGCAGGCCGACGTCGACGACGCCGCGTTCGCTCGGCGCGTTTGGCGCCGACGCCGGCGCCATCGCCGCGCGCGTAAACATCTGCGACACGTCCGACGTCGCGCCCTCCGCCCAGTCGCGGTTCGCGCAGTACCTGAGCGCGTGCGACGTCATGCGACGCACGAGCCGTAGGTACTTGTCCATCCGGTGACGATCGATCCCGATCCACTCCCTTCGCGCGGTGATGTAAAACACGCCGAGGTAACACAGCGCGACTTTGTGCTTCATCTCGTGCACGGCCTCGCCCATGCGCTCGGCGAGCTCCTCCTGGACGTCCCACCCGTCCGCGTGCCACATCGCGTAGAAGAGACCTTTCCATATCTTCTTCATGTCGAGCATCGGGACGTCTTTCCTCGCGTTCAACCACTTCGCGAGCGCCGCGAACGTCGCGTCGCGCACCTCCTTGTCCCCGCTCGCGAGCTGCCGCGCGAACGGATTCGCGCCGTTCGACGACGACGACGCGCCCGCGCCGCCGCCGCCGTCCTTCGGGAGCTTGGGGACGTACGGCGTCGCGCGCTTCGGCTTGTTGATCTCAGGCGCGGGCCCGGGGAACTTCTTCGCGGTCCCGGACATGTTCCGCTCCTGCTGGACGTGCGACTTGACGCGGATCTTCCCCATCGCGACCTCCGCGACGGCGACGGCGACGCGAAGTATTGGCGGCGGACGAAGGATGCGCGATCGATCGACGGCGCGACGCGAACGCCGCGCGCGATCGACGACCCGCGAGCGATGCGCGCCGCCGCGCGACGCGCGTCTCTCGCCTTTGCGGAGGAGGAGGACGCGCGCCGGGACGACTCGCGGACGACTCGCGCCGCGTGGGTCGCGCGCGAGGGCGATGTGGCGAACGGCAATGCATTCGTTCGCCGCCGCCGTTGCCCACTTTTCATCGGCGCATTGACCCGTGAGGCCGACCGACCGCGCATTGTCGTCTCGAGCTCTCGACACCCGTCGACGCCACGTCGCGATGATAACGACGCGCACGCTCGACGCGCGCGATGTCCGCCGCTCACGCGACCGTCACCGCGTCGACGTCCGCGCCGTCGTCGCGGCGTCTCACCGCTCGCGCGGCGACGGCGGCGTCGCGTCCTCTCGCTCGACAGAGCGCGAGCGCGAGCGCGAGCGCGTCGTCGCGTCGTCGTCGTCGTCATCATCACCATCACCTGCTTCACCACCACCGCGATCGCGCCTCCTCGCTGCGTTGCGACGCGAAGAAGAAGGGCCTGTTCGACGAGATGCTCGACGTCATGGAGGGCGGCCCGAAGCTCCGCAGATGGTACGGCTCGGACTCCTCCGTGGGCGCGCCCGGGGAGGAGCGCGTCGAGAGAAAGGCCCCGTCCTCGGACGTCGCGGACGCCGACGCGCGCGCGTCAGGATCCATTGGCTTCGACGAGGCGACGCTGCGCGCGTTCGACGCCAAGCCTCGTCGCTCCGTCCTCGTCGCCGGCGCCGACACCGCGCTCGGCGAGGCCGTCGTCATGCAGCTCATCGTCGCGAAGCAAGACGTCGTCGTCCTCGGCATCGCGCCCGAGCTCGCCGCGACGCGGTTCGGGCCGTACGTCACCGCGGCGCCCGCGGAGATGGCCGTCGACGACGCCGACGCGATGACCGCGGCGCTGCGACGAGGCGCGCGATGCGTCGTGTGCGTCTCGAAAGTGGGCGCGCTCCCGACTGCGGTCGCGAGGGACGACAAGGTGAAGCACGTGGTGCTGGTGTCCTCCGCGGCGAAGGGCGCTGGTGTCCTCGACGGCGTGATCGGCGGGCTGTTCGGGGACGAGGAGGCGACGCGGCGGGACCGCACGCGCGAGGACGCGTTCGCCGCGAGCTGTGTTGAATCGAAGACGCCGCTGACGATCGTTCGCGCCGGGAAGACGCGCGCGTCGCCGGGGGGGAAGCAGCCGATCGCGTTCACGCAGAGCGGCGGGGAGGTGGGCGAGCTGAGCCTGGAGGACCTCGCGGAGGTGACGGTGCGGTGTTTGGGCGCGCCGCCGAAGCCGGGGGACGTGTTGACGTTCGAGGCGGCGAACGCGCCCGGCGCGGCTGGCGAGAGGCGAAAGTGGAAGGAACTCTTCGCGTCGCTGAGCTGAAGCGGCTTCTGACGCGATCGTGAACGATTGACTTTAACCCTACTGATGACTGTATGAACCGTTTCGTTTTAACCGTGGATCGTAACGTATCGACCCCGCTTTGATCGCCCTCGCTTCAGTACCACCCCCCCGGGAACGTCCGCTGCAAGTTCCCGCCCATGAGCAACGCCTTCTCCTCCGGCGTCACGCCGGCGCCGCAGTTTTCCAGAATCGTCGCCGCCTCGGCGTACCCGCACTCCCGCGTCACGTACGGGAAATCGCTCCCCCACAACACGCGCTCCACGCCGAACGCGTCGATGAGCTGCCGCAGCTGCGCGCCCGTCGTCGGGTACGGCCACTCTTTGTCCTCGTCGCTCGCGTCGAGCGGCAGCACGCGGAACTGCGCGCTCGCCTTGACGCCCACCTGCGGGAATTTCGCGAGCTCCAACAGCGCCTTCCAGTTCGGATCGTCGACGCCCTTGCAGAACCCGAAGTGGTCGATCATCACCGGCGTCCGCGGCGACGCGCGCATGAGCTCCTTGATGTCCTCGACGTGCAGGTGCAAGCCGTGGAAGCACATAAATCCGACCGGCGCTCTCCGCTCGCCGCACAGCTCGAACATCGCTACCCCGACCTCGTCCGTCATGCGAGCTCCCTCAGGGTCGTTCCATACAAGGCGATGGCGGGGTGGTGTTCATAGGCGTCAGATGGAGTTGAAAGGCGTCGAGGGCGGGGATTGAAAGCGGGGGGTGGGCGCAGAGACACGCCGGCAAAAGTCCTTAAGGATCGGCGTTCACCACGCCGACGCGGTCGTATGGGGACCAGTGTATAGAACGCACCTCCGGCCACAGCCCCGGGTTGAACCGCACCGCGCGGTACGTCCCCGTCGACGCGTTCCCCGGCGCGTCTCCGGCGTGGAGCAGACGCGAGAGGTCGTTCACGCCGGCGATGCCTCGGGTCGGGTCCGCGAGCGCGCACGCGACGAATCGCCCGGGGTACCTTCGGACGACGTCCGCGACGTAGGCGTGGTCGTGGAGGAGGTTGATGGGTTGAACGATGAGCGCGCCGTGGATTCCCGCGTCGTCCATCGCGCTCACGAGCGCCTCCGCGGTCGCGGTCGTCGCGAGCGACGCGGGCGGCTCTTTCCCCTCGACGTACGCGTAGGAGGTAGGGGTGGGCCACACGTGCAGGTGCGCGTCGAGGACGAGCGGCGGCGACGGCGACGGCGCGTCGTTCGGCGGCGTCGTCGCCTTCGACGCCATCGCGGTGACGACCGTCGTCGTCGTCGTCGTGGCTCGGCGCGAGAGGCGTGTCGCGGGCGAGGACGCGCGCGAGGACGCGATCGCGCGGCGGTGGCGGGAGAGGAGGACGCGCGCGCCGTGCCGAGCGAGCGAGGACGCGGAGAGATCAAGCGACGCCGCGAGCATCACGCCGCGGGGCGTCGCGGAGTGCGGCGCGACGGTTCGTGGCGCGGCGGAAGCACGCTGTGACGCTGACGACAATGACGAGCGAGGCTGTGCGCGCGAGCTGATGAACTGAACGAGCCGTTCGAAATCGTGGTCGCGCCCGCGCGCCTCGCCCACACGCCGCGCCGCACGACGCGACCGCGCGCGGGCGTCGCCGCTTCCGTCGCCGTGAGTCCGTCGCGCGAACAGATCGCCCCCGACGCCGTCGTTCGAACGGCGCCTCGCGATCGTCGTCGGGAGCCGCGGCGAGACGAGCGCGCGCGTGCGTCGAGGGGGAAACCACCGAAGCGCGGCGCGAGATCTCCTTCGCGCGATCCTCGGAGAGACAGATGGCGCCGTCCTCGGACGCGCTGTGCGAGATCCGCAGCGCGCTGACGCTCCGCAGCGCGATCGGCGCGGGGAAGAAGCGCGCAGAGCACTCCTTCGAGGCGACGACGCCGATCCAACTCCCCGAGGCTGGACGCGCGATCCCTCCCGCGACGAAGCCGACGCCGGCGACGTTCGCGACGACGGACGCGCCGACGCGCGCGAGAGGATGGCTCGCCGCGGTCTTCCTCGGCGCCGCGTTCCCGCCGTCGCCGCCCGTCGCGGACGGCCTCACCGCGCCCGTGGCGTGGCACGCGCATCAGCCGAGACTCGCGACCGTGGACGGCAGCGGCCGCGTCCTCGTGCACGCGGACCCGGCGGGAATCGATGGGCGCGGCGCCGACGACGACGGCGGCGGCGGCGACGGAAGAAGAAGCCCCAAGAAGACAGCTGCGCCGAGCGTGCTGCGCCACTCGCTGCATCAGGGCGCGCGCGCGCTCGCGTGGCGCCCGATGGCGGGCGCGACGCTCGCCGTCGCGGGCGCGCACGGCGTCTGCGTTTGGTCGCACGAGCCGAGCGAGTGCGGCGGCGGCGGCGGCGCCGTGAGCGGCGTCGCCGGGAGGGGCCGCATCGGCGGCGCGCCCGAGTGGCGGCTGCGGCATCTTCGCGAGGACGCGCCGCTGGAGGACGACGACGCGAACGACCCGTACAAGGCGGCGTCCACGGAGGGTCTCAATCGCGTCTTCGCGTTCGTGAAGCGGATGGTGAAGGTGCCGTCTCTCGCGACGGCGTTGGCGACGCTCAGCCCGGCGTCGGCGTTTTCGAGCGTTTCCAACGGGCGCGGCGCCTCCCGAAACCAAAACAAAAACGCCCGCCGCGGCGCCGTTAACATGTCAAAAGGCGCGTCGTCGTCGTCGTCGTCGTCGTCGTCGTCTCAAGGCCTGTTCGACTCCCCGTTCGGCGGCGGCGTGCTGTACGACACGCTGACGTGGCACCCGCGCGGCGCGCTCCTCGCCGCGGGGAGCGCGGATCGCCGGTACGTCGCCGTCTGGGACGTGGGCACCGGTCGGTGCGCGCGCGTCTCGTCCGGCTTCGCGGGCGTGGCGAAGCTGCTGTGGTCGCCGTGCGGCGGGTACCTGTTCGCGTCGCACCCGCGCGGCGGGTTCACGGTGTGGGAGACGCGAGGGTGGAGCGCCGCGAAGTGGGACACGGGCGGAGAGGACAGACGGGTGACGGCGGCGGCTTGGGGCCGAAGCGGCGACGGCGACGGCGACGGCGACGCCGGCGGCGCGGTGCTCCTGCTCGCCGTCTCCGGCGGCGGCGGCTCGCTCACGGCCGCGCACTTCCCCCCCTCCGGCGCGCCGAGCCTCCTCGCGCAGCTCCTGCCCGTGGACTTGCCGCGGCTGACCGAGACGACTCGAGACGACGGCGGAGCGCCGGCGCGCGACGACGCCGGCGGCGGCGGCGGCGTCGACGTCGCCGACATGACCTGGGACCCGTCTAGCTCGCGGCTCGCCGTCGTCCTCGACGCGTCCGCGCCGCGACGCGACGACGACGGCGGCGCGCGCGAGCCCGGGCGCGTCGCGCTGTACGCGACGACGACGCGGCCCGTGGTGCGCGCGTCGCTGTTGGGATACGTCTCCGCGCCGGGGGTTCGCGACGTCGGGATGCGGCTCGGCGTCGGCGGGCCCGCGCGCGCGGTGGCGATGGCGGGGCCGGGCGGCGGGAGGGGCGGGGGCGGCGGAGACGGCGGGGAGGAGGCGTCGAGCACGCTGGCGGTGTGCTGGGAAGGCGGCGGCGTGAGCGTGTGTCCTTTGTACTTCCCTCGGTGACGACATACAGTAGTATTTTTTGGAGTCGGTACTTCCGTAATAATCGCGACTATCTCGCTATCAGACGCGAAGAGGCTAAAAGTAGTTGGCCAGCCGCACGAGCTCTTGCGGTTTGCACGGCGCGCGGCACATCGGACACTCCGGCTGGTGCGACCTCGCGCACCACGCGGCGACGCAGTGCCAGCAGAAGACGTGCCCGCACGCCGTCGCCGTCGGCGCGCGGTGCGAGGACAGGCACAGCGCGCATTTTTTAATCCCGACGCCGTCGACGCCCTCTTCGCCGCCCCCCGCGGGCGTCGCCGTCAGCGCCGGTTCGTCTTCCACCTCGACGTCGTTCCCGTGCTCGTCCATGATGCGAAACGCCGCGCCGCTCGATCCTCCAGCGGCGCTCGCCGCCGCCGCGGCGGCGGCGGCGGCGGCGGCGGCTAACCGCGCGGCGAGAAACACGCCGAGGACGCCGTACCTCGGCCGTCCCTCCGGGCCTTCCTGCCCGACGAACACGTAACGCACCCCCGCAATCCGTTTCGCAAACGCATAATACGTCCCCCACAGGTAAAACGCCGCGAGATGCGCTCGAGGCAGAAACCCGTCGATCAGCGCCGTCGGATCCTCGTCCGCGCCGTCCGCCCGCGTCGCCGGCGGGTGAAACACCGCCACGGCGGCGTCGTCCGCCGCCCTCGCCGCGCGCCTCAGGGCTCTCGCGAGGAGCGCGCGCGCGTTCGGGGGGGTCCAGGTCCATCGCGCCTCTCTCGCCGCGCCCGACGCGGCCGCCGCCGGCGTGGACGAGGACGAGGGCGAGGGCGACGCCGACGACGCCGCCGCGCGCGCGGTCGCCGCGTCCGCCGCGCGCGATCGGCGCTCGTCCGCGGAGACGTCTCCAGCCCCGCCCTCGTTTTCGTCTCCGTCGTCGTCGTCGTCGTCGTCGTCGTTCTCGCGCCGCGTCGCGACGCGCCGCGCGCGCGCGCGCGCCCTCTTCAACACCACCGGCGCCATCGCCTCCAACAACACGAGCGCGACGCGTCGGAACGAGGACGGCGCCGCGCCGATCGCGTCCGTCTGATGAAGGTCGCAGTACTCCTCCCCGAGCGTCTGCGTCCCGAGCCCGGTAGTGAGCGCGTGGTACCACAGCCGCGCGAGGAGACCGATCTTCTGCTGGTGCCGGACGACGGTTCGCGCGCTCACGAGCCGCCGCGCGGCGTCGAGCATCGCGTCGCGCAGCATCTGGGGCCCAGAGGGGAGGGAGGGATCCACGGGGGAGGAGGGACGTGAGACGAGAGAAGAAGGATCGGATCGATCGATCGCGCGCGCGGACGACGGACGGAGCGAAGGAGGAAAAACCAACAACGCCGAGCCAAGGCGGGCGGGCGGTCGGCTCGGGCGCGGCGCGCACCCGGACGTAGACCTCGTCCTTCTGATGCGCGCGGATGATGTCCGGCTGCGCCGCGGGCGGGAACCCCGCCATGGCGCCGCGGCTCTCCCGCCGCCGCCGCGTCGCGCGCTCTGCTCTGAAATAAGTTCGTTTTCCTAAAAGTTCGTTTTCTCGGACGCGCCGTCGCCACTCGCGATGGGCGGCGACGACGACGCCCCCGCGGCGTCGCCGCCTGAACCGCCGCCGCCTGAACCGCCGCCGCCCATGTCCTCCGCCGACGCCGAGCGCGCGCGATGGCACCCCGCCCTCGACGACCCCGCCCCCCCGCTCGTCGGCGAGTGGAAACGCCCGGCGCACGACGCGAACGCCGCGACGCTCTGCACGTCGCGTCGCGTCCGATGCGACGCCGCCGCGCCGGGCGTCTCGAAGCAGCTCATCCGCGCCGCGGCCCCGGGCGCGCTTTCGCCGCCCGAGGGAAGCACGTGCTACGCGCACTACGAGATGTGGCAGCGCGACGACCCGAGCGCGGAGGTGTGGAGCACGCGACGCGAGTCGGAGCCGCGACAGATCCATCTCTCAGGCGCGTTCTCCTCGCACTGGTCCCCATACGACCGCGTCGGCGTGGTGAACGCCGATCCTTAAGGACTTTACTTCCCGGCGCATCTCTCCGCCCAGGGTCCCTAGCTTTCAATCCCCGCCCTCGACGCCTTTCAACTCCACTTCTGACGCCTATGAACTCCACCCCGACGTCGCTTTGTATGGAACGGCCCTCAGTCAACTACGCGGCGAATCCGCGGTCGCGAGACAGGCACCACGCCGGGATCGCGCGATGCCTCCGCGCGATGCGCGTCGGCGAGCGCGCTCTGTTCCACCTTCCCCCGGAGCTCGCGTACGGCGACGAGGGAAACTTCACGTTCCCCGCGGTGCCGCCGCGGTGCCACGTGATCTGCGACCTCGAGCTCATCGCGGCGCGCGGCTCCGCGGAAGAGCCGGAGACGCTACGCGCGGACATGCTGTTCGAGGAGCGACTGGCGCGCGCGAGCGAGCACCGAAAGCGCGGGAACGTCGCGTTCGGGGAGGGAGGGGACGGGGACGGGGACGAGAAGGAGGCGAAAACGCGCGAAGCGCGCGCGGAGTACGAGATGGCTCTGAGTTTCCTCACGGACGACATGATGATGCAGCTCCCTCCCGGTCCCCACGCGGACGCCGCCGCCGCCGAGAAACTGCCCGCGCACTTGAACCTCTGCGCGTGCTTCTTGAGACTGGGGCGTCACGACGACGCGATCGATCAGGCGAACCGCGCGCTGATCGTCGACCCGAAGTGCGCGAAGGCGTACTTCAGGCGCGGCGAGGCGCGGAAAGCGCTCGGGCGCGACGACGACGCGCGCGCGGATTACGCCGAGGCGAACGAGCTCCGTCGGGGCGCGGGCGACGGCGAGGATCCCGCGATACGCCGCGCGCTCAGGGAGCTCGATCGCGAGGACGCGAAGAGAGCGCGCGCGAGGAAGGAGGTGTTCGGGGGGTTGTTCGGGGCGGGGGCGGGCGCGGGAGGAGGAGACGGCGGCGGCGAAGTCCTTAAGGAACGGCGTTCACCACGCGAACGCGGTCGTATGGGAACCAGTCACGACGGAGAGAAGACGCGCGGGGGGGAGGCGTCGCGGGGAGAGCGCTCGGACGGCGGCGGCGGCGTGTTCGGTCGCATCGCGCTCGCGTTCGGGTTTCGCGGATCTCGCGGCGCGAAGAGATGACGCGTCTGTTTAGCGGCGCGACGTCGGCGCGATGTGGTTGCCGGAGCGACGACGGACCGAAATAAGCTTAGAACGAACGGAACCACAGCACCGAAAGGAACAGAAGCCTTGCGCGTTCTGTTAGTATCCTCGCAGAACATCGACCTCCCGTCCGCCTGCCTCGTCCCCTCCCATCCGCGTCGTATCGCGCTCAGCGCGACACCCCCGCTCCTCCGCCGAGCTCGCAGAAATCCGTCTGCGCGTTGATCCGCCGGAGCGGCGACAGCGGGAGCGCGCACAGCGCGGTCCGCGCGCCGTTCAGACGTTCGAGTCGGTCGACGCAGCGCGACGACGGCGGCGGCGACGACGGCGCGGTCGCCGGCGCGGGCGTTCCGACGCGCGCGCGCGCGCCCTTTCGCGCGCGCCATCGGAGCATCACCGCGAGCAGGACGAGCTGCCACAGGAGCGCGCGCGCGAGGACGTGCATCGCGCGGCGCGGCGCGGTCGAGAGTGCGCGAGCGCCGCGCGGGACGAAGGACCGCCGCCGCCGCCGGTTTCGGTTCGTCCCGTCGTCTTGGACGAAGAGAGCCGTCGAGCCGATCGTGCGTCTCGAGACGACCCGCGGCCGCCGCTTCGTCTTCTCTCGCGCGCGCTGAAGCGGACGCGCGTCCCCGGTCGCATCGCAGAAGACGGCGCGCGCGACGTCGCCTCCCTCCGTCCGTCCGTCCCTCCCTCCCTCCCTTCCGCGCGCTCGCCCGCCATGCCTCGCTTCGCTCCCTCCGCCGCGAAGCAACCCGTCGAGAAGCGCGTGGAGAGACCGAAGGCCCCCACGGGCGCGGAGTCCATGATGAAAGCGCTCGCGGACCGCGGCGTCGAGGCGTGCTTCGCGAACCCGGGCACGACGGAGATGTGGCTCGTGGGCGCGCTCGACGCGGAGCCGCGCGTGCGACCCGTGCTCGGCCTGCACGAGACCGTCTGCGCGGGCGCCGTGGACGGATACGCGCGAATGGCGAGGAAGCCCGCGTGCACGGTGCGATGGGACGGGAGAGACGGCGGGCGGCGCGGGTCGTCGCGCGGCGGCGGCGGCGCGGAAGCGCGTCGACGTCCCGTCCGACCGCGCCCGCTCGTCTTCCTTTCCCGAGTCGTCCGCCCCCGCGCCCCGGTTTTTTTGGTTTTCTCCGTTGCCAAAAGAAACCGCGCGTTTGAGCTCACTCGCTCCTCCGTTCGCCTCTCGTCGTCGTCGTCGTCGTCGTCGTTCGCAGATCCTCCACCTCGGCCCCGGGCTCGCGAACGCGCTCGCGAACCTCCACAACGCGCGCCGCGCCAACGTCCCGGTCCTGAACATCGTCGGCGACATGTCCACGTGGCACCGCGGCGCGGACGCGCTCCTGGAGATGGACGTGGAGGCGCGTTCTATCTCACACTGGTTCCCATACGACCGCGTTCGCGTGGTGAACGCCGATCCTTGAGGCCTTTCGCCGGCGCATCTCTCCGCCCACCCCTCGATTTCAATCCTCGACCGCGTTGCCTCACAACTCCAACTGACGCCTTTGAACTCCACCCCGACGTCGCTTCGTATGGATTGGCCCTCAACGTGGAGGCCCTCGCCGCCGCGGTGTCTTCGCACGTGCACACGTCCACGGTCCCGGGGGCGATGCGATCTGACGCGATCGACGCGCTGAAAGCGACGGATCGATCGGAGACGAACGCCGACGGGAGAGGACGCGTCGCGACGTTGATCGTGCCGCACGACCGGACGTGGGAGAGAACGGGCTCGCTGCTGGCTTCCATCATGGACTCGGACGACGAAGACGACGTCGACGACGCGAAGCGCGCCGCGCCCGCGTCGTACGTCCCGCCCACGCCCGCGCCTCACCCCGCGCCCTCTTCCGTCATCAACGCCGGCGACGACGCGACCGCGTTCGTGACCGCGGCCGTGCACGACGCCGTGCGAGGCGCGCTGGCGCTTAGGTGCGTTCTATACACTGGTCCCCATACGACCCCGTCGGCGTGGTGAACGCCGTTCCTTAAGGACTTTTGCCGGCGTCTCTCTCCGCCCACCCCTCGCTTTCAATCCCCGCCCTCGACGCCTTTCAACTCCGCTTCTGACGCCTGTCAACTCCACCCCGACATTCGCTTGTATGGAACGGCCCTTAGTGCCGACGATCCTCTCCCCGAGGAAGACGCGCCGTTGGCGATGCGACACGGGATGACGTCCTCCCAGGCCGTGCGCCTGCGCGACATCCTCAACGACGCGCTGTGGATCGACTGCGCGCGCCCGGAGATTCGCGCGCGAGATCAGCTGCCGGGCACGCTCGCGTTCGATCATCCGTCGATCGGCGAAATCGTCGCGTTCGCGACGGAAGCGACGGGGGTCGACGCGATCGTCGCCGCCGCAGCCGCGAAGGGTCCGCCGACGTCGGCGCCCGCGCCCGCGCGCGCGCCCGCGTCGTCGACGCCCCGACGCGCGTCGTCGGGGGGGTGGCTCGTCGAGCAGCGCCGCGCGGAAGCGCGCGCGTTCATCGCGCAGTGCGCGGCGGCGCTGATGAAGTGCCAGAAGGGCAAAGCCGCGTTGTACTGCGGCGGCGACGCGCTTCTGTCCGAGGACGTCGCCGAGGGCGGCGCGCTGCGCCTCTGCGGCGAGATCGCTCGCGTCTCCGGCGCGGCATTCCTGTGCGAGAACGCGTTCGCGCGCGTCGACCGCGGCGGCGGGTTGCCGTGCCCTACGCGGTTGCCCTACTTCCCTCAAGACGCCGCGAGGGCTTTGTCGGCGTACGAGCTCGTCGTCACGATGGACGCGCGGCGACCGATCGCGATGTTCGGATACGACGGCGCCGGGCCGTCGCACCTCATCCGCCTCCACGACGACGCGGTGTGGGACCTCGACGTCGGCGACAGCGTGTGCGTCACCGCGCAGATGCTCCTTGACGAGGTGCGAGCCCTCGCGAAGAGAGGCGGTGGAAGGGACCTGGCGCCGAACGTTTCTCAGGATTTCTCGCCGATTTCTCCGCCGTCGCCGCCGACGCACGACGGGCCTCTGACCGCGTCGGCGATGTGTCACATCGTCGCGGCGCTGCAGCCGAAAGACTGCGTCGTCGTCGACGAGTCGCTCACGAGCGGCGCGAGCTACTGGGACCACAGCGCGACGTGCGAGCGGTTCTCGCACCTGACGCTCACGGGCGGCGCGATCGGGTTCGGCCCAGCCGCCGCCGTCGGCGCCGCCGTCGCGTGCCCGGGTCGCAAGATCATCAACATTCAAGCCGACGGCAGCGGGCTGTACTCCGCGCAGGCGCTCTGGACGCAGGCCAAGGAGCGACTGGACGTCGTCACCGTCGTCTGCGCGAACCGCAAGTACGCCATCTTGAAGCTGGAGCACGCGATGCAACGCGTCGGCGCGCCCGGGAAGGCGTCCAAGGCGCGTTCGTCTACAGTACTGTATCCAAACGTGTTTCACCCACCGCCCGGTTTCAACATTTGATCGCATGGGTCCCTTTATTCAACTGACCGGTGAATTTTCTTTGTTTGGCGGAATGGCCAAAAGGCGCTCACCGAACTCGACGACCCCCCCGTGTCGTGGGGGAAGCTCGCGGAGGGTTTCGGCGCGAAGGCGTTCGTCGCCGAGACGATGGGCGAGTTTAAGATCGCGTTCGCGAGGGCGCTGCGGACGCCCGGGCCGGTCGTCATCGAGGCGTCGCTGCAGTGAAGCGAAGCGATTCGGTCGGTCCCGTCGCGAATCGTTTTCATTGTTCAGTTTCATCATCGCGCCGCCGTCTATCACGTCTAAAAGCGGCGCGTTCTAAGAGCAACGCTCGTCCCGAGCGCGCGCGCAGAATCGTTCCCTCCCTCCCTCCATCCCTCCCTCCCTCCCCTCGCGGCAACGTAACGCGCGTCGTCCGTCCCCCGTCACGCGTCCACGAAGTCTTCAATCTCCGCGTCCCCCCCCGAGTCCACGCGCATCCGCCCCATCCCGGCGAGTCCCCCCGCGGGCCCCGCGAGAACGTCCGTCGCCTTCTGCAGGTAATGCTTGTCCTCCATCACCGCCTCCTCCGCGGCGCGGACGCGATTCGCGAGCGTCATCATGTCCTTCATCTCCTCGTCGAGCCGCTCCGCCATCGCCGCGGACGCGTAGCGATCCGCGCCGGCGTCGTGGAATCGCACGACGCCATCCTTTTGGTCGACGCTCGCGGAAACCTCGTTCGACGCGATCATGTCGACGAGGAGCGCCTCCGCGGCGGCCGCGCCGCCCTCGATCTCCGCGTGCTTCGCGACGTCCGCGAGCGACAGCGTCAGGTACGTCTCCGTGAGCCGTTTCACGTCCCTGCGCGTCGAAGACTTCACGACGAGCGCCGCGAGCGCCGCGTCGCCCTCCGCGGCGAACGCCGCCGCGCCGTCCGCCGCGGCTTTCGCGATCTTCTCCGCCCCTGATTCCCCTGATTTTGATCTCTCCTTGCACGCGTCCACGAGCGCGTGATACTCCCCGCACGCCGCCTTCAGATGCCGCTTCACGATCGCGGGGCAGTACTGCGGCAACGGCTCGACCTCGCCGTCCGCGATCAGAGAGCACAACGCGTGCTTCTTGTACGCGGCGACGGCGATCGCGCTCGTCGTCGTCGCCGGCGCCGTCGCCGCGGCGAGCGTCAGCTCCGCCGCGCGCTCGTGCTCGCCCAACCCCGCGAGGACGACGCCGCCGTAGTACGCGTACAGCAAAAAGTCCTCGGGTTTAAGGCCCGTCTCACTCGGGTCGCAGGTCAGGACGCGGTCGTCGAGCAGCGATTTCGCCGCCGAGTGAAATCGCGCGGCGACGCACAGGTGCAACGCCATGCCGTGCTGCGGCGTGAGGTGCTCAGGCGACGGGCGGAGGCGACGAACCGCCGCGAGCATCGGCGCGATCGCGGGCGTCGGGAGCTGCCGCGCGATCGCGATGTCCCTCAGCGCGCCGCACACGGTCGCGAACTTGGACGGGTCGTTGCGCGCCACCTGCGCGCGGTCGAATCGCGTCAGGAGCGTCGTCGCGAGCGCGACGAAGCGACTCGTCTCGTCGTCGTGAACGCGCGACGCGTCGTGCATCGGCGCGGACGACGAATGAGATGCGGCGACGACGGCGTGGAGGAAGTGCGTGTGCGCGAGCGCGTGCGCGTCCGGCGCGAGCGCGCCGGACTCTAGCGCGGACATCGTGGCGTTCGCGTCGGACGACAGCGTCGCGGCGGAGGACTCGAGGAGGGATTGGAGCTCCGCGAGGCCCTCGGGGGAGGACGACAGCGACGCCGCGCTGCTCACGAGCGCTTGCACGTCCGCCATGACGCGCGACGCACCCCGCGTGTGGCGCGCGCGCGCTCGAGTGCGGCGGGGCGCGCGGCGAAGAGCGAGAGCGAGATCTCCGCCGATCCGCGTTTTCGGTCGTCGGCCGAACCGACGCGACCGTTCATCGGTCATCAGTTGAAAGGGGACGCGATCAAATATTGAAACCGAGCGGTGGGTGAATTTCGTTTGTAAAAATCGGAGCTGACGCTGACGCTGACGTGACGCTCAGCCAGGCAGAGTCAACGTCCCCGCCCTCGCGCGATCGCACTTCCCGACGCGCGCCGCACGCGCGCCAGACCCCATTCCCGGCTCGCGCGATCGCGCGAACGACGGCGCGATGACCGCGGCCGACTTAGAAGCCCTGGAGGCTCGCGCGGAGACGCTCGGTTCGTCCCCTCCCGCGGCGTCCGCGTCGTTCGTTCGCAGACGGTTCAAAACGACCCGATCGTCCATCCATCGCCCCCGAAGCGTTCGCGCCGTCCCCGTCCCCGTCCCCGTCCCCGTCCCCGTCCCCGTCCCCGTTCGCGCCGTCCCCGTCCGTCCCTTCGCCGCCGCGCGCGCCGCCGATAAACGCGCTGACCGCCGCCGCCGCCGTCGTTCCGCCCTCCGCGCGCAGTGAATCAACACGACGACGCGTGCGACAAGGCGCAGGTGCGCTCAGCGACGCCCCTTCGGAGGCTGTCCGCGTCGAAGGCGCCGTTCGTTCGACCGCCGCGCGAAAAGTCTTCTTCGCCTTCGTCGCTCGCGCGCCATCACATCGCGTCTGACGCCCGTCCCCTCTCTCGTCCGTGTGCGTCCAGATGAAAGCCGCCGCGGACGCGAAGGCGTCCTTGAAGGTGCTCCTGAACGACGTCGTCGCGGTCGCGAACGATTTGGAAGGCCCGAACCACCCCGCGACGCACCGCGCGCGCGCGTTGTTCACGCGCGGCCGCTTACAAGAGGCGGCGGCGGATCCGTCGACGGACGAAGGCGCGGCGATGTTAACCGCCGCGGAAGAGGCGTTAAAGAAAGCCGCGAAGCTCGACCCCGCGCTCGACGGCGCGTGGAACTGCCTGGGGCAGCTGTTCTGGAAGAAAGGGAACCTCGAGGGCGCGAAGAATTGCTACCGAGCCGTGCTCGCGCGCGGGCCGAACAAAAAGACGCATCAGGCGATGTCGATGCTATCGCGAGCGCTCGCGAAGTCGAAGGCGAAGCCCGGGTCGGAGGAACAGAAGCAGCTCGTCGCGGAGAGCATGGACCACGCCAAGGAAGCGGTCAAGCTCGACGTCGCCGACGGCGCGTCGTGGTACGCCGTGGGCATGGCGTACATGGCTGCGTTTTTCGCCGACGGCGCGTCAGGCGCGTTCTATACACTGGTCCCCATACGACCGCGTTCGCGTGGTGAACGCCGATCCTTAAGGACTTTTCCCGGCGGATCTCTCCGTTCATCCCTCGCTTTCAATCCCCGCCCTCGGCGCCTTTCAACTCCACCTGACGCCTATGAACTCCACCCCGACATCGCTTTGTATGGAACGGCCCTCAGACGCGACGAAGCTCGCGCAGAGCCTCAAGGCGTACCAAAACGCGGAGAAGGGCGGCCCCTCGGGCGACGGACGCGCCGGCGGTGGCGGCATCGGCGACTCCCCCGACCTGCACTTCAACCGCGCGATCGTGCACCGGTACGTGGAGGAGTACGGCGCCGCGCTGGAGGGGTTCCGGCGAGCCGCGGCGTTGGACCCGGCGTTGCCGTGGCGCGCCGAGGTGCGTTCCACACACTGGTTCCCATACGACCGCGTTCGCGTGGTGAACGCCGTTCCTTAAGGACTTTCTCTCCCGGCGTGTCTCTCCGCCCACCCCTCGCTTTCAATCCCCGACCGCGGCGCCTTTCAACTCCAACTGACGCCTTTCAACTCCACCCCGACGTTCGCTTGTATGGAACGGCCCCGAGGTGGACGCCGTGGCGGCGGCGTTGACGCGTCTGGACGACGGCTGCCGCGGCGCGGGGCCGATGTTCAAACCGAAACGTCTCGCGCCGATCGTCAAGGCGCTCGAGGGGACCGGGCACGCGGGGAACGAGATCCCGCGAGAGTACGCCGAAGCGTCGCTGAAAGCGCTGCGCGAGGGCGCGAAGGAGAACGAGGGATCGGCGACGAACGTTCGCGTCGTCGTCGACGCGACGTCGAGCGAGGCGGGCGGGTTGAACTTGCACTACGTCGTCGTGGACAGGGAGGGGACGCTGTGCGCGATGTCGGTGTACGGCCTGGAGGACGGCGCGGTCAGGCACTCGAGCACGCTGACGCTGTTGAGCCCGTGCGTTCGAGACGTCGACGCGACGTTCGAGGGGCGGCGGTTTACGTTTCGGCTGATTCGCGTGGATTTGCCGAAACAGATCCTCGTCGGCGGCGCGATGCCGGTGGGGAGGATCGCGCGGCCGAGGCTCGCGAGCACGAACTTGTGACGGGGGTGGGGGTGGGGGGAGGAGGCGCGCGCACAGGGCGTAGACGTATTCCCCGAAGGTGGGTAGGTACCTTTAGCAGCCGCGTCGCGTCGGTTAAAAAATCAAATCAGTCGCGTACGTCGTCGTCACGTCACGCCGCGTACGTCTTCTCGAGGTACTCCACGATCGCGGCGGACTCGAACATCGCCACGCCGGTGTTCGGGTCCTCCATGTACGGCGCCTGGAACCTCCCCCTCTTGTCCATCAACTCCTGGCGCTTCGGCGACCCGCGCCCGGACGCTTTCAGGAGGTGCGGCAGCTCGAGCTCGACGAGCTTCTCTCGCACCAGCTTGCAAAACGGGCTCGCTTCGTATGAGTAAACAGTGATGGGCTTTTCCGGCATCTTCGCGGGCTTGTACTTGCTCCCCGCGCCCATCCTCGGCGCGAGTCCGAACCCCGCGGTTAAAATTGTGAGCGCGCCCGCTCGGAGTAAACTCGGCACTTTGTCTTTCCCCGGGCCGTAGGCGTCGTAGAGGTAGTCCACGATGTCGTCCGACTCGTACATGGACGTCTCCGTGTTCGGGTCGACGAGATACGGGAACATCGACTTCCCGCCGGTGGACTTCACGAACTCTCTGAACGTCGGGCCTCCCTGCGGCGTCGGGTAGAACTCGACGTCTAGGTCGAGCCAGATGACCGCCTCGCGTACTTTGCGACAGAACGGGCACCCTTCGAACTCGTACAGCCTGAGCGGCTTCGCCGGGCGCGGGAACTTCTCCACGTCCGACGTCTCTCTGAGATGCCGTCCGCCGAACTCGCCGAAGGAGTACGTCCCCTCCGGTATCGGCCCCTCCACGATGGACGGCGTCCAGCCCTCGCACAGCGCGCCGCTGACGAGCCGCGTCGCGAACGGCCCGGACGCGGTGAGGACGTTCATCAGCTCTCCGTCGGCGACGCCAAACTTTTTCGGCTCCGGGCCCATGAGCGTGTACTCGATCTCGCCGTCGCCGTCGTCGTCCGCGGTCGCCGCGGGCGTCGCCGCGGGCGTCGGCGTCGCCGCGGGCGCCGTCGCGGAGGACGTCGTGGACGCGGTCCTGGACGAGCCCGTCGCGCCGTCGATCGTTCGCAGCGCGCGCGACATCACGCCCTTGAACTCCGCGTCCGCGGCGGCACGAACGACGACGAGCGATCGACGCGTCGTCGTCGTGGACGTCGTCGTCGTCGCGCGGTGATCGTGGTGGTGGCGGCCGCGCGCGGTGGGGAGCGCCGCCGCGACGGGGGCCGCGGACGACGCGACGCGGCGCCCGGCGCGGATGGAGACGCGCGCGGCGAGGAGGGACGCTGCGGCGGTGGACATGGCGTGCGTCATGACGGGGGTGCGCGTCGGCGTCGGCGAGGACGCGCGCGCGAGTCGAGAGTGACGTCGACGCCGCGCGAATCGTCGCGGTGCCGAGTGGCGAGGAGCGGCCAAGAAAAAAAATGAGAGTCGCGAAAATGGGCCCTTCCCACAGGACAACTTACCGACAGTTGGCGGAACCGCAGTGATGATGCAGTTCGTGTCGCGAAATCGCGCCTCCGTTGACCCGCTCGCGCCTCCACGCACTCCGGCGCGCGCCCCCGACCCTCACCAGGCCGGGGACGCGCGATGCCGCCGAAGAAAGGCGGCAAGAAGGGCAAGGCGGCGAAGGCGCCGGCGTACGCGTCCAAGGCGGCGGACTGCGAGCCGTTCGGGTTCCTCGCGCGAGACTTGATTCGAACGCCGCTCGGTCTGGACGCGGTCGTCCTCGGGGTCAAGTACCCAGACCCGAAGCGGCCGGGAGAGAACGGCGTGATGTGGGTGCAGTACGCCGCGACGAAGCTCGAGGCGCCCATCGAGGACCCGAAGACGACGGCGGGGTACACGAAGCTGTCCGAGGGGACGCACGTGCTGCGAGAGGCGAACCGGTGCGCGCGAGAGATTCGCGTCGCGCGCGAGAAGAAGGAGGCGGCGGAGGCGGCGAAGCGCGCGAAGGAGGAGGCCGCGCGGAGGGAGTTGGAGGCGCTCGAGGCGAAGAAGAACAAGAAGAAACCGAAGCCGAAGCCGCCGCCCGCGGAGGAGGCGGCGGCGTGATCGTCGCGACGGGGAGGGAGGGACGAAGCGAACGAAGGAATCGTGTTTATGACGTCGTTCGGCGACTTTTGGATTCGAAGACCGGCCCGCCCGCCCGTCACAACCCCGCGTCCTCCGGGAGCCCGAGCGCTAAGTTCATGTTCTGCACCGCCGCCCCGGACGCGCCCTTCCCCAAGTTATCCAACCTCGCCATCAGCCAGACCGTCTGCGCCTCGTCCGACGCGTACGCGCGAAGCTCCAACGCGTTGGTGTCGTTCAACGCGTCCGGCCTGAGGGCGGAGGGAGGGTCAACGCGAAGCGACGTACGTACGTCGGGGTGGAGTTGAAAGGCGTCAGGTGGAGTTGAAAGGCGTCGAGGTGTGTCGGGATTGAAAGCGAGGTGTGGGCGGAGAGAAACGCCGGGAAGAAAAGTCCTTAAGGATCGGCGTCCACCTCGCCGACGCGGTCGTATGGGAACCAGTTCGACGACTCGAACGCGCCTCAAAAACGCGCCGCGCTCCAGGTCGCCCGTCTCGTTCAGCGGCATCACCCTCACGAACCGCGACCCGGCGTACCGCTCCTCCAGACACTCCTGGATCGCCGCCGCGCTCCTGCCCGCCGCGCTGAGCTGGTCGTAGTGAATCGGCACGGACACGACCATGCCCTGCTCGAACGCGCCGACGGCGGGACAGAAGATTGGCTCGCGTCCCATCCCGCTGTACTCCGCCATCTCCGGCAGGTGCTTGTGCGCGAGATTGAAACCGTACGCGCCCCACGGCTCCGCGTCGCCCGCCTGGTGGATCGCCATGAGCTGCTTCCCTCCGCCGCTGTACCCGCTCACCGCGTGCACGACTAAACCGACGTCTCTCGGGAGGATTCCCGCGTCCACGAGCGGCCGCGTCAACGCGATCATCCCGGTCGGGTAACACCCCGGGTTCGCGATGCGCTTCGAGCGCTTTATCGCGTCGGACTGACCGGGGCAGAGCTCCGGGAAGCCGTACGTCCACCCGTCCGCGACGCGATGCGCGGTCGACGCGTCGATGATCACCGTGTCTGGATCGGCGCACAGCTTCACCGCTTCGATCGCGGCGTCGTCGGGGAGGCACAGGATGGCGGCGTCGCACGCGTTCAAAAACTCCGCGCGCTTCGTCGCGTCCTTGCGGTCGTCGCCCGTGAGCGAGATGATCTCCACGTCGTCTCGTCCGGCGAGGCGGTCGCGGACTTGCAGGCCGGTCGTGCCCGCCTCGCCGTCGATGAAGATTTTCTTCTTCGCCGGAGCCGACGCGGCGACGACGACGCCGCGCGTCATGGCGTCGCCGACCGCGCGCGGGCGCGTCGCGCGACGCGTCCGGGGCGCGGAGCGCGCGAGGACGACGCGGCCGCGGAGGGCGGCGGAGGAGGAGAGCGTCGCGGAGGGCGACATGGGCGCGGACGTCGCGAGCGAGCGGCGGCGGCGGCGGCGGCGCGATCGGTTGTGCGTCGCGTCGTCGCGTCGCTCGTCACGTGGTTTATCCGAAAGCGCGAGGAAGAGGATGGCGCGACGGCAGTCCGTCGACGCGCGAGCCGGCATGGCCACGCTCGCGGCGGCGGCGACGCTCGCGGCGGCGGCGACGTCGTCGTCTCGCGGCGGCCGCGGCGCTCGGCGAAGAAGACGCGGCGTCGTCGTCCCGTCGTCGTCGTCGTCGTCGTCGTCGTCGTCGTCGTCGTCGTCGTCGTCCGACGGCGACGACGCCGCGGTCACGATGGCCGACGTGAACGTCGCCGCGCGACGACGCGGCCTCGTCATCGAGACGACGACGTTCGGCCCCGCGTTCAGAGTGATCGCGCGGCGGATCCCCACGCGGCGCGGCGGCGGCGGCGGCGGCGAGGGCGACGACGCCGCGGCGACCTCTTCCGGGCGAGAGGTCGCCGCGGAGGACGACGAGGACGTCATCGCGATCCACGACGGCTTCATCGCGCCGCCGCCGTTCGGCATCCTCCACCTCGACTCCATGCGCGTGTACAACTCGCGCGTGCGCGGCGACACCGAGCGCGCGACGATGCGAAGCGTGTTCGGGATAAGCATCCTCCTGGGGACGACCTCGGCGCTCATGGCGCGCGACGCGGGTTGCGCGAAGATGGAGCTGCTCGCCGTCGACGACGGGAACGAGTACGCGGCGAAGCTGGTGTCGTACTACTCGCGCCTCGGGTTCGAGACCGTTAGGGTCGTGGGCGGGAACGGGCTGAGGGACGTCCCGGATCTGCTCGTGTGGGGCGGCGTCGGGACGAGGATGAACGGGGATCTGCGGAGGTTGTTGGGGAAGTGGGGGGGGGTCATCCGACGACAAAACGCCGCCGCCGCCGCCGCCGCCGAATCGCGGACGAAGGACGCGGAGACGTAGACTACTAGACTCATCGTCACACTATCACATGCGCGCGCTATCTAAGGTTTATGACGCATGGCTTCGTCTAGCCAGGCCCCGCGATCGACGCCCCGCCTTGCCCCGCCCCGCCCAGCCGTCGTCGCCGACCCTCGAGGATGTCCGCGACGACCCCGCGAGGGAGCGGCGACTCCGTCCCTCCGTGCGCCGCCGCGCGCCACAGCGGCGCTCGGAGTCGCCGACGCGACGCGGGGGGGAAACCGGCCGCCGCGGCGTCGACGGATCGCTTGGCCGCCCTAGCCGCGGGTTTGGGTTTGGGTTTGGGTTCGATCGCGGCGGTCGTCGTGGGGGCGGCGCGGCGGTCGAGCGGCTCGGGATGGAGCTCCGCCAGCGGCTCTCGAGGCGGCGGCGGCGGCGGAGGAGCGCTTCGCGGCGGGAATGGCGGCGCCTCCGCTTCGGAGAGCGACATCGCGAGGCCGAGCCGCAGCCACTCGTCGTCGTGCGCTCGCGCGTCTTCTCGCCGTCGTCGCTCTTCGCGCGCGACGAAGTCGGCCGCGTCCTCCTCGGCGACGCCGACGGGGACCCCGGCTCGGACCCGCCGACCGCTCGCGCCTCCGCCTCCGCCTCCGCCTCCGCCTCCGCCGCCGCCGACGCCGCCGAGCGCCGCGGCGGCTTCGAGGAACGCGCGCGCCTCGGACTCGTCGTCGATCCCGACGCACGTCACGAGATCGTCCATCGTCAGGCTCGGCGCGTCCGCGAGCGTGAGCTCCTCTCGCGCGAACGCGTCGAGATGACGCGCGAGGCCGACGGCGCGCAGCCACCGTTCGAAATCGCGCGCGTCGCCCGTCGCGCGCGACGACGACGACGACGACGTCGGCGCGGGCGCGGGCGCGGGCGCGGGCGCGGGCGCGGCGCTCGACGGCGCCTCGCGCGGGCGCCCCTCGCACGCGGCGACGACGCACGCGTCCGCGTGCGCTTCCCGGTCCGGCAGCGTCCACGTCGTCAGGCACAGGCCGCACATCGGACACGCGCACGGCTCGCGAGAAGGCGCGGCGGGCGCGGGCGTCGACGCGAAAATGCAATCGTCGTCGTCGTCGTCGTCGCCGCCGCCGCCTCCGCCCTCGCGTCCGCGGCGTTCCCCGCGGTCGGGCCATCCCGCGTCCGCGCGCATCCCGCGCGTCCCTCGCCGCGGCGTCGCCGTCCGCGCGGCGGGGGAAAGCCTCCCGCGAGGTACCCGCGCGCGGAGGATCTGATGAGAGGACGGCGACGGCGCGGCTGATGAAACGCCCGAGACGAAACTCCCGCTGCGCTGGTCGTCGATCGGCGCGTCAACGGTCGTGACGACGCCAATAAACTCCGAGAGCCCAGACGAAACGCGACAGACCTCCGCTCGCGCGCTGCTCGCGGACATCATGCGCGTCAAGTTCAGGCACCCGCGGTCGAAGGAGAGGCGCGTCGATCCCCCGCGCGCGTCGTCGCCGCCGTCGCCCCCGTCGTTCGTTCGCGTCTCGGAACTTCGTTCCATCGAATCTCGAACGAATCTCATCACTCATCGTCTCGCGCGTCATCATTCGCGAAAAGTACCCCCCGTTGACCCGCGACTTCCCCGCCGCTCCCTCCCGTCTCCGCGCGCAGCGTGTACTGGCAATGCACCGGTCAGGAATCGTTCGCGGACGTCAAAGCCGCCGCGGACGCCATCCTCAGCGCGCGATGGCCGTTCGAGCCGTACGACACGGACGCGTTCCGACGCGACTCGGACGGCCACCTGTGGGACCGAAAGCGCGGCGTCGCGCGACGCGGACAGTCGTGGAAACCCGCGGCGTCGCTCCTCGACGCCGGGTACGGCGAGGGCGACGAGCTCGTGTGCATGGCGCACTTGCACAAGTACTGGGTGAAGACGTGCAACTCGTTCTCGGAGAGCAGGGCGGCGAAGACGGCGAGCGTGCAGGCGGCGCGCGGGCAGGTGCTACGAGACGAGATCATCGCGCAGGCGGGGAGGCCGGTGTGCGAGCGGACGTTTAAGCGGCCGACGGGGACGACGGCGTCGTTCGACGAGAGGGAGAAGGTGGCCAAGGCGGTGAAGAAGGCGGCGAAGGCGAAGGCGAAGAAATCGGCGATCAAGGCGGCGAAGGCGGCGAAGGAAGGGCCCAGCGCGGGAGGAGCGCCGGCGGCAGCCGCGCCGAACGCGGGCGCCGCCGCGGCACCGCCGGCGAAGAAATCGCCGGCGGCGGCGCCGGCGGCCAAGACGAAGACGACGCCGCTCGCGTCGACGAAATCGTCGACGTCGAAGTCCCTCGGCGGCACCGCGGCGAGAGCCGCGTGAGCGCCGGGATGGTCGTTGTCGTGCTAGAGCTAGCGCCTCGCTTTGTCGTGCTCGTTTGTCGCGCGCGACCGCGCCGCGACTCCACGAAAAACGCTCGTCGCGTCGGACTACTGGATGCTGAAAGTTTTTCGTCGGCATCGTCGTCTGGCGGGCGCGGATCCGCGCGCGCCGCACTCGTCGTCGCGCCGCGTCGACGTCCGCCCCCCCCCGCGATGAGCGCGGACGACGAAGCCCGCCGCAAGCGCGAGCGCCCGCGGATCTCCCCCGAAACCCTCGTCGCGCATATCGACGAGCACTTCGCGCTGGACGGCGGCGCGCTCGACGTCGGCTCCGTGGTGGAACAAAACTCGTACGACGATCGAAACTTTTACGCGACTACGACCGGGCCGGGCGCCGCGGCGTACGCGCTCAAGGTGCACAACGGCGTGGAGTCCGAGATCCCGGCGTTCTTGGAGTGCCAGTGCGCGATGATGCGGCACCTGCTCGCGAAGGGCGTGAACACGCCGAGGCCGGTGCGAACGAGAGACGGGAAGGACTGGAGCGTCATCGAGCTGCCGACGTCCGCGATGAATACTTCATCGGACGACGCCGGCGACGGCGGCGAGGCGACGCCGAAGCCGAAGACGCGCGCGCACGCGGTCCGCGTCATGACATGGCTCCCCGGGATCATCGCGGAGAGATCCGACGCGGTGCCGCATCTCCCCGCGTTCCTCTTCCGCGTCGGCGCGTTCGTCGGGACGGTGTCCGCGGCGCTGACGGACTTTTATCATCCGGGCGCGCGGCGAGACCACCTCTGGGACAACGTCAACGCGCTCCACGTCCGCGGGTTACTGCGCGCGGTGGACGACGAGGGCAAGCGCGCGCTCGTGGAGCGCGCGCTGGAGGACTTCGAGGAGAAGGCGCTGCGTCGCCGCGACGCGTTCAGGGTGGGCGTCGCGCACAACGACGCGAACGACAACAACATTCTCGTCGCCGACGACGACGGCGGCGGCGCGGACGACGCGAGCCCGCGGCCCGTCGTCGGTCTCCTCGACTTCGGCGACGTCGTCGAGACTTGGGTCGTGAACGAGATCGCCATCTCCGCAGCGTACTTCGCGCTCGGGAAGGACGATCCGATCGCCGCGGTGGCGGAGATGGTGCGCGGGTACGTCTCCGTCTTCCCGCTGACGGACGTTGAGGTGCGTTCTATACACTGGTTCCCATACGACCCCGTTCGCGAGGTGGACGCCGATCCTTAAGGACTTTCGCCGGCGCATCTCTCCGCCCACTCCCCGCTTTCAATCCCCACCATCGACGCCTTTCAACTCCATCTGACGCCTTTCAACTCCACCCCGACATTCGCTCGTATGGAACGACCCTGAGCTCGCCGCGACGCCGACGCTCGTGCGCGCGAGGCTCGCGTGCTCGTGCGTCTGCGGCGCGTACAGCGCGATGGAAGACCCGGGCAACGCGGCGTACTTGCTCCTGCACGCGGGTCCGGGGTGGGAGACGTTGATGAAGCTCACGGACGCGGGGGACGACGCGTTGTTACGCGCCGTCGACGCCGCCGCGCGACGAGACACGCGCGTTCCGTCGTCGATTCGTCGAGACGAATGAATTAATCCTAGATGTAGTCCTAGCTCAGCTCAGCTCCCCCCCTCCCACCGTCCCGTCCCGTCCCTCTCCTCACACCTCCGCCTCCGCTTCCTTATTCCTACGCTCCTCCTCCTCCTGCATGAGCACCAGCATCGCCCTCTGCGTCCGCCGCTCGAGCTTCTCCATCTTCTGCGCGACGTCCCTGCGCAGATCCGCGTTGAGTTTCTGCGGGAGCAGCGCGTCGACGCCCACCTCGTCGTCGACCTCCTCCGACGCGATGAGCGGATGCGGCGCCACCTCGACCGGCGCGAACTCCTCCACCTGGACCGCGGCCATGACGCCCTCCTGGAGCTCCTCGTCGCGCGGCATGTAGTTCCGGAACTTAAGCACCGGCTCCTTCGGCTCGTTCGGTTCCTTCGGCTCGCCGGCCGCGGGCGCGGGCGCGGGCTCGGGCGGCGCGATCCGCGGGTCCGCGGCGGCGGCTTCCTCCCGCAGCGCCCGCAGGCGCGCCTTGCGCTCCGCCGCGGTCTCGGTCATGACGCGGACGAGACGGGTTCCGAGCGCGATCCGCGGGACTCCGCGCGTCAAGTTGTGGCGGTCGCGAGGCGGAGTAGGGTTCGCGACGTAGATCGGACGCGCCAATTTCGAAGACGACAAGACTCGTCGAAGTCGAGACGCAGACGGACGGACAGGATCAACTCCATTTTCAACGCTCACCGCGCGCTCTCGTCCTCCCCCTCCCCGTCGACGTCTTCCTCCCGCCCGCCGTACGGGTTCGCGTTCGCCCGCCCCCAGCACGCCTTCTCGAAACCGAACGCGTCCTTCAACGCGCTCCCCGCGTCCTCGTCGTCGATGACGACCTCGACGAGCGCGTGCCTCGGCTTCGCGGAGGCGAAGGCGCGCACGCGTCGAAAGTGCTCCTCGACGAAGGCGCGCAACGCGTCGTCTCCCTCCGGGCCTTCCGCGCCCGCGCCCCGCGGCAGCCCCGGGACGTCGCAGTCGCGCAGTCTCGCGCGGAGGTCGTACCACCCGTCCACGGACCTGATCCAGCTGTCCACGTCTCGCCTGCGGTTCAACACGAAAGTCGCGTCCGGGAACTGAGGGTCGTTCCGCGCGAGCGAATGAATGTCGGGGCGGAGTTGAAAGGCGTCAGAAGCGGAGTTGAAAGGCATCGCGGTGTGTCGGGATTGAAAGCGACGGGCGGGCGGAGAGAAACGCACGCCGGGAAATGTCCTTAATAAAGGAACGGCGTTCACCACGCCGACGCGGTCGTATGGGGACCAGTGTGAGATAGAACGCGCCTGATTCGAGATCTCCGACAGCGCGCTGATTTGCGGGAAGAAGCACACGTCGCCCGGGCTCAAGCCCGGCGCGGACCCCGCGTTCGGGCGCCCGGTGAAGTCCAGCTGCGCCCACACGTCGTACTCGCCGCAGCCTCTCATCGGCGGAGCGCGCGCGTCGACGTTATTCTTGACGCACACGCCGCACCACGCGTCGGCGTTCCCGTCGTGCCTCGCGTCGGGACACTCGTAGTGCGACGACTTGAGTCCCGCGCAGTCGAAGTACTCGCCCAAACTCGTCGTCCCCGTCTTGGGCAGGCCGAGCACGATCACGGGGAGGCCGAGCCCGGTCGGGATCTTCCCGGGCGCCGGCGAGGACGCGTCCGAGCCGCCGAAACGCGACGACGTCGACGACGCGTTCCCCGCGCCCAGCGATCGCCCGGCGATCGTCTCGGGGGCCCCGAGAAACACCTGGACGTACAGGCACGCGGTCGTCGCCGCGATCGCGAAGACGCCGACGACGACCGCGAGCGGGGAGGGTGACGGCGGCGGTGGGAGGCGCGGCGCGAGGGGCGGTTTCGCGCCGTGCGACGACGTCGTCGTCGCCATCATCGTCGCGCGCGCGTCGCGATGTGATGGGTGATTGCGTCGTAACGTCCGAGAAGTAAAACGAAACGGTTTGAGGTGACCCGCGGGAACGACGCGCTTCCGACGCGTTTTCGACGCGACCCGCGACGACCGCGTGCCTACCACTTTCATTCGATGACATGATAATATACCTCACTTCTACTACCGCTTCGCGAGCGCGTCGTACACGAACCCAGCGAGCGCGTCGTCCGCGCCGACGAACCCTCTCTCCACGTCCAGCAACGCGTCGGCGCGCGCGTAAAACCCCGGGTCCAACGCGATCCCTCCCCACCTGTCGTCCCTCGGCGCCGGCGTCGCCTTCTCCGCGCCGGGCTCTACAGGCGTCGGACCTTGGAGCAGCGCGGCGAGGTCATCCAGCGCCTCGTTCGCGTCATCTCTGAGGATATCCCGCGGAGGGGGCGGTCGAGGGGGATTCGATTTCGGCGGCGCGTCCGCGTCCGGGTCCGCCTCCTCGCCCTCCGCTGGAACCTCCTCCTCCTCCTCCTCCTCCTCATCCGGCGCGGGGAGCGGGTTCGCCGCGCGGTGTTCGACCGCGCGGCGCGTCGTCTGCACGACCCGTCGCATCGCGCGCACGGCGGCCGCGTCGAAGACGAGCTCCCCGGCGAGCGGGCCGCGCCGCTTCGGCGGCGGCGGGTCGTCTCCTCGGGTCGTCTCCTCGTCCGCGTCAGCCGGCGCGCCCTCTCCCTCCGCCTCCGCCGGCGGCGGCGGAATAGGCGGCGTGATGACGTACATCAATACGATGAGATCCTTCTCCTTCTTCTTCTTCTTCCCGCCGATCGGCGCCGGCGGCGCGTTCTCGTCGTTCTCGTCGTCCTCGTTCACGTCGTCGTGCTTCTCGCCGCGTAGCCCTCCCCCCGCGGGCGCGCGGTGCCACTGCGCGAAAATCGCCCCGCGCGTGTTGACCGTGACGACGCCCTCCGCCTCCTCCTCCTCCTCCGCCGCCGCCGCGTCCTCGCCCTCCTCCCCGTCCGCGCCGCTCTTCTTGTCTTCCCGCATTAATAAACGCTTCGGAATCGGCGGTTTTTCGAAGCAGCACGCCTTCTTGTACGCCGCCGACCCCGCCAACAGCGCGCGGTGCAACGCCGTCGCTCGCCGGTGCGCGTCGTCGCCGCCGCCGTCAAAGTGCCCCGACGCGAGATCCGAGACGCCCGCGCGCGACGCGTACGCCGCGAGCGCCCGCCGCGCGACGGACAGGTCCGCGTTTTCGAGCTTCTCGCTCCCGCGCTCGGCGTCGCGCGCGGCCTCCTCGTCGTCCACGAACGCGGCCACCCACGCCGGCCACTCCACGGCGTCGAGGTCGTCGCGTAACGTCGCGCGCGCGGAGAGCAAGACGTCGCGCTCGCGAGACGCGAAGCACGCGTCTCTGAGGCACGCGGCGACGGCGGCGAGCGCGCCGGCGGCCGCGAGGGGAGAGCGCGCGGCGGTCTCCCCCTCCCCCTCCCCCTCCTCCTCCTCCTCCTCTTTCGCTCTCGCGTCCGCAGCCTCGCGCATCGCCTCCGGGACGTCGCACGCGGCGAGCTCGAGCAACAACGCGCGAATGGTCGCGCGATCGTGCGGCGCGTCCTCGCCGGCGGCCCATCGAATGCCGCGCGCGCACGCCTCCCTCGCGGCGTCTCGCTCCGCGTCGTCCACGACCGGCGCGCCACTCGCCGCGCCCCTCTTGTACATCGCGCGTCGGTGCGCGTGCGCGCGGAGCAGCGCGATCTTCGCGTGCAGCCCCGCGTGCGTGCGCACGGTGACGCGGCCGCACAAGTCCGCCGCCTCCTCCAACGCGATTTTCGCGCGTCCGACGAGCGCGCCTTCGCTCTCGCCGTCCTCGCCGCCGCCGCGGCGCGCGAGCGCGCAGTGCCCGAGCGCGCACAGCAGCCGCGCGAGGACGTTCACGCACGGGATGTGGACGTTCATCAGCTCGGCGGGGTGCGCGAGGACGGTGTCGAACACGCCGGCGTCCTTCGCGTCGGCGCGGACGACGTCAACCGCGGCGGCGACTTTTCGCTCCGCCTCGACCGCGTCGCCGCGACGCAACGCAAGCTCCGCGGCGGTGCCCGCGACGCGCGCGAAGAACGCGCCCGTGGGGGGCGCGTGCGCGCGCTCGTCCGGCGACTGCGGCGTCGTCATCTCCGCGAGGAGTTCGTCGTACGCCTCCGCGGCGGCGGCGACGTCGCCGAGCGCCGCGCGCGCCTTCGTCGCGATAAAGATAAAAACGCGCGATCGCTCGCGGTCGCCGAGCCGGTCCGCCGCGGCGCGCGCGGCGTCCGCGTGCGCTCTCGCCGTCTCGTGTCGGCTCAGGTCGAGCAAGCACTCGCACGCGCGCGCTCTGCAGCGGAGCCACAGGGAGTGGCCCGCGCGCGCGAGCGCGTCGCGCGCCTTGCGCGCCGTCGCGCCGCCGGCGACGAAGCCGCGCGGCGCGCCGTCGCCGAAGGACTCGAGCGATCGCGCGCATCGGACGACCACCTCGAACGCGTCTTTGGACCTGTCCATCGCGCGCAGAACGACGGAGAGCGCGTCGGACGCGCGCGCGAGCGCGGAGAGCTGCGCGGGCGACGCGAGGACCCACGGGTGCTTGTCCTCGCCGACGACGTCCTCGTCGTCGGCGTCGTCGACGGCGTCGTCGGCGTCCGCGTCCGCGTCGTCTTCGTCGGCGGCGTCGGCGTCGTCTTCGTCGTTCGATTTCGACGTCGATCCGTCCTCGGCGGCGTCCGCGTCGGCGTCGTCGCCCTCCGCTTTCGCCTCGCCGCCCTCTTCCGCGGCGGCTTCCTCGCCGCCCTCCTCCGCCTCCGCGTCGTCGTCGTCCTCCTTCGCGCCGGGCAAGACCACGGGCGGGGGCTCGAACCTATCGTTCGGATCGCGCGGCGGCTCCGCGCCAGCCCGCATCCGCGCCGCCTCCGCCGCGCGCGCCTCCTTGGCGCGCTTCTCCTCCGCGCGCTTCTCCGCGGTTTCCCTTCGCGCTCTCGCGGCGGCGCCCTTCTCCTCGCGCGCGGCTCTCGCGGCCGCGCGTTTCTCGCGCGCGGCGTCGATCGTCGCCTGCGCGGCGGTCGCCGTCGTCGCGATGTCAGCCTCCGTGGAGGAGACGACCCGGCGCAAGACTTCCTCCGCGGCGCGTAAAAACCCGTCGCGCGCGTCTGGGTCGCGATGGCGGGGTGGAGTTGAAAGGCGTCAGTTGGCGTTGAAAGGCGCCGCGGGCGGGGATTGAAACCGAGGGGTGGGCGGAGAGATGCGCCGGGAAAAGTCCTTAAGGATCGGCGTCCACCACGCCAACGGGGTCGTATGGGGACCAGTGTATAGAACGCACCTGGGTCGTCCGGCTCCGCGGGGGCGCCCGCGGCGTCTTCGCCCTCCTCCTCCGGCGGCGGCGCGTCCGCGGCGTCCCTTGGTTTCGATGATCTCTTCTTCGGCGCGGGGTCCACGGCGCCGCCGCTTCGCCACTCCGCGGCGGGAACCGCGAGCGAGGACAACCAGTTCGCCCTCGAAAGTTCCACCTCCGCGACGAGATCGGCGCCGTAGAGCGCCGCCACCTCGGCTCGCATTTCAACCTCGCGCAGGCACCTCACGATCGGCTGGTTCACCCCCGCGCCGAGCGGTTTCGACGGGTCGAATTTCGGGTTCACCGGGATCGACTCCAGTCGCGCGATCGCGGCGCCCGCGGCGTCGACGATCACGCGCCCGCGCGGCCCGCCCGCGACGGAGGGCAACGCGGCGCCGGCGAGGAGCGACGCGAGTCGATCCGCCGCCGCGGCGTGTTGCCCGACGTCCGCGAGCGCGGTCGCCTGTAACGTCCGCGCCTTGACCGTTTTGTGAACATCAAACAGCGCGAACGACGCGAGGTGCTCGGCGAGACACGCCGCCGGGATCGCCTCCAGCGCGCGCCCAGACTGCAGCACGATCTCCGCGGACGCGAGCGCGAGGTCGCACACGGTTTTCGCGTCGAACCGATACATGTCGGCGGCGTTGACTTCCACGCCGATCCACAGCTCCGGGAACGAGTCGTACCGCAGCGAGATCAAGTCGAGCGCGCGCTGCGAGTGCGCGATCGTGGAGCAGAACGGCGCGGCGAACAGCGCGGACGCTAAACGCGCGGACTCGAGGCGTTTCCCCGCGTCCAACCGCGTCGCGCCCCACTTCGCCAGCTTAGCGGCGGCGCACGCGCCTCGCGCGCACCCCCAGAGACCAAACGCGCGGAGCCGCGACTCCGCGTCCGGTGGAAGCGACGCGCACCCGGCGGTCTCGATCGTTTTGTAACACCCCGTGAGCTCGTCGAGGCAGTCGCTCCAGTCCTGGACCGCGCCCGCGACGTCGCCCTCGCGCGCGCGCACGTCCCCGAGTTCCAGCAACGATTGGCACAACGTCTCGCGGTCGTTGTGCGTCTTGGCGGTCGCCGCGGCGTCGCCGTACGCGACGCCGACGGACTTCAAGAACCTCTGAAGCGGCGTCGTGGTGATGATGACGTCCACGTCGTCGTGCACGGTCGTGAAGAACTGCGCGGACCGCGTGCCGTGCCTCGGCGGCGGGACGTCGCCCGCCGTGCGGAAGCGCGAAATCGTCTCGCCGTTCGTACCGAGCGTCCGCCCGAGCGTCTTGGTCGATCGCATCCCCGGCGGCGGCTGCAGCTCGCGCGTTTCCAGCCATCTTTCGGGAACGAACACCCTCGAGTGCGCGCGAGCTTTCAGTAACGCTCGCATCGGCGGCTTTAACTCGCCCTTCGCCGCGGCGAGCCGGATCTCCTCCGCGTCCGCCGCCGCGTCTTCGCCCGCCTCTCGCGACGATGATATCGCCGCGGGGAGGCACGCGCGCGCGGCGTCGTCCGTCCCCAAGACGTCCACCACCTCCACGAGCAGCTTCGACGCGCGGTGGTGGTGCCCGACGGCGGCGCACGCGCGCGCGGCTTCGACGACGAACCGTTGAACGAGATCGGGCGCGATCAACGGGCGGTTTTGAAACCACGGGGCTGGTTTGGCGCGGAGCTCCTCGGGCTCGCTCGCGATCCGCCGGCGATCTTCTTCTTCCCGCGCCGCCGCCGCGGGTCCGTCGAGCGGGGACTCGCCCGCGCCGCCGTCGATCTTCACTAGCGGCGCTTCGTCTCGCGCGTTGGATTTCAGAAGCGCGACGTGCTCGAGAAGACGCGACGCGGCGACGTGTAACAGCCGAGCGCCGCCGCCGGCGTAAAAGTTGACGTCCGCCTCGGCGCCGACGACGCGAGACCGAGTCAGGTTCAGGAGCGACCGAATCGCGTTCATGAGCCGGTCATGGTGGCCGACTCTGGACGCGAGCTCGCACGCGCGCGCGAACGACGTCATCGCCGCGAGCGCGACCGGCGGGGTGGGCGGTTTCGGCGGGTCCGCGGCGGCGGCTTCCTCGCCGCCGTCGCCGTCGCCGTCGCCGTCGCCTTCGCCCTCCGCCGGCTCCTGCTCCGGCTCCGGCTCCGGGAGGCCTCGCTTCTCCGCAGCCTCGTGCTCGACCAGCCCCGCGGTCGTCCGCACCGCGGCGTGCCACCTGGTCCCCGCGGACAACGACTCGCGCGCGGGGATCAAGGCTTTCCGTCGCGCGAAGATCGGAGGCAGCCGTCGCGTGAGCGTCCGCGCGGCTTTCTCTCTTCCGCTCGCCTCCTCCAGCGCCTTTTCCCTCGCGCCCTCCGCCTCCGCCGCCGCAGCCTCCGCGGCGACCTTCGCGTCCTCGGCCGCGGTCTTCGCCGCTTCGACCGCAGCCTTCGCCTCGTCGACGGCCTTCGCCTCGTCATCGTCCGCGGCGTCCTCCGCCGCCGCTTTCGCCTCCGCGGCGGCCGCGGCTTCCTCCGCGGCGCCTACCGCGACCGCCGCCTCCTCCTCCGCCGCCGCGGTTTCGTCTCTCTTCGCCTCGAGCGCCGCGACGCGCGCTTCCTCCTCTTCCGGGAGCTCCGTCAACTTGACCTCGTCGCCCGCGACGCTCGCCGGATGCGCCGTCACGGCGACGGCGACGGCGGCTTTGTACCGCGCGAGCGTCGTCTCGGTCCACTCGGCGAGAAGATTCGACGCCGCGCCCTGCGCCGCCGCGGCGTCCGCGATTCTCGAAAACGTCCGGAGGTACTCCGGCGCGTTCAACTCCTCGCCGGCGGAATCACCCGCGACGAACGCGTCGTACGCCGCCTTCGCGCCCTCCGTGGCGATCTTCGCGAGCGCGGGGGAGGACTCCGCCTTGGCGGCGACGACGGCGCTCTTCAGCCTCGGCCACTCCGGGAGCCCGAGGAAGTAGTCCGTCAGCGGCGACAGCTCCGGCGCGGTCGGCTGCGCGTTTTCCTTCTCCGCGTCGTCGTCGTCGCCGCCGCCGTCCGCGGCCGCCGCGTCGCCGTCGCCGTCGCCGTCATTCGAACTTCTCCCCGCCGCCCCAAAAGTGGCGGCGTTTTTGTTCTTCTTCTTCCCGCCGTCTTCGTCGACGCGAAACGACGGATGGTCCAGCCCGGCGACGGCTTCTAACACGCCGTCCTCGCCGCACGCGCGCGCGATCGACGCGAGCTGGAACGACAGCGACGCCGCGAGCGACGCCACCGCGGGCGCGCGCGCGGCGCCGGACAGCCGCAGCGTCGTCAGGCACTGCGACAGCGCCGTCGTCAGCGTCTTGCTCCGACGCGAGTGCGTAAGCAGCGGCGCCAGGCAGTTCCCCGCGCGCAACGCGCCCTCTTGAAGCAGCGGCGCGTCGTCGTGGTAGCTCGCGAGCTCCATCGCGAGGAGAATCGTCTTCGCGTTGACGAGCGCGCGGACGTGGTCGTGAATCTCCGGGACGCTCGCGAGCGGCGGCGGGTCCCCGACGCCGCGCTCCGGTCTCCGCGACGCCGTCGCCGACTCGGCGGCGACGAGAAGCGCGCGCGCCGCCGCGCGCATCGTCGGGAAACTCGCGTCCGCGACCGCGTCGCGTCTCAGCCGCTGCGACGACATCGAGTGCGCCTCGCACAGCTCGCGCGGCTGCGCGGTGGACACGAACCGCGCGTGGACGACGCCCGACGCGCGCTTCGCGGCGACGCCGCAGCCCAAACGGCTCGCGGCGACGGCGAGCATCGACCACAACGGCGTCGAGGGCAGCGGGTGGCACGTCACGATCGCGTCCGTGCCGCGGCCTTGGTTGTGGATCACCTCGCCGTTGGCGTCGTACGCGACGACCGCGAAGTTGTACGACTCGTTCGGGGTCAAGCCGCCGATCGTGACGCGCGTCGTGTCCGAGACGGGGAACTCCACGCCGGCGTTCGGGTAGTCGACGCAATCCTCGCCGGGCTCGAGCCCGCCGCCGTATTCCTTCGCGAGCACCGCGAACGTCACCGCCACGGGCGCGGGCTGACCCGGGATCGCGTGCTTCAGGTTCGATAAACTCGGCGGCGCGATCGTCACCTCCGTGCGCGCGCGCGACAAAAACGCGGGCGCGTCGGGAACGACGACCCTCCTTCTCGTCGCCGCCTCCGTCTCCTCCGCGCCTGGAGCGCGTCTCTTCTGCATCGCCGCCGCCATCAGCGACCGCTCCGCCGCCTCAGCCTCGAGAAGGCACGCGCCCGCGCGCTCGAGCAGCTCCTCGCGGTCGCTCAACTCCGGCCTCAGCGCCGCCATCTGCGCGTACACGATGGCGCGCTCCCACGGGTTCTGAGGGTCGTTCCATACGAGCGAACGTCGGGGTGGAGTTGAAAGGCGTCAGTTGGAGTTGAAAGGCGCCGAGGACGGGGATTGAAAGCGTGGGTTGGGCGGAGAGAGACGAATGCAAAAGTCCTTAAGGATCGGCGTTCACCACGCGAACGCGGTCGCATGGGAACCAGCGTATAGAACGCGCCTTATTCGCGCGCTCGAGCAGCGCCCGCTCCACCTCCGGAGGGTACGCCGGCACGCGATCCGCGCGCTCGAGCGCGTCGCGTTCGCGCTCCAAATCCCACGCCGACTTGACGCCGAAGATGCGCGTCTCGTTCGCGCGCTTTTCGTTCTTTCGGAGCACCGCGTCCACCTTGGCGTCCGCGCGCGCGCGCTGGTCGAGGAGCCCGACGTGCAAAGCGAGGCGGGTTCTGACGACGACGACGTCGGCGTGGAGGCACGCGAACGCGCGATCCGTCTCGCTCATCCCGCTCGGCGTCCGCGCGTCTCCATCCGTCTCGCTCCACACCGCTTCGGCGGTGATGGTCCGCGTGGACTCGTCCGCTTCGCCGCGCGAGCGAAGCACGACGGCCGCGCGGTGGCGTTCCGCGACGTCCGACGCCTCGGAGGCGACGATCGCGGCTCGGCGGACGCCCTCCTCGCTCGCGCGTTCCAGCATCACGCACAGACGCAGGCTCGCCGAAACGCGCGTCGTCGCGTCGTCGAAGTCCACGACGTCGAACGCGCGCTTCACGCCTTCGAGGATGTGCACCGCGCGGCGTTCGTCGCGCTGGGGGTCGTCGCCGTCGACGCCGTCGACGTCGTCGTCCGTGAACGCTCGCGAGAGCGACCCGTACAAAAGTAAAGCCGCGTCGGCGAGGACGTCGGAGAACCCGTAGTCGGACGCGGAAGGCGGCAGCGCGCGCACGATCGTCGCGAGCTGGCACTCCGGGTCGTCCAGCGGCGGATCTGCGTCGTCGTCGCCCGCGTCCGTCGTCGCCGCCGGCGGCGGCGGCGTCGGTTCGCCGTTCGAATCGTCGCCCTCCGCCGGCGGCGCGGCGTCGTCCTCGGGCGTCGGCTCCGGCTCGGGGACGCCGACTTCGACGACGCGAATCGCCGCGAGAACGTTCGCCGCGGTCTCGAGCGCGGCCATCCCGGTCTGGTCGTCGTCGTCTCCTCCCGTCGCCTCAGCCTGCGCGACTCGCAGCTTCGCGAGGGCCGAGAGCGACTCGTACGGCTCCCAGGCTTCGTACCCGTAGAGGCGTCGCAGAATCGCGGCGTGCAGCGCGGCGGGGAGCTCCCTCCTCGCGCGCTCGTACGCCTCGATCGCGGCGTCGTCGAGGTCCGGCGGCGGGATCGTCGGGTCCGGCGGCGGTTCCGCGGGTTCCGCGTCGTCGCCCTCGGCGGCGGGTTCGCGTTCGGGTTCGCGTTCGGGTTCAGGTTCGTCCGCCGCGGCGGCGCCCTCGCCGTTCTTCTCTCCCTCCTCCTCCTCCGCGGGCGCCGCCGCCTCCGCGGCCGCAGCCTCCGCGAGCTCTCTCTCGACCTTCGCCGCCGCCGCCGCGCGCGTCGCCGCCGCGTGCTCGAGCCACGTCGTCATCGCCTCCGCGCGCGGCGCGATCCACTCCGCCGCCGCCGTCGTCGCCGCCTCCGCGCGCGACCCCGGCTCCGGCGGCTCGCGCGTCACCACCCGGCGCTTCGGGTCGTGCAGCATCGCGAGAACGATCGCGCCCGCGTCTTCGGGGACGTCCTCGCGGACCAAGTTCCCGCCGGGCGCGACCCCGGACGCGATCGCGCCGGCGCTCGGCGCCTCCGCGAACGCGACGGCGAGGACGCGCAACTTTCGATCCGCCTCGGCGTAGAGCGCCAGCTGTTCCTTAGTCTGCGGCACCGGGTCCATCGCCTCTAGGTCTTTCAGATCCTTCACCTGCGCCTCCGCGCGCGCGATGAATTTCCGCGCTTCGTCCATCTTCCCGCAGTCCTCGTAGCAGCGACAGACTTCGCCCACGAGGTCGACGCGCCACGGGAGATATTTCGGTGCCGAGAGCAAAACGTGGTACTCCGTCGCGAGCGTCGCGTAGATGAGGTACTCCACGACGTCCGCGCCGAACCCGGCCGTGATCGCGTCGGACGCGAACTGCTGCGTCAGCACCGTCGCGTTGAGCGCGAGAAAGTACGAGTCGTCCGGGGACTGGAGCGCCAGCTGGCACGCGTCTCGCATCGCGTCTAAACATCGCGTCGTCTCCGCGAGCGTCTGCGGATGCGCGAACGACGCGTCCCTCGCCGGTCCGAGCGCGTGGTCGCACCGCGCGATGCCCAGCAACGCCGCGACGTGCGTCCGTCGCTTGTCCGCGACGGTCAGGTCGCAACCGCGGCGTTCCGTCGGCGTGAGCTTCGCCTCGAAGTCCGCGTCCAGGAGCCCGCACTCGGCGACGACGCGGTAGCATCGCCGGCGCGCGATCTCGTGCTCGCCGCGCGCGACGAGCGCGTCCCCCGCGCGTATCAGCTTCGCGATCGCGACGTGGCGCGGGAGCGACTCGTACAGCCAGAAGCACAGGTTCCCGACGCGCTGCCGCAGCGGCCACGCGGCCGCGTCGTCGCTCGCGCGCGCGCGCGACGACGACGAAGACGACGGGCCGTCGTCGTCGCCGTCGGACGCGAGCTCGTCGAGGCACTTTGCGAACTCCAAGTCGAAGTGCTCCAGGAGCGTCGCGAGCTCGCCTTTCCCCATCCTCCTCGCCGCGAGCGCGACCGCGAGGACGCGCTCGGGCGCGCGCGCGGCCGCCTCGCGCGCGCCGATGCGAGGTCGGACGTCCGCAGCCCACCGCGCGACGCCAGCTGTGCGCGGGACGAACGTTCCCATCGCGCGTCAAAACGTCGTCGTTGACGCGCTCACGCGCGACGAGCGCTCACCCAAATCCGGCCGTTGTGCCTCGACCCGACGACCGTCGGTTCGAGCGGCGCGCGCGCGCGGCCGGCGGGCGCACACGTCGCCGCGCGTCGGCCGCACCGCGCAGGGAGACGACGCGGCGGTGATCATCGCGACGACGGCGAGAGGGATACGCGCGCGCGACCCTCGTGCGCGATCATGAGCGACCCCGGCGACTCCGGTGCGCGCGACGACGACCCGCTCGCGCGCGCGGAATCGGACGACGGAATCCCCCCGCGCCGCTCCCAATTTTAGACGAGCGCGCCCCCGCTGACCGCGCTCCCACCCCACCCCATCCCCCGCGATGGATCCCTCCTTCCCCCGCAGGCTCCGATGGCGACGACTACGAGATCGACACGTTCCTCCCGCCGTTCGCGAACGCGGAGAACAAGGCGCTCGACGGCGTCGTCCGCGAGAAGCAGCGCGCGCTCGACGCGCTGCGCGAGGATACGGAGGAAAACCGCGACCGCGTCGTCGTGATGCGAGAGCACCTCAAGAACGTGAACCAGGAGCTCATCTACACGCAGTCGCGGTGCGACGCGAAGAAAAAGGAGATGGACACGGAGGCGCACATGAAGCGGATGTCCGAGCTCGCCATCGCGCGCGTGCGAGAGGACGTGGCGAAGATGGAGAAGGAAGAGATCGAGCTCGGCGATGAGCTGGCGACGCTCCAAACGGAGGTGCACAAGGGCAACGAGAAGCTGGACCAGTTCAAGCTGCTGATGAACTGGAACAACGAGGAGCTCGAGCAGTGGGCGACCGCGAGCGCGCAGAAGGAGGAGGACAACCTCGCGCTGCTCAAGTATCAACGCGCGGATGAGGCGCGCGTGAAGGAGCTGACGTTGGCGATCGAAAAGATGACGAAAACCGCCGCGAAGAAGAAGGCGGCTCTGGACGACGAGGTCACGGACACGCAGGCGGCGCAGACGGAGCTCGATCGCGCGGCGGAGGATTTCCGGGCGCTGCACGCGGAGCGGCAAGATCTCGTGAGGCAGTGGGAGGAGTCGGTGGAGAACATGAAGCGTCGGGACGAGGCGATTCAAGACGCGTCCAGACGGTTCGCCGCGCTAAAGAAGGAGCTCAGGCTGAAGAAGTCCGCCCTGGACGAGCGCGCGCGGTTCTACGAGCAAGAGGTGGCGAACAACAAGGAGGTGGACGCGTCCATCACGGCGGCGGAGAGAGGCATGGCGAAGATGCGCGCCGAGTACCAGGTCAATCTGAAGGAGCAGACGGATCTTCAAGACGAGGTTGACCTGCTCAACAACACGATGAAGTCGTTGGGAAGAGAGCTCGCGACGGAGAACACGGAGAACGCGTCCAAGCTCGCCGCGGTGGAGGCGAAGAAGCAGAAGCTCGAGAGCTTGAAGCGCCAGCTGGCGCGGACGGAGCTGAGGCTGGAGAATGAAAAGATCGAGCTGATGACGTTGGAGGAGAGAAGCGCGGAGCTCGATCGCATCGCGGCCGATAACGCGGACGAGCTCGACGCCGTGCGGAAAGAGGCTGCCGCGCACAAGGACCTCCTGTACAAGACGTCCCAGGAGCTGCAGCGGTTGCGGGACACCGAGCGCGGCCTCGTCGCGGAGATTGACGGCGCGACGAGTCAGAACAAAAACATGACGCAAAAAATCGCGCAACTAGACGCGCTCGTGGTGAAGCAGCAAGAGCAGCTGTACAACGCGGAGTTTCAGATCCAGGCGCTGGAGAGACAGGTGGCGCGCGCGGGCGGCGCGCGGTCGGAGGACGAGACCAGGGTGTTAAACGCGAAGATCGCCGTCGCGGAGGGGATCTTGAACGAGAGGAAAGCCGAGCACGACGTTCTCGTCGCCTCGGTGAAGAAAGCCGAGGACGACCTCGAGACGGCGAAGCGGAAGAACAAGCAGCTGAAGAGCGCGACCGCGAGCCTCGGCGGGGTCATCAACGAGCTGAACCTCGAGGCGGACAGCGTCGCGAAGGCGGTCAAGGCTGTGGTGAAGGAGAAGGAGGAGAAGATGGTGGCGCACGACGTTCTGAAGCTCGAGGTGAAGCGACTGAGAGACGCGCTCAACGATCGATCGGACGCGGTGTTCTCGCTGGAGAACCGGAAGTTCCAGCTGCAGCTGAGCATGGACGAGCGGAAGCACGAGGTGGAGGTGCACCGCGAGCTGCTCGCCGCGCAGTTAAAGATGACGAGGGAGGACATCCACCGCGCGACGCTCGAGATGAAGGAGCGGTCGATGCGCGTCGGGAAATTGCAGACGAAATTCGAGGTGCTCGTCGGACGCGTCAAACGCCCGGACGGGCCCGACGGCGCGGAGTTCTCGCAGGCGTACTACGTCATCAAGGCGGCGCAGGAGCGAGAGGACATGCAGCGGCGAGGCGACGAGCTCGACGCGAACATCCGAAAGGCGGAGAAGGAGGTCAAGGCGCTCGAGACGACGCTCGGGAAGATCAACCAAAAGAACAACGTCTTCCGGGGGTCGATCAAGCCGGTGAAGGACGACGGCGACGACGCGCTGACGGAGCGCGCGGCGCTCCGCGAGAAGCTCGACAACGCGTACGACAAGATGAAATTCAAGCGCGAGGAGGAGGCGACGCTGCAGAGGGACCTGGAGGCGTCGGAGGACCGGATGCGTCGACTCGCGGAGGAGGCTGAGGATCTCGACGCGTCTCTGGCGGAGCTCCGCGACGACGCCGCGGGGGGCGAGGACGCGCTGCGCGAGGCTGCGGAGGCGGCGGCGCGAAGCAGAGAGGAACTGCGGGAGGAGCAGGAGAAGTATCGCGCGAAGGCTGGGCTCGCGGAGGGCGAGCAAGGGTTGGAGGAGCTCGACTTGACGTGCCAGGAGTTGAGGGAAGGGACGCGCGTGGCGGTGAGCGAGCTCAAGGCTGTCGCCGCAGCGCACCCGGCCCTCGTGGAGCTCCTCGCGGGGCACGGCGTGAAACTGCCGGGGGACGTCGGCGGGCGCGCGGCGTCGGAGCAGAGCTCGTACGTGTTGCAGTGAAAGACGACTAGCTCGCGTCGTGTTATTCCACCGTAAGCGCGTCGTCGAAACGGAACGGAAGGCGTCCGACGCCGGCGAAAAAAACGAACCGCGCGATAAAAGGCGAGCGAACCGACGCTCGCATCTCTCTCGTTCCTTCCTTCCCCGCTCACGGGTGCTCGGGCTCGCGCTGGTAGCTCCCGCGATCGCGCGAGAAGTCCTCGCCGCCGGGGTTGAACGATTCCCGCGGGGATCGAACCCCCAACGCCTCCGGCTCGGACCCGTACTCCGTCGCGCCGTAATACCGCAGCACGTCCTCGGGGTAGATGCCCTTCTCGTCCACGAGGCCGTACTTCCCCGCGGCGCGCGCGTACGACAGCGCGGTCCAGTCCTTCGCGGTCCGCGCGTCTAAGTCGACGCCGTAGTCCACGAAGAGTTTGATGATCTCCACGCCGCCGTCGACGGCCCAGAAGAGCGTCAGGTCGCCGTTTCTGTTCATGAAATTGGGATCCGCGCCCGAGCGAAGCAGCGCGCGCGACGCCTCGAGGCGGCCGCGGTGCGCGGCGGACATGAGAGGCGTGTACCCGTTCTTGCTTCCGTACGCCGAGCCGAAGACGAAGTTGACGTCCGCGCCCTCTTCGATCTTCTTGTAGATGAGCCGGATGTCGTTCTGTGCGGCGCGGGGGGTTGGGGAGGGCGCGAGGCGACGTCGTGAGCGACGGGGAGGGAGAGAGCGGTTCGGGAAACGGTTCGGCTCCCGCCTCGATTTTTCCGTATCACTTTTTCCTCGAGCGCGTCGATCGACGCGACGCGACGGGATCTCGCCGCGGGTCGCGTCGGGTCGCGCGCGCGCGCGTCGCACCTTGACGATCGCCGCGAGGAGCTCCTCGGTCTCTCTGCTGGCTTTCTCGACGTTCGGGCCCTTCGCCGTCGGGTCGTAATCGGGGTGGTGCGAGCCCTTGCCGTCGTCCCACTGCGATCGATCGACGAGGACGGAGGCGGGAGGTGAGCGGTCGATCGACGGGAGGAAAGCGTCGTGGTCACGAGGCGGGCGGGGACGCGACGCGGGCGTCGAGGGCCGCGCGCGAACTTCCGTCCACCGCGACGAACCTGCGCGGCGTAGGCCTCCTCCATGGCCTCCTGGCGCTTCTGCATGATCTTGGTCTACGCGTAGGGTCATCACATCAGCGTTAAGAAGGAGTGAGCGGCGGCGCGAGACGACGGATGGATTGGTTCTGAGAAGAGACGGACGGAACGCATTCATTCGTTCGTTTTCACGCGGGAGGCGAGCGTGCGACTCGCGACGCGCGACGCGCGGCGCGACGCCCGACCATTTGCGACATGATGCGCGAGTTTCTTTGACGATACTGGGGGTGAAGTGAATGGCGCGCGCCGCGTGCGTCGTGCGTCCGTGGAAGTGCGCGCGGAGCCGCAACGTCGCGGCACGGGAGACGAAAAAACGCTCATTCGTGGTTCGATCATCATGACAGGAAGTCATCATCGCATTTCTGAAAAAAAAACGGCACACATCGTCGCGTACATCGCTCACGGCAGCGCCCCCATCTCACCGCGAGCGTCGTCCACCCCCGCGCCGCGCGCGTCCTCGTCGTCGCCCTGCCCCTCCTCCTCCTCCTCCACCACCTCCTCCTCCGCGACCCCCCAATTCTCCTCAGAGAACACGAACGCGTGGTCGAACAGACGCGCGTTCATCTCGCCGAGTCTCCTCGCCGCGTCGCCGTGCTCGATCCACCGCTCCTCGATCGCCGTCGTCGCCGACGCCTCGATCGCGCTCGACGGCGCGTCCTCCACGCGCATCCCCTGCAGTTGCGCGGGCGTGCACACGGCGCGATCGATGTCGCGCTTGATCACGGCGATCACGCGCGCGGACTCGGACGCGGACGCGGACGCGGAAACGGACGCACCGCCGCCGCCGCCGTCGGCTTCCGCGACGACGTGCGCGCGAAGCCGCCGGAAGACTTCCCCGGCGTCGGCGTCGACGCGCTTCGCGCCCTCCTCGCCGAGCGCGTCTGCGATCAGCGCGTGCGCGTTCGTCGGGTCGTCGCGCGCGCGCTCGATCAGCGCGCGCCGGAACAGCGCGACGTGCAGACGCGCGACGTCGGCGACGGCGGGGTCGAGGACGCGGCGGTCGAGCAACGGCGACCGCGCTCTGGCGGCGGCGCGCGCCGCCGCGGCGCCGTGCTTCCCCGTCTGAGCGCCGAGCGACGGCCCGCCGGACGCGAACCCGTGCCAGCGCCGCTGCCACTCGCGCCACAGGTGCGACACGAGGAGGAAGAACGCGATCGGGCCGACCAGGAGCGCGCGGCTGAGGGTCGTTTTATACAAAAAAAGTTCACCGGTCAGTTGAAAAGGGACGCGATCAAATGTTGAAACCGAGCGGTGGGTGAAAAACTTTTGTATACAGTAACTTAGAACGCACCTGAGGATCCCGGGCGGGGAGACCGATCGACCGCCGGCGCCGGCGCGGCGGATGTTTCCGACCGCGCCGGAGGCGCCGAACTCGACGATAAAAGGGGACGTCCCGAACGGCTTCTCGCACTCGAGGACGAAGAACCTCACGAACTCGGAGAAGACGTCCGGGTCGTGCTCGTCCGCGTTCGCCGGGGTGTAGTAGCTGTACCCGGTCAGCGGCGAGCGGAATCCGAACGTCGCGTCGTCGTCGTGTCTTTCCCGCCCCGGCGCGGCTGATGACCCCGGCGCGGACGCGCGCCTCGCGCGGCGCGCGACGCCGACGCGGCCGCCGTGGAACGACGACCGGTACCCGTTCGCGCTGAAGCTGCGCGCGTCGACGACGTCGGACGCGATGTATATCGGGACGCCGCGCTTCATCGCGGCGCATATCGCGACGACGTCCTCGAGCCCCCGACGGCGGCGGCGGCGGCGGCGGCGGCGGCTGTCGGCGGAGAACGAGGACGAGGAGGAGGACGAGGGCCGGGGCCGAGACTTGGGCGGCCGCGGCCACGCGTCGTCGAGGTCCAGCTCGATCTCGCGCACGCGCTCGACCGCGCCCTCGAAGCCTTCCCTCGCCCCGCCGCGCGCACGTCGCGCGCCGTGCAACCGCGCGCGGTAGAGCGCCGGTCCGGATCCGGATGTGATTTTCACGCACGCCGCCGCCGCGTCCGCTTCGATCTGCGACAGGAGCTCCTCCACCTCCTCGGGCTCGACGTCGAGCGCGCGCAGCGGCGGGAGCGCCTCGTGCGCGAACACGACCGCGTTCGAGCACGTCACGTCGTGGAGGCACGCGTTCAACGTCTCGACGTCGTCCCGAAACGCGTTTCGAAGCCACGGCGCGACGTCCGCGGGTCTGCCGTACGAAGGGCGCGGGTCGTTCGCGAGTTGCCACGCGTCGAAGACGTCGTCGACGGGGCCATCGAGCAGCACTCCGCGGTGTCGTCGCTCGTGAAAGCCGAGTCCGGCGCCGCCGCCGCCGCGGCGGCGTCTCCCCGGGATGTCGATCGGGGACGACATGTATCGCGCGGGAAGGCCCGTGAGACCGCCGCGCTCGCCAAAGTCCCCGCGAGGAGAACCCGAACCGACGCGACGTTTCACGTCCCTGTCGCGGTACCGCGCGCGCCTGCCCGCGGCGACGTGCGACGTCTGCGTCAGGCAGTTCTTCAGGTAGCGATAGCACAGCGTCAGCGCGTCGCGCGTGGAAGCGCCGTCGGCGGAGGCGTCGACGTCGTCCGCGGCGGCGGCGGCCCGAACGTCTTCAGCGCCCTTCTTCACCGCTCTCTTCCACCGCTCGCGTCGATCTCTCGGGGTGAAGCGGATCAGACCGGGGTCGACGACCTTGAGGTACGCGTCGTTGTAGTCGTCGTCCTGCGCGAGCTCGTCGTCGTCGCCGCGGTCGTCGCGGCGGCGTCGGGGGTTGGGGTTTTGGCCGCCGCCGTCGTCGTCGTCGTCGTCGTCGTCCTCCTCCTCCTCCTCCTCCTCCTCCACGGGCGCGCACGCGAGTATCGGGAGCACGCGCGCGTCGCCGTCGAGCGTGCGAAACGTCACCGTCAGCACGCGCGCGCGTCGCTCCGCCTCACCGCCCGCGACGCGGACGTTCGCCGCGGCGGCGGCGTCGAGCGCGTCGTCGTCGGGAACCTCGGCGAGGTGCGCGGACTCGACGACCGCGCGCGTCCACGCGGCGCCGTCGCCGCCGAGCGCGCGCGCGATCGTCGCGTCTGATTCGTCGAGGTCGTCGCGGCGGCGCCACGTCGACGACGCGTCGTCGAACCACAGGGGGCGGTCGTCGTCGTCGTCGTCGAAAGGCGCGCGCTCGCCGTCGTAGTGCGGCTGGCGCGACCCGAGGCTGGCGCGGCGCGCGTGTCGACGCGCGCGGACGTCGCCTCTCGCGCGGTCGTCGCGGCGCGCGGGCGCGGGGGCGACGCGCGCGCGGAAGGAAGGTAGGGGACGCGGCCGGACGACGGCGGACGCGATCGTCGTCGTCATGACGCGGCGTCGCGCGGAGTGCGCGCGACGGAGTGAGCTACGACGACGCGAGCAACAGAAAGCTACGACCGCACTTCTTCTCTGGTCTGCTGTTGGAATACTCGAAGCGAAGACGAGGCGACTTATCCGTCACTTCCGCGCGGCGCACGTATGGCGCGCGTCGCGCTCGCGTCATCGCCATGGCGGCCGCACGCGACGCCGGCGCTGACGGGCGGCATGGGGAGCAGACTCGCGAGGGTTCGACGCGCGTCGGCGCCGTGCCCGCCGCCGCACGACCGCGGGAGGCGCGATACCCCGACCTACAACCTCGTCACGTGGTGCGAGGAGAACTTTCAGCGAGGACTCCTGAAGGAGTACGTCGACCCGGACAGGGGACCGACGAAGGTGACGCGGGGGTCGGGCTACAGAGCACTGTGGAAGTGCGCGGCGTGCGGCCACGAGTGGCGGACGACGGTGAACCACCGCACGAAGAGCGACAAACCCACCGGATGTCCGGAGTGCCGCCCACCCGGGGGCGGTCCTGTCACCGCCACCCCAACCAACAACTTCCTCGTGTGGTGCGAAGAGAACGGCGAGCGAGGGAAGAAACTCCTGAAGGAGTACGTCGACCGGGACAGAAAGCCGACAGAGGTGATGCGGGGGTCGAATTACAAGGCGCTGTGGAAGTGCGCGGCGTGCGACCACGAGTGGCGGGCGGTGATGTGCAGCCGCACGAGGAGGAACAGACTCAGCGGGTGCCCGGCGTGCTCGAAACGACTGCCGCAGAGCGAGACGCACTTCTTCCTCGAGTGGTGCGAGGAGAACGGCGAGCGAGGCGAGAGACTGTCGCGAGAGTACGCCGATCCGGACGTGAAGCCGACGGAGTTGGCGTATGGATCGGCGTACAGGGCGCTCTGGAAGTGCGCGGCGTGCGACCACGAGTGGCGGGCGACCATGTGCAACCGCACGAGGAGCGACAAACCCGCGGGTTGTCCGAAGTGCAACCCCCCCGGAGGACCGCGCAAAGACAAGAGCGGTCGACGCGTCCCGCCCGCCGCGACTCGATAGATCGCATGAAAGAATCGTGAGTCCTACAAGCAGGACATTCTGTTGGAATAAAATCGTCTCCTCGCTCTTCTCTACGACTAGACTAATACTTTCACGGCACCGGCCCGACGTGCTTCGACACCCTCGCCATGTCTGCCTCGTACTGCTCCTTCGTCCGGTTCGTCGGCTGCTCCAAGTTCACGTACTTCTTCACCCCGTATATCAGCTCCTCCGCGGTGGACGAGTGCAGCAGCTTCGCGCTCGTGCCGTGCCTCGTCTCGAACTCGATCGGGTTCCGAGTCACGAGCACATCCGGCAGCGTTTCAACCGGCGCCGCCGGCGGCAGCGACTTGACCCTCACGCCCCACTTGACGCGCTCCAACGCGCCGTCCGTCCCGCCCAGCGTGTGCGGCTCGTGCGGATTCGCGCCGCCGCCCTTCTCGTACCGCGCCTGCCCGGGCGTGACGTAGTACTTCACGCGCGCGGTCTCCCCGCCGTCGCCGGCGCCCGGGACGTCCGCCCCCGGCTCCGGCGTCCGCGTCCGCGCGCCCCATCGCTCCGTCTTCGTCTCCCTCGCCGCGTGCCCGAGGTCCGCCCAGCACGGCGTAGACGCTTTCCCTCTCGGCGGCTTCGGCTTCCGCGGCGGCGCTTTCCAGTCGCTGTGCACGCGGACCGTCCCGCGCATCCCTTCCTTCGCGCGCAGCTCTCTCAACGCGCGCTCGGCGTCCTCGCGTCGCGTCGCCTTCCACGCGTCGAGCTCGTCGCGATCCATCAAGTTCGGATCAAACTCTCGAAACGTCCCGTCCTCGTCGAACGCCGTCTCCGGACCCACCTTCCCGCGCTCCTCCACCTCCCTCGCCGCCGCGATCGCGCGCGCCACGTCCTCCTCCGCGACGTCCGCGCCCCTGACGTCGCCGTACCCAGCGTACGTCCTCGGCGCGGCGTATCCTCTCGCGAGGCGCGCGCCGTGTCGATTCTGCCACCGCCCGCTGTGATCCCTCCGCGCGATGAACGCGAGCTCCTCCTCGGTGAGCTCTTCCAGGCCGCGGTTGCCGTCGCCGAACCCGCCGCGGTCTTCCCATCGCCCGGCGCGGTCGAACCCGAGCGTCGGGTCCGCGTCCGGGGACATCGCTCGCGCTTCCCACCGCCCGCGATGGTCGGCGGCGCGGTCCTCGCCGACCCTGGGCGGGAGCTCCTCGCGGAAGTTCTCCGGCCAGCTCGGGGTGAGCCCGTCGCGCTCCAGGAGCTCCTTGCTCGGCATCGGTTTGGGTTCGCGTCCAAGGCCGCAGTCGAACTGTGGACGAGGAGGTCGGGGGGGGGACGGGGCGGGGCGTCGGCGTCAGTTTTTTTCTCGGAGGACGCGTCGAAACGGTCAACGACGACGACATCGCAGCCGCGTCGTCGTCGTCGTCGTCGTCGTCGTCTTCATCTCGTCGCGTGCGTCTTCGTCGCACCTTGCCGTCCACGAGCGTCTCCTCGAAATCGCACTTCGGGAGCGGCTTCCCGAGCTTGTTCGGATGAAGCAGCGCGTCGATCGGCCGCGCCGCCGCGCGCGCGCGTCGCCTCCGCGCGTCTTCCTTCATCTGCTCGCGAATCTTCGCGCGCGCGCGTCGAGCGGTGACCGCGCTGACCCTGCCGAGCGGCACCCCCGGCGCGGCCGCGACGAAGTCCGCGGCGTAGCTCATGTCGAACGGCTCCGCGACGCCCGCGCGTTCGGGGATCGTCGGCGCCATGACGACCGGAGCGACGCGCGCGACGCCGGCGATGACTACTGTGTCGTGAAAGCCGTTGGCGTTGGTTCGTGTTTGCGAAATGTCAGCTGCGCGCTGCAGCGTGCCCACTTCGTCCTCTTCCGCCGGGGGCGGTCCAGTGGGCTCGCCGCGCCTCCACGGGATGTCCCAGGGTTTCGACTGGAAGACCCCGCGCGACGCCGGCGCGGCCGGCGCGTCGCCGTCGGCGGGAGACGACCCGTCGCCGACGGTGCGCGCGCGTCGCTCGCGCGTCCCGAATGGCGCTCTCCGCGGATCTCGCGCCAACGAAAAACATCTTCTCTTCGTCGTTTGAATGGCTTCTTCGTCGTCGTCGTCTCTCACCGTCGTCGTCGTCCCTCCCTCCCCGCGCCTCGCCGTCGTCCGCAGAGAGAGCAGAGTTCCGCCGACCGCGCTCGGTTCGGCTGGTCGCACGAGAAGCACTTCCCCCGCCGTCCCGGCGCGACGCCGAACGCCGTCGCGCGCGAGAGCGCGTCGAAGATCCCGTCCAGCTCCGGCGCGTTCTCGCCGACCTCGCCCCCCGCGGATGACCCGGGATCGCCGTCGTCCTCCTCGGTCGACGCGACGCCGGAGCCGACGCGCGGTGGCGTCGGGGTCGGCGCCGGCGTCGATCCGAATCCGAATCCCATCCCGGGCGGCGCGACCCCGGCGTGGGTGGAGACGCGTCGCGGGACGCGCCCGGTCACGACGCCGCTCACCGCGGCGAAGAACCGGTGGGACGGCGGCTCGCCGCGGATGTTCGTCGACGCCGCGGACGCGTCGCCGGAGAGCTCGTGGCTGACCGTCGCGGGCGCGGGCGCGGACGCGGACGCGGACGCGAACGACGACCCGCCCGCGCCCGCGGCGTTATCGTTCGGCGGCGGCGCGGCGGAGGCGCCGCCGCCCGTCGCGTTCGGAGCGCCCGCCGCCGCCGCGTCGTCGTCGTCGTCGTCGTCGTTCGCCGCGCCGTCGTTCGCGTTCACGTTCGGCGCGCCGACGCCGCCGATCGTCTTCGGCGCGCCGCATCCTGGTCCGGGGATATCGCCGGGGCTGTTCAACCGATCTTCCCCGGTCGCGGACGCGACCAAGGCGGTGGACGCGCAGCTCGACGAGCTCGCCAAGGCGAAGCGTCGGCTGAGCGTGATGGAGCTCGAGAAGACGAGAGTCGAGCTCGCGGCGTCGCGAGACTCGCTCGCGACGAAGGGCGAGCAGCTCAACGCCGCGGCGAAGGAGAGCGATCGAAAGCGAGAGGACCTGCGGGAGGCGCTGGCGAAGGCGGAGGCGGCGCACGTCGCCGACGACGACGCCATTGCCGCGCTGACGCGCGAATTGACAATCTTGACGGACGCGGCGGCGTCATCGGCGGCGCGAGAGAGAGAGGTGCGTTCTATACACTGGTTCCCATACGACCGCGTCGGCGTGGTGAACGCCGATCCTTAAGGACTTTTGCCGCCGTCTCTCCACGCCCACCCCCCGCTTTCAATCCCCGCCCTCGACGCCTTTCAACTTCTACTGACGCCTTTCAACTCCACCCCGACATTCGCTTGTATGGAACGACCCAGACGGAGACGCTCCTCGCGGAGGTGAGCACGAGATCCCCCGGCGCGAACGCGTCGTCCCCGAGCGCGGCGATGGCGGAGGTCATCACGCAGTGCGCGGCGGCGACCGCGGAGGCGGCGGCGAGGCGAGACGCGATGGAGGCGAAGAAGCTCGAGCTCGAACGCGCCGTCGAGGACCGGGACGCGTCGGAGAGGGCGCTGACGCGGTGCCGCGAGGATCTGCGCGCCGCGCTCGCGGACGCGGCGTCGTCGCCGAGGCAGCAGCGCACGCTGCCGCCTTCGCCGGCGCAGAGCGGCGGTTCGGGTGCGTTCCGGTGGCACTCGAACGACACGTTCGGCGGAGGCGAGACCGCGTCGTTGCCGTCGCCGTCGCCGTCGCGGTCGTCCTCCGTCGCCGTCTCCGTCACCGCGAAGGCGAACCTCTCCCCCGCGGCGAAGGAAGAGGTCGACCTCAGAGTGGAGCTCTATCGCCTGCAGCGCGCGCTCGCGGAGAAGGACGCGGAGTTGGAGCTCGCGCGCGTCTCCGCCGCGGACGCCGCGAGGGCGAACGCGGAGCGCCTCGACGAGCTCCACGGCGTGTTGACGTCGCTCCAGGCGCAGGTGCGTTCTATACAGAAGTTTTTCACCCACCGCTCGGTTTCAACATTTGATCGCTCCCCCTTTCAACTGACGTTTTTGTAATGGCCCTCAGCGCCGCGCGTCCGTCGCGCCGCCGTCGCCGCGGCGTGAGAGCGGGACCGGTCGGTCGGTGACGGCGATGACCGCGGAGCTGGACATCTTGCGGTCCGCGTTGGAGGGGAAGGATAAGGAGCTCATCGCGCTCGCGGCGGAGCGCGCGGAGCTCGAGACGATGCGCCTCGAGGCCGAGGCGGCGGCGGTGCGCGAGCAAGAGGCGGCGGAGCTCATCACGTCGCAGTTTAGCGCGCTGAGGAAAGAGGTGAACGACGCGAAAGCGGCGAGCTTGGAAAAGGACGAGGCGCGCAGGGTCGCGGAGAGCGCCGCGCACGACGCCGCGGAAGATCACGCGGCGAAGGTGAGAGCGCTGATGCTCGAGCTTCAGGAGGCGCGGAAGACCGCGGAGGAGACCGCGGCGAAGGCGGAGGAGACGGAGAAGCGTCGCGTCGAGGCGGAGGCGGCGGCGACCGCGGCGAAGAAGACGAGCGCCGCGACGACGACGGACGAAGAGACAGAGAAGCTCAAGAAGGACATCGTCCGACTGGACGCCGCGCTGCTCGTCGCCGCGGAGCAGACGGCGGATAAGCTGGACCACCACCGCGCGGCGAAGGCGGCGCTCGAGGACGAGCTCGAGAGATTGAAGGAAGAGACGAAGACGCGGGAAGAAGCGAGCGCGCGGGAGATTCGAAGGTTGAACGTCGCGTTGCGAGGCGCGATGCGCGCGGCGGAAAAGTCCGGCACGGACGACGACGCGTCCGGCTCGGACGCCGAGACGAGAGGCGGAGAGAAGAGAGCGCCGTCGACGCCGTCCGCGCGCGAGCGGCGGCTCGAGATCGAAGTATCGACGCTCAGACGCGCGCTGGAGGAGTCGCGCGCGGCGGCGGCGCCGCGGTCGCCGCGATCGCCGCCGACGACGCCGAGCCCTCGCCGAGTGCCGCTTCCGGAGACGCCGCGGCCGTGGCCATCGCCTCGAAGCGCGCCCTTACCGGAGACGCCGCTCGCGTCGACGTACGACGCCCCGCTCGCCGCGCTCGCGTCCGTCGCGCGCGGCGAGCGAGAGGAACGCCTCGAGGATGAAATCTCCAAGCTGCACGCGGCGCTTCGCGAAGCCGCCGGCGCGGCGGCGGAGGAAGACGCCGCCGGCGCCGCGAGGGAGAAACAGCTCAAGGCTGACCTCGACGCCGCGGTCTTCGCGCGCGACGAGGCTGTCGCGGAGGCGTCCGAGCGCGAGACGGCGCTCTCGAGGGAGGTGGCGGGGCTTCGAGAGTCGCTCGACGGCGCGCTCGCGGCGGCGCGCGACGCGATCGCCGCGCGCGCCGCCACCGAAGACCTCGACCTCGCGGCGTCCTCCTCCGCGCGAGAGGACGCGCTCGAAGAGGAGATCGCGCGGCTGCGCGCCGCGTTGGAGGCGGCGCTCACCGCCGCCGCGATGGAGGACGAGCGCGAGGCGGCGTCGGCGGCGGAGGCGAACGCGCGCGCCGACGCGTTGGAAGCGGCGCTCGCCGAAGTCACCGAGGGGATGGCGAACGCGAACGCGATGGTCGAGGCCGCGGTGTTCGCGCGCGACGAGGCGCAGGCGGAGCTGGAGACGCTGAAGAACGATCGCGTCGGCGCGGAACCCCCGCACGTCACCGCGCGCGCGCTCGAAGAGCTCGACACGCTTCGCGGCGAAGTCGAGCGCCTCTCCGCCGCGCTCGACGCCGCGCCCGCGGTGTTGGGCCTGGGAGAGGACCCCGAGGACGCAAAATGGCGCGCGCGCGAGAACGAGCTCACGACGCACGTCGCGAGGCTCGAGCGCGCGCTCAAGGACGCGGCGGCGGCGGTGGGCGCGTCCGAGGCGGCGGCGGTGGACGCCGCCGAGCGGGCCATCGCGAGCGGCGCGAGAGACGGCGACCTCGACGGCATCGACGCGATCGGCGCGCTGCCCGAGCGCGACAGCGACGACGAGACGGACTCGGACGCGAGTGATTTCGAAGTCGCGGCGCCGGCGACGTCGCGCGCGGGGGAGGCGGCGGCGGCGGCGGCGACGACGACCGCGCGCGGGAGCGCGCCCTCGAAAAACTCCGCCGCCGCGTCGGCGTCGGCGGCGGAGTTTTTCGAGGGCGCGACGCCGCGCGAACGGTACAGATCGCGAATCGATCATTCCTCCCGCCCGACCCGGGGCTTGGGCCTGTTCGCCGCGCGCTACGGGCACGGCTACGGCCGCGGCGACCGCGCGCCGCCGCCGCCGCGGGTCTTGGCCGCGATCGCGGTCGCGGTCCTCGCCGCGTGCGTCGCCGTCGTCGCGACGGTTTTCTTCTCCGGCGACTCGTGCGGGTGGTCCGCGACGTCCGTCGTGGACGAGTGGCTGTCGTACGTCGTCCACGCGAAGTACCGCCCGGCGTGCGCGCCCAGGTCGCGGCCGTCGTGATCGACGTTTCTACGTAGGAGTGTGATTGTAAACTATGCGCGCGCGCGACGATACAAACGAGGATGCGGGCGACGCGCGAGAATCGAAAAAGTTGAATTTTAGTACGTACGGAAATCTCGTACTTTTCGTATGGGCAAATGGTTCAACGAGGTTCCGAGGGTGGGATCTCCGATCTCCGACAGCGGCACCTGGCGGCACCCGTGCCGCATTCGCCGCGTCAGCTGCCATTGTCTTCAGGGCTTCGGTCGTCGCCCCGGGGCCACTGCTTCGCGCGCTCGCACGCGCCGAACGCACGCGCGCGCGAGTGCAACGCTCGCGACTCGCACAATGACCGCCGCTCGCGCCGCCGCGGCGCCGATGGCGCTCGCGCGGCCGATGGAGACGCGCCGCCGCCGCTCGGTGCGCGCCCTCGAGATTCCCTCGGGTCGCGAAAAGTCGCGACGTGCGCCGCGCCGTCCGCGCGCGACCCCGTCGCTCGCTCGTCTCATCGTTCCCTCCCGCCTCGCTCCCCCCCCCACCGCATCTCGCAGCCGAAATCGTCGTCGTCGCGCGTCGTCGCGAGAGCGGTCTCCGCCCCCCCCGCGACGACCGAGATCAAGCGCGTCTTCACCTTCGGCGGCGGCGAAGCGGACGGGAACGCCTCCATGAAGACCCTGCTCGGCGGCAAAGGCGCGAACCTCGCGGAGATGTCCTCCATCGGCCTCTCCGTCCCCGCCGGGTTCACGGTCACGACGGAAACGTGTAAAGCGTTCCACGAGAACGGCGCGAAGCTTCCCGACGGATGCTGGGAGGAGATGCTCGCGGGCCTCGAACAGATCGAGACGCGCATGGGATCCAAGCTCGGCGACCCGTCCAACCCGCTGCTTCTCTCCGTGCGTTCCGGCGCCGCGGTCTCGATGCCCGGGATGATGGACACGGTGCTCAACCTCGGGTTAAACGACGTCGTCGTCGAGGGGCTCGCGGAGAAGGCTGGGGAGAAGTTCGCGTTCGACTCGTACCGCCGCTTCCTGGACATGTACGGCGACGTCGTCATGGGCGTCGAGCACGCGCTCTTCGAGCGCGAGATCGCGTCGCTGAAGCGCGAGTGCGGCGTCGTGAACGACAACGATCTCAACGCGGTTCAACTGCGCGAGCTCGTGAAGAGGTACGAGCGCGTGTACGAGACCGCGGGCGTGACGTTCCCGCAAGAGCCGCTCGAGCAGATGAGGCTCGCCGCGTACGCGGTGTTCGACAGGTGCGTTAGTTCTATACAAAAGGTTTTCACCCATACAGTAGCTCGTTTTCAACACTTGATCGCTTGGGTCCCTTTCAACATACAGTACTGATCGATGAACTCCTTATTTTTGTATGGAACGACCCACAACAGCTGGAACAGCGACCGCGCGAAGAAGTACATGGCCATCAACGGCATCGTCGGGCTGGAGGGCACCGCGGTGAACGTCCAGGCGATGGTGTTCGGGAACATGGGAGACACCAGCGGCACGGGCGTGTGCTTCACGCGGAACCCGAGCACGGGCGAGAACCTTCTGTACGGCGAGTACCTCGTCAACGCGCAGGGGGAGGACGTCGTCGCGGGGATTCGAACGCCGGAGGACATCCTCACGATGAAGAACGCGCTCCCGGAGGCGTACGACGACCTGGTTCGAAACACGCAGCTCCTCGAGAAGCACTACAAAGACATGCAAGACATCGAGTTCACGGTCCAGGAGGGCAAGCTGTACATGTTGCAGACGCGGAGCGGGAAGCGCACCGGCGCCGGCGCGGTGAAGATCGCGGTCGACCTCGTCGAGGCCGGGATGATCGACAGAGCGACCGCGGTGACGCTCGTGGAGCCGACGCACGTGGATCAGCTGCTTCACCCGCAGTTCAAGGACGAGGCTGGGTACGCCGCGGACGTCATCGGCGTCGGCCTTCCCGCGTCGCCCGGCGCGGCGGTCGGGCAAGTCGTCTTCGACACGCCCACCGCGGAAGATTTACACGCGCGAGGGAAAAAGTGCATTCTCGTCCGCGTGGAGACGTCGCCGGAGGACGTCGGCGGGATGAACGCCGCGGAGGGAATCCTCACCGCGCGCGGCGGGATGACCTCGCACGCCGCCGTCGTCGCGCGCGGGTGGGGAAAGACGTGCGTGTCCGGATGCAGCGAGCTCGTCGTCGACGAAGAGAACCGGTGGCTGTCGTTGGGCGGCGTCAAGCTCCACGAGGGCGACTGGCTGTCGCTGAACGGCACGACCGGCGAGGTCATCCGCGGCGAGGCGGAGCTCGCGCCGCCCGCGATCGGCGGCGACCTCGACGTCTTCATGTCCTGGGTGGACGAGTTTAGGACGCTGCGCGTGCTCGCCAACGCGGACACGCCGGAGGACGCGACGACGGCACGCGTCAACGGCGCGGAGGGCGTAGGGCTCGTGCGCACCGAGCACATGTTCTTCGGCACGGGCGAGCGCATACGCACCGTGCGACGGATGATCATGGCGACGTTGACGAGCGATCGCCAGGCGGCGCTGGACGATCTGTTGCCGTTCCAGAGGGGCGACTTTGACGGGATCTTTCGCGCGATGGACGGAATGCCGGTCACGATTCGGCTGCTCGATCCGCCGCTGCACGAGTTTCTTCCAGACGGCGAGCTCGACGAGATCGTCGCTCTGCTCGCCGCGGACACGGGCGCGGACGAGGACGAGGTCGTCGAGCGAATCGAGAAGCTCGCGGAGATAAACCCGATGCTCGGCTTCCGCGGGTGCAGGCTCGCGATCACGTATCCGGAGATTGGTCGGATGCAAGCGCGGGCGATTTTCGAAGCCGCGTGCGCGGCGCAGAAAGACGGCGTGGTTGTCAAACCGGACATCATGGTCCCGCTCGTCGGGACCGTCGCGGAGCTTCAGAACCAGACGCGAATGATTCGCGAGATCGCGGCGACGGTGTTCGAGGAGACGGGCGTGACCGTGGAGTACCGCGTCGGGACGATGATTGAGATTCCGCGCGCGGCGTTGCTCTCGGATCAAATCGCTGGCGAAGGCGGCGCCGAGTTTTTCTCGTTCGGGACGAACGACCTGACGCAGATGACGTTCGGGTACTCGCGAGACGACGTCTCGAAGTTCCTTCCCACGTACCTCGAGAAGGGCATCCTGAAGCACGATCCGTTCCAGGTCTTAGACCAAGAGGGCGTCGGTTCGCTGATCGAGATGAGCGTGAACAAAGGCCGAGGCGCGAACCCGAATCTGAAGGTTGGCATCTGCGGCGAGCACGGCGGCGACCCGGCGTCCGTGGAGTTTTTCCACGAGAAAGGGCTGGACTACGTCTCGTGCTCGCCGTTCCGCGTTCCCATCGCGCGTCTCGCCGCGGCGCAGGCGGCGCTCAAGGCGGCGAAGGAGAAGTGACACGCTCCGAGCGCGCGGCTCATTCTTTTGACGGGGCGGGGGGGATTAACACGACTGTTATTGTGAATACAACCACGACGTCGTCGTTCGCGCGAATCATTCGTTCGCTCTCGTTCTCTTCCTCGCCACGTCCCCTCGCCTCGCGCGCGTCGTCGACGTCAATACACCAACGGCCCCGCGGGCTCGTCCGACTGCGCCCACGCCGGGGCTTTATCGCGTTCGTACCGGTAATCGTACGTCAACTCTTCCCCCGGCGCGATGTTATCCTTCGCGAATATGCCGACGCGGTGGTCGCCTCTCACCATGAGCACCTTCGCGTAGCAGTTCGGCGTCGCGCTGTGGTTCGCAAACTTGAGCTTGTTCCCTTTCAAGTGCGCGTCCAAGCACCACTGGTCGTTCAGGTTGAAGAGGAACGAGCAGTTCACGCGGTCGTAAATTTTCCCTCGGCGGTCCGCCTCGACTTGCGTGATGAGCTCGCCGGTGTACTCGCCGAGGAGCTCGTTCTTCTTCGCACCGTCCTTCAGGAACGCGCCCCAGCCCGCGATCGCGCTGACCCCCAAGCAGATCTGCTTCCGCTGCCGCAGCAGCAGCTTCATGTTCACGCAGCTCTCCGTCGGGTCCCCGCGCGCGTTCGGTCCCTCCGTCGGCACCTCCGGCGGCGGCGGCACCGGCAGACACAGGTCCGTGAACGGCCACCCCTCTCTGGCGTCGTGCGCGATCGTCGCCGTGGTCGCGACGCAGCGCTTGCACAGGTCCGGGTCGCACTCGCGCGCGGCGGCGAAGCACGGGCAAGCGCGCGTGTGGCACTGCCCGCGGAGGCACGCGCAGCCGGTGAACGCGTTCGAGCACGACCCGCCGCACGCGCAGTAGCGCTCGCAAAAGTTCCCGTCGCGAATGCAGAGACAGGTGCGCTCGTCGCACGGGCCGTCGCACGTGCACGGAGAGTACTGAATCCAGACGTGATCCTCGCTGTTCGCAATGCGTCGACGCACGGTCGCGGTCGTACGCTTGCGCTGCGACGTCCCGCGTTTTTTCATCGCGCGGCGGCCGCCCTTCCTGCCGCGGCCGCCCCTCCCGCCGCGGCCGCCCCTCCCGCCTCTCTCGTCGTCCGCGTTGTCGACGCCCTCCCCCGCCGTCGCAGAGCCGTCGCGTTCTCGCCTTCGCGCCTCCACCACGGCGTGTTCCGCGTCCGCGACGACGTCCGCTCGCACGCGCGCTTGAATCTCGTGACATTTTGGCGCGTCCGGGGCCCGCATCGCTCGCGCGATCGCGCACGGGTCCGCGTCTTCGCCGTATACCCTCCGCATCTTGATGTAGAAACTCTCGTGAAAGTCCGTCCACGTCGACGAGACGCGTCTCGCGTCGGAAGGGACCGCCTCGTCCGCTTTCGCGGCGGCGTACTGCTTCGCGGCGGCGGCTTTCTCCACGGCGGCGGCGGCGGCTTTTCTCTCGGCGACCGCCACGGGGGCGTTTTTTTGCGCTTCCGGCCGCGAGCGCGCGCCGCGCTTCGTCGTCGTCGTCGTCGTCGTCGTCGTCGTCGTCATCGTCGTCGCCTCCTCCTCCTCTTCCTCCTCCTCCTCCTCCTCCTCGGAGACGTCCTCGGCGTGCGTGCCCATCGTCAGCTTGTTCAGATCCTTCGTCCGATGTTTCCCGCCCTTGCCGACGCTCCCGGTCCCGGTCCCGGTCTTCTTCTTGGCGCTCGAACCTTTGGCGCCCGTCCCCCGGCCGTCCCCCGCGGCCGGCTTCCCTCGCGCGCTCTTTCGCACGGGCGCGTCGTCCATAAACTTCGCCGCGGCTTCGGATCGCTCGAGCGCCTCCCGCGCCGCCGCCGCGTCCTCCTCCGCCTCCAAACACATCTGCTTCGCCTCCTCCGCGACGTTGAGACGCTTGTTCATCGCCAGCTCCGCGACGAGGCGGACGCTCTTCGCATGAAACACGAGAAACGCGCCGCCGTCTCGCAGCCCTCGCATTCGCCAGCAGTCCGGCCCGCACGGATTCGCCTCCGGCGGCGGGTCAACTCCTTCCGGGCACGCGTCGTCGAGCGCGTCTTGTTGGCTCATGTCCTTGTCCTTCGCGCGCGCTCTCGCCGACGTCCCCGTCCCCGTCCCCGTCCCTTGGGCGGCAGCGGCGGCGTCCCGCGACCGCGGCAGCCTCTGACCGCACCCGTGCAGGTTGCAGTTGTACTCGTGGCACCGCACGCAGTACAGCGCTCTGAACGAATCCATCGCGGGCTCCACCGCGGCGTACGGCGGCGCGGTCATCATGAGGTCCGCGGCGCTCACCGCGTGGTGCCGAAGGAACCGCCACGCGACGAGCGCCCACAGCGCGCTCGTCTCCGCGTCGATCACCGCGCTCGAGCCGTGCGGCGAGGCGGTGGCGATCGGCCGCGGCGGCCGCCCGCTCGGGTCGACGACGGCGCCGCGTTCGCTTCGCTTGCGCTTCAACCCCGGGGACTGATTCTGACCGCCGCCGCCGCCGCCGCCGCCGCGCGTCGTCCGCCGCGCCGCGGGGCTCGACGACGACGGCGACTCGTCGTCGTCGTCGTCGCTGTCCGACGCCCTCCCCTGCGTCGTCGCGGCGTCGAGGCTTTCGATCACGCTGGCTTCGTCCGTCTCTTCCTTCACCTCGATGACGTCGTCGTCCTCCGTCCCGCCGCCGCCGACGCGCAGCCTCCTCGCCGCGAGCTTGAACTCCGCGCTCGCGCGCGCGCCGAGCTCGAAGTCGCGCACCGCGCGCGCGTGCGCGTTGGCGAGGAACGCGTCTCGAGCCGCCTCGCACGGGACCAGGCCGTTCGGGGTCCCCCCGCCGTTTCCGGTCTTGTCGCCGCCGCCGCCGCCGCCGCCGCCGCCGCCCGTCCCGGTCCCGGTCCCGCCGCCGACGTCCGCCTGCTTCCTCAAGACGTGCAGCCGCGCCTTGAGCATCTGCGGGGACACTTTCAAGTACTCCGCGGTGACCTCGATCGCTCTCGCGGACGTCCCGACGCACGCGCTCGACGCCCAGACGAGGTAGTCCTCCTTCTCTTCCCAGTGCCTCTCCTGGTCCTCCCTCTCCTTCTTCTCCCTCGTCTCGCGGTTCTTCTCGCGCAGCTCGCGGCGTCGCGCCTTCTCGTCCGCGCGCTTCTTCGCCACGTCGTTCATCCGCCGCTTCTTCTCCGGTCCCGCGTTCGCGCTCGCGCGCCCCCCCCCGTCGCTCTCGGACTCCTCCATCTCGGACGACGACGACCCCTCGGAATCGGAGTCCTCGTCGGACGCCACGCGCATCTCGCCCTCGTGGTCCGGGAACAGCAGCCGCCGTTGCACCTCGTCCTGGACGTACGCGTTCCCGCTCGCGGCGTAGATGTACGACGTGTACCGCGGCACGTTCTTCGCGAGCGGCAGCGCGGTCGCCTCCACGGTCTGTCGCTCCTCCATCGCGCCCTCCAGCGGCCCGGCGCGGAATCGCCGGACGGAGACGCTCACGTGCGCGCGCGATTTGTTATTCCACGGGAGGATCGCGCGCTCGTCCGCGCCGCGGTCCGGGATCGACGGCGACGCCGACGCCGACGCGCCCGCGAGGACCGTCGCGGCGACCGCCTCGGACGCCCTCGTCGTGGGACCGACGTTCGCGCGCAGGCGCAGCGTCGCCCAGTTCTTCTGCTGGTTCGAGAAGATCTTGCGAAGCGCCGCGAGCGCGCGAAAGACGACGCGACGGAACGCGTCGTCGTCCGCGAGCGCGAGCGCCTCCATGGAGTCGAGGGACCGCGCGGAGACCGCTGTTTGGGGGAGGTCGCCGGGGGAAGCGCGCGCGCGAGGCGCCATCGCGGCGACTTCTCGGCCGCGACGCTCCTCCAGCCCGTCGCCGATCGAAGTGGATCGAGTTCGTTACGCGCGCCGGCGCGCACGATCGATCGCGATCGCGATCAGATCTTCTTCGCTCGTCCCGGATTTTTTGCATCCGCCGCACCGCGCCAGCCTCGTCGCTCTCGAGACGACGCGCGACGCGACGGGCGGACGTGACGCGCGCTGCGATGCCTAATCACCGCCGCGAATAACAAACTGCTATCACTACCGCTCCCATCCCCCGGCGTCGCGAGCGGGACCGCCCGCGCGTCCGTCCCCGCCGCCGCCGCCGCCGCCGCGGTTCGTCCCGCCGCGGCTCGGCCCGCGAGCGGCTCTCCGCGCGTTGTAATACCCGCTCCCCGCGCTCGCGTCGTTACCCCAATCCCCGCGCCCGCGCCCGCCGCCGCTCGCGACGCCTCCCTCGCGGTCGTTACCGCTCTTCCATTCGACGCGGCGCGGCGTGAACCGCGCGCCGCTCCGACCGGCGGACCGGTTGCTTCCGTATTCGTTCGCGCTCGCGGCGCCGCCGCCGCCGGCGCCGGCGCGGTACGATTCCCATCCGTCGCGTCGTCTGAACCCGCCGCCGTTACCGCCGCCGCGACCGTCGTCCATCCCGCCGCGCGAGGAACTCGAACTCGCGCTCGAGCTCGAGCTCGAGCTATTCGAGCCGCCCGACTCGCCGCCCGACTCGCCGCGTCCTCGCTCGCGGCCGCCTCGCTTCCACGGCGGCGGCCGCGACCCTCGTATGCGCCGCGGCCCGCCGTCGGGCCTGTCAGGGTCGATCGGCATCCCCTTCTCGTCCGCGACGACGCCGCGCGCGCCCTGCCCTTGCAGCCGCTCGCGCGCGACTTCCATGACGCCGAGCGGCGAGATCGGGAGGAACGTCACCTGCGCGCGATCGCTCTTCGCGGCGCGCAAAAAAGCAGCTTCCACCTCCTTGCGATGCGCTCTCGAGCTCATGTCGATGAAGTCGACCATGACCAACCCGCCGATATCGCGCAGCCGCAACTGCGCGGCGAGCTCGGTCGCCGCGGCGACGTTGACGCGCAGCGCCACGGACTCGTTGTCCGAGTCGTTGATGAACGCCGCCCTCCCCGCGTTGACGTCCACCGCGGTGAGCGCCTCCGTGGCCTGAATGACGACGTGCGCGCCCGGAAGCGAGTCGTCGCGGAGCGACACGCGCTCCTCCGTCGCGCTCGCTGCCACGTCCGCGACGCCGAGAACGGACAGCACGTCCTCGCTCCCCGCGTGCAGCTTCACGCGCGCGATGTTCTCCTCCGACGTCCCCGTCCTTCGCAGATCCGCGACGATGTTGTCGTACGCGGCGACCGTGTCCACGGTGAGCGCGGCGATTCGCTCGCCGAAGAGGTCGCGCACGAGCACCTGCTCCACCGTCGCCGCGTCGAGAAGTCGCCGCGGGACGGGGCTTCGTCCCTGCGCGCCCGCGGCGGCGACCGCGCTGGACGCGCGCGTTCGCACCTCCTCCCAGTCGTCCGCGAGGCTCGTGATGTCCTTCTCGAGGACGTCCTTCGTGACCCCCGCGGCTTCCGTGCGCATGATGAGCGCGCAGTCGACGGGCGCGACGGCGCCGCCGATGGCTTTCACGTACGCGCGCGCGGGGCCCATCAGCTTTCGGCTCACGTAGACGCCCTCGCCGTCGGGACACAGGACGACGTTGCGACCGGGCAAGGTGGGGCGCGCGGTGACCCTCGGACCCTTGTGGCCCGCGCCGAGACGCGTGACTTGCACGACGACGGGCATCCCGGGGCGCCAGTGCTCGGTGACTCTGTTTCCGCCGACGAGCGAGCCGTCGCGGCCTTCGCGCTCGACGTGTTCTTTCCACGGCGTCCAGCCGAGGTGCTCGCCGAGGTTTTTGGGGCCGCCGCCGGCGCGCAGCCAGGACGACGAGTACTCGGGGTACGCCGCCTCCGCGATGGCGAGGGGCGGCGGCGACGTCGTCTCAGAAGCGCCCGATTCGTCGGAGGAGGAGGTGGAGGTGGAGGTGGAGGAGGACGCGCCGATCGACGCGCGCGAGCGTCGCCGCCGCCGGCGCTTCGGTTCCTCCTCCTCCTCCTCCTCCGCCTCCGCCGCCGTCGCGACCGCCGCGCTCGCCGTCGCCGACTCGCGATGCCTGACGACGTCCTCCTCGTACTCGTCCACGGTCGCCGTCGCCGCGACGTCGTCGCCGCCGTCCCACGACCCGCTCGTGCCCACGCCGTCCGCCCACGCGTCCGCCCATCTGCCGCCGTTCCTTCGCCCGACGATCGCGCCGCCGCCGCCGCCGTTTTCGTCGTCGTCGTCGTCCCAATCATCCTCGCACGCGTCGTCGTCGTCGTCCGCCGCGCACTCCTCCCAGTCGTCCTCCGGCGGCGGCGCCGCGCGGCACCACGCCAACGCGGGCTCGTCCACACCCTTCTGCATCAACGAGTACGGCGGCCCTTTCCCCGTGCAGTCCACCAACACGCCCTGCATGCCGCTTATGACCTTCGCGACGACGCCCAAGTACACGTCGCCGACGCGCATGCCCTCCCCGGGCACCGCCGCGCGCTCGTGCCACAGCTCGACGAGTCGGTTCTCCTCGACGATGCCGACGCGGACGCCGACGTCGGCGTCCGCCTGACGCGCCGAGCTGAAGATGAGCTCGGTGTGCATGCCGCCCATCATGCCCTCGATGTGACTTCCGACGACGTATCCGCCCGCGGGATCGGGGTCGGGGTCGGACTCGGACTCGGTCGCGTCGCCTTCGTCATCGCCCGGAGAGGTCTCCGCGTCGTCGTCGTCGTCGACGACGACGTCGTCCACCGCGGAGAGGTCGACGGAGAGTTCCGCGCGGACGAAGTCGCCCGCGGTGTCTCTCTCCGCGGCGCCGTCGTCGTCGATGTCCACCGCGTCGATCGCGTCCACGACGACGCGCACGCTCGCGGGGTCGTCGTCGTCGGGGACCTCGCGCAGCAGCGGCGGCGGCGGAGGCTGACGCTTCTTAGGCGTCTCGTCGGTTTCGTTTTCGGAATCGTTTTCGGAATCGTTTTCGGAATCGTCGTTGTCGTCGTCGTCGTCGCCGTCGCCGTCGCCGTCGCCGTCGCCGTCGCCCTCGACGACCTTCCCGTACGCCAGCCACGCCCCCCCGGTCTCGACGCGATAATCGTGCAGCGGCTTCTCCACGACGACGCGCTGCGTCACCGTCAGCGGCGCCTGTTCTCGTCCCGACCGCTCCGGCCAGTCGATCGTCACCTCGACGCCGGTGCACCCCTGCGGGACGACCACCTCGACGTCGCTCCCCGCGCTCCAGCACTTCACCGCGTCCCCCGTGTCGATCGTGACCACCTTGAACGCGAGCTTCGTCCCGATCGCGACGGCGACGACCCACTCCCACTGGTCCCCGTTCGGATCGTTCGCCGCGCGGCGCATCGGGTTCACGCGCGACGTGTCCCAGTTTCCGAGCGCGCCGCCCTCGCCGAGGAGGCCGACGCGGATATCGCTCGGGCAGACGCGCTTGACCTTGACCGTCACCGCCGCGTCCGCGCGGTCGTCCGGCGCGATGCTCGAGCGCTTGTTCCCGCGCCGCGATCGCCGCGACGACCGCGCGTGGTACGCGCAGATCTCGAATCGACCGCGGTCGCGACGATTTCTCGCTCCTCCCCCGACCACGCGTTCGAACGTGCCCCCGACGCGGTCGTCGCTCCCCGACGTCGACGCGCGCCCTGGTCCGCGGCTCGCCGGCCGCGAGGGGAGGACGGCGCGGCGCGACCACGCCGCGAGCGACGCGGGCATCGCCCCGCTCGCGAGCGGCGCCGCGCTCGACATACTGGCCCGCGACGTCAACCCTATCTCGCGCATTTGGGCAGTACTAACCAGACCGCCGCCGACAGCTGGCGCTCCCCATTTCCGCCTCGCTCCTTCGCCGGCGCCGAGGGGCACAGCACGCGGCGCGCTCGCGATGTCACGCGCCGCCGCGGCGCCGGCGCCGGCGGCGGCGGCGCGCGCGCGCGCGAGATCGCGCGACACGCGACGCGGCGTCGACGTCGCGCCCGCGCGTCCGTCGTCGCGCTCGCGTCCCGTCCCGCGGATCTCGGTGCCGACGCCGCGAGCGCGAGCGTCGTCGTCGTCGTCGTCGTCGACGGCCGCGACGACGTCCGGCGTGGCCGACGACGCGGACGCGTTCGTCGTCGCGATCGTCGGCGCGGGGTTCGCGGGCGTCGCGACCGCGTACCACCTCGCGAAGCGCCATCTCGAGGGCGGCGAGGAGGAGGCGGAGGAGGAGGAGGAGGAGGAGGAGGAGGACGACGCGCGTCGTCGTCGTCGTCGTCGTCGTCGTCGTCGCGCGCGCGCGCTCGTCGTGCACCTGTACGACGAGAAGGGCATCGCCGGCGGCGCGTCCGGCGTCGCCGCGGGGCTGCTGCACCCGTACACGCCGCGAGGAAAGCTCATCTGGCGCGGCGTCGAGGGCGTGACGGAGACGCTCAGGCTCGTGGACGCCGCGGAGGCGGCCGAGGCGGCGAGCGACGCGGAGCGAAGGACGAGGATCGTCGGAGGGAGAGACGGCGACGACGACGACGACGATTTCGACGACCGCGACGACCGCCGCGGCGCCGCCATCGCGTGGCGCGTGGGCACCGTGCGACCGGCGCGCTCGCTGAAACAGGCGAGAGACCTCGCGAAGCACGCGCCCGCGGCCGCGGCGCGCGGCGGCGAGGGCGTCGTGCTGTCTCCGGAAAACCTCGCGACGTTGCTGCCGGGCGTCGACGTGCCCGCAGACGTCGTCGACGCGCCGATCGGATCCGCAAAAGATCCCGCCGGGCGCGGGTCCTCCCGCCCGCCCCTCGCCGCGGCGCTTCACATCCCCGAAGGCGTCGTCCTGGACACGAAGCGGTACCTGGAGGCGCTGTGGGACGCCACCGCGCGCATGGCGCGAGAGAGCCAAGGACGAAGAGCCAACGAGCGAAGGATGTGCGTCGTCCACCTTCGCGTCGGCGTCGTAGTGGACGCGCTTTCTTCTCTGCGCGGGTATGACGCGGTCGTGTCCGCGTGCGGCGCCGCGTCCGGGTCGCTGAGGGAGCTAAGCGGGGATGGGACGCTGCCGACGCAGCTGCAGGGCGGGCACGTCCTGGAGCTCGTCCCGGCGGCGGAGAGGGGCGGCGGCGGAGACGGCGGAGACGGAAAACGAAATCATCAGGACGCCTGGCCGCCGGAAGCGCCGGGGATCTTAGGTTCGCCGTACATCGCCCCGCTCGGACGCGGGCGGCTGCTCGTGGGCGCGACGAAAGAGTACGAGGCGTCCGTGGAGGACGCGCGACGCGCCGGGGCGGTGTACAGACGCGACGGCGCGACGGGAGACGCGATCGTCGCGGAAGAAGACGGCGTCGACGCCGCCGCCGTCGCGTCCGCCGAGCGCGCAGAAGCCTCGCTGCTGGCGTCGTCCGCGGCGACGTACCCGCCGCTCGCGCGCGGAGACTCGCGCGTCGACGTCGTCAGGTACGGCGTCCGCGCGAACCCGCCGAGGACGCCGCTGGGGTCGTTGCCGTTGATCGGACGACTCGAGATCGAAGGTTCGGACGCCGCGGCGACGCGCGCGTGGTTCGTCGGAGGCCTCGGCGCGCGCGGCCTCGTGTATCACGCGATGCTCGCGAAAACGCTCGCGCGCGCGGTGTTGACCGGGGACGCCGGCGTCATCCCCAGCGAGCTGCGGTTCGACCCGAAATGATGCGAAGGTTAACGAGGCGAACATCTTATATCTATCGTAGAGTAGCGACGCCGTCAAATCTTACACGAGACGTCGAAAAAAATGAACACCTCCCACCCTCTCGTCGCCTCACCGCGCCGCCGACGCCACCTCCTTCGCGCGACGCATCACGAACACGCTTCCGCCGTCCCCCCGGGCGACGCGCGTGTCCTCGTCGAGGTACGTCGTCAGCAACCACGTGCTCTCGGCACCCTCCGCGCCCGCGGCGCCGAGCCCGCCGCCCGGGAGCGGCACCTTGAGCGCCGGAGGCAGCGTCTTAACCGCCTCCGCGAGCCCCCCGAGCGCGCCCTCCGCTGCCTTTCTGAGCGGCTCCAGCGCCTCGGACGCGGCGGTCGTGTCGATGATCTGGCCCGCGACGTCGATCGTCGGCGGAAGGTCGATGTACTGCAGCACCGACGAGGTATCGATCGACGGCGTGACGACGCCGGCGTCGGTGAACTTGACGCGGATGCGCTTCGGCGACGTCGCCTCGAAATCCGCCGTGGCGATCAACGACGTGTCGATAAGCGGCGCGCGGACGTTCACTCTGTTCTCCACCGTGCCGGCGACGACGTCGATCGTCTGCGTGATGTCCCCGATCGTGACCCCGGGGAGGTTCTCCGACGCGAGGAGGAGGAGGAGCTCGCTCGCGGACGTGTACGCGATTTTCCATTCGCCGGCGAGGCCGGCGGCGCCGTCGGCGGTGGCCGGGCTCGGCGTCGGGTTCGACGCTTCCAACGTCGCGATGAGCTCGTTGATGCGCGCGCGCGCGGCGCCGGACGCCGCGAGGCCGCGCTTCGTGCCGGCGACCGCGTCCATGAGCTGAGACTTGACGGATTCCGCGGAGGAGGAGGCGGGAGCCGCGGCCGGGGCGACGGCTTCGAACGCTTCTTCTTCTTCGTCTTCTTCATCCGCGGAATCGTCCGCGGAGTCGTCCATCGACCGCCCCGACGCCATCTCCATGTCGATGTCCATCAGAGCTTTAAGGACTCTGTGGTCCACCTCCTTCGTCCCCTCCTTCGTCTCCTCCTTCGCCTTCGCGCCCGTCGTCTCTTTCTCTTTCTCTTTCTCTTTCTCTTTCGACCGCTCGGCGGCTTTCTCGGCGGCTTTCGCCTCCGCCTTCGCCAGCTCGCGCCTCGCCTTCGCCTCCGCGCGCTCCTCCTCCGTCATCATCGCCTCCGCGGCTTTGCGCTCCGCTTTGAGCTTCTTCTTCTCCGCTTTCGCCGCCATCTTCTCCTCCTCGAGCGCCCTGTCCTCCGGGGACATCGCGTCGAGCTCCGCGGCTTTGCGCGCCGCCTTGGCTAGCTTCTTCGCCGTTTTTTCCTCCTCTCGCGCGCGCCGCGTCTCGTCCGTCATCGCCTCCTCCTCCTCCATCTTCCGCGCCTTCTTCTCCGCCTTCCGCTCCGCCTTCGCCTCCGCTTTCGCGAGCTCCATCGCCGCCTTCGCGGCGGCCACCTCCGCGATCTCCTCCGTCGTCGTCGCCGCCTTCTCCGCGGCGTCGAGCTGCTCGCGCAAGATCGTCTCCGCCTCCTTCGCCCTCGCCTTGTCCTCCTTCCTCGCCGCCTTCGCGACGCGCTTCTCGTTCTTCTCGCGCCACGCGTCGATCCAGAGCTGCGCGCTCGCGGCGTTCGCGTCCGCCGCGTCTGATGAAGCGCTCGCGTCGGAGGGCGAGGACGACGACGACGCGGCGACGACGCGCGCGCGGCGCGAGGAGGAGGAAGACGAGACGGAGATTTTGGCGCGTGGTGTCGACGTCACCATCGCGCGCGCGGGTCTCGCGACGGCGACGCGCGCGCGCGTCGTCGACGCCGGCGCGACGCTCGCGACGACGGCGAGCGGCGCGAGCGAAGTCATCGCGGGCGACACGCGGGGGGACGGTGGGGGTGTGCGAGAGCGCGCGAGGAGAGGGCGACGCGTGCGCGCGAGTGGTCGGAGACCCAAGGACCGCCCGAGGTCGAACGCTGGCCACGATATTTTGGGTACGTACAGAATCCGCGTACTTTCGTATGCGTATTCAGTATCACTCTCTCGAACGCGGAGAATCTCGGCGATCACGTGTCGTGTAGCCCGGTTTTTGTCCGAACAACGGAAAGGACGGGCCATCACACGCGCCCACACGCGAGTGACGCGCGACCGCGACCGCGCGCTCCGAACCCGCGAGACGCGCGCGCGCCCCGAATCGCGCGCGCGCGAACCCGCGCACCCCGCGCGAACCGAACGCGCGCGTTCGTCGCGAGCCGGCGTCGACCGAGCGTCCTTGTTGAAAGGTCGCGGAGGCCAAACGTAAACCTAACTTGCCGGGAGAGGGGGCGAAATCGTCGCCGGAACCCAATCCTCCGCGATGGCGGGCTCGAAAGTCGCGCCCGAGACGGCGCGCGACGACGCGCTCGACCACCTCCACGACACGATCGACTCGCAAGATTTCGACAGCCTCGGCGACGACGTCGCGGACGCGAAGCGGACGCTCTCGGACTCGGACGCGTCGCTCCCCCCGAGCTTCCTTAAAAAGGTCGGGTACTGGGCGTGGGTCGTCGCGATCTTGATCCTCGAGCTGAAGATCGTGCGGAAGGTGAACCGCACGAACGCGGACCTGTACAAAGAGGCGACGATGCCGTTCATGTACAAGCACACGTGGTGGGTCAAGGGCGTGTTCATGACCGCCGCGCACCTCGCGATCGACGGATACACTCTGTTCCACCTCAACTGCCTGCGCCCGGATTGGGGCTTGCGCGCCTCCTCGCACGGCGGCCGCCCGGCGCTGAAGCGCCCGCAAGAGGACTCCGTGCTCATCCGCCACGGCCTGAAGCTCATCATGCGCGTCCCGCATATCGCCGCGAGCGGCAACGGCGCGTTATTCGGGTTCTACCACGGCTACACCGTGACGCAGATGGCGCTCATGGTGGTCTCCCCGACGCTCTTCGGCATGATCCTCGCCATGAAGAGCGAGCGCGTCCTTCGACGATGCGCGGCGATCAACGCCGCGTTCGCGGTGGCGTGCGCGATGTCCGCGCCGTGGGCGTACCATCATCTCCCGACGCTCAAAGCGCGGTACATGGAGGACATGAACGGCGACCCGCGAGGGCGCATCTTATTCGTCGCGTTGCCGATGTTGACGACGATGCCGTTCGTGCTGTCGAGCACGCTGTTCAACGCGAGCGGGCGCGAGACGTTCCACAACGCGAAGAACATACTGCGCGTCGTCCTCACCGGGGACGTGGCGGCGGGTAGTGCTACCGCGACGGGGGTTCCTACGTCGGGATCGTCGGCGTCGTGGGCGGAGAGGTCCGTCGTCGCGCGCCGTCGCGTCGACGGCGCGCCGCTGTACATTCCGGATCACGCCGAGCAGTCCCTGGCGCGGTTCAAGACGCTCTCGCTCGTCGTCTTCCCGATCGTCGCCCTGATCAACGTCGCGGACGTCAGCGATTGGCGCGAGCTCGCGGACGCGCGGGAGATGCTGTCGTCGTCCGCGCCGCTCGCCGCCGCCACCGCGATGCAAGCGCTCGCGCCGCTCGCGTTGTGCGTGCTTCTCTCGACGTCGTCGTGGCGGAAGTGGTTGCACGCGGACTTTACGCGCAACGCCGCCATCGCGCGCGTCGCGCTCGTCGCCGCGTTCGCCATCTACTCCACCGCGCTCTTCTCGTTCCGAAGCGACGCGTCCGCCGCGAGCGACGAGGAACGGCTGCGGATGGTGAAGGACCGTTGGGTCCCGCGTTTCGTCTTTATCGCCGCCGCGTCGCACGCGGCCGTGCCGAGCGCGCCGAGGGCGGCGCTCCTCGCGGCGTTCGTCGACTGCGGCGTCCTCGCGCTCAGCGCGGTGACGCTCTCCGCGAGCGCGCTGGTGAACGCTTTCAAGTCGGACGGCGTCGGCAGCGTCGTCGGCGCGTTCGCGTCGCTGACGGGTCCGATCGGCGCGTTCGCCGTCTTTTACCTCTGCGCGGTGCACCTATCGTCGCTGCTCGACGCCATGCGCGGCGCGGAGTTCGACCCGAAGTTTTACTTCACGCGAGGCGACATCCCGAAGGACGGGTCCGCGCACTGGCGCATGGACGAGTACGACGTCGACCCGGTCGGTTTACGGATCGCGAGGAAGGCGCTGAGGAACGTCGGCGACCATCGTTTCGACTACGAGGAGGAAAAGTACGGCGACGCGGGGATACGGCCGGGGATGCGCGCGGGCGGCGGCGATCTCGGGCCGATGACGCTCGCGGACGCGCCGACGACGCGGCGCGAGCGTTTGCTCGCGGCCGCGCGCGCGAAGACGCCCGCGGCGGGGTCGGGCGGCGGCGACGGCGCGGCGACCGACGTCGTCATCTGTCGCGCCGTCGGCTGCCGGCGCGACTGCGCGGGCGCGGGGAACAACCCGATCGCGGTCGGGCTCAGACTGTGCTCGCACCACATCGCCGCGGTCGACCCGTTCGCGTGCGAGTCCGAGACGTCGCTGACGCTGTTCTGCCTCATTTGCCGACGCGCGCACGCGGCGCCGCGGTGCGAGACGGCGCTCGCGTCGAGGCTGCTCAGAGTCTCCGTCGACTCGGAGCGCGACCCGAGCGTGCATCGACCCGAGCGCGACGACGAGATGCGAAACCGCCATCTTCGCGCCCCGCAGCACGACGTCGTCTCCGCGTACGGCGCCCCGCGCGCGACGACCCTCACGACGGCCGCGAACGGCGGCGCGATGACGCGTCGCGCGGACCTCGTGAAGACGACAGCGTGGTTCAAGACGGAGGAGGATCCGATCGAGGCGATGGCGAAGCTCGCGGCGACGATCCGCGACCGCGCGGCGTACCCTGGCGGCGTCATCCTTCACGCCGAAGCCTCCGCGCGCCCCGGGTGCACGCTGCTCACCGTGGACGTCCTCGCGCGGCGGCTGCCGGACTCGGACGACGCGTCCTTCTGCGGCCCGATCGCCGACGCGGACAGGGAGGGCATGTACGACATCGACGACGAGGTGGACCAAGTCGCGGCGCGGCTCGCCGCCGTCGGCGCGAACCACGGCCTCGAGGGCACGCTCGATTTGGCCGCGCAAAACGCGACGTGCTCGTCCAGACGCCGCCGCGTGCGCTACGCCGGCGGCTTCGCGCGCGGCGTGCACGTGGACCCGACGCCGAACGTCCGCGTCGGCGCGAAGATGCGCGCGGCGATTCGCGCGGCGAACGACCCGTCGACGCCGATGCGCGTGTTGCGGTCGGACGAGTACGAGTGCTTCATCATGCCGTCCGCGCCGGAGGGGTACTCGTACGTCCTCCGCTGCCGCGGGCGCTTCGTCCCGATGTTCGCGACGACGCCGTCGTACCCGGAGACGGACACGATCGTCCTGCACGTCACGCCCACGGGCGCGGAGGGGTTGGCGTTTTTGGAGCTCGTCGCCGACGCGGGCGGGCGCGAGACGGGCGACGGCGCGTTCGGCAACGCGGCGCCGATCATCTGCGTCCCGGTGTTCATGTCGACCGACCCCGCGCTCGTCAAGGAGCTCACGTCCGACGGTCGATGCGCGCGTCTTGGGAACACGCCCGCGCTGTTTAACCTCGGCATCGCGCTCGCGGCGGCGGCGGCGGTCGCGGAGGGCGAGGACCCTCGCGTGGAGGGCGAGACGGCGAGCGGCGAGATCACGTTCCACGCCGCCGCCGCGTGCGCGACGATAGGATGGGCGACCGCGGTGACGCGAACGATCGCGACGCTGTACGACGCCGACGCCGCGTACGGCGGCGACGGCGGTTTCGGCGGCGGCGGCGACGGCGGCGACGGCACCGCGCGGACGATGAGCGAGGGCCCCGACACGGATTCGCAGCGTAACTCCTCCTTCGACGACAAGATGGACGAGAGCCTCGGCGCGTTCGCGGACCAGGTCGAGCCGCGCGTCAGCAACACCCTCTTCACGAAGATCGGCATCGCGACGCTGCTGCGCGCGGCGTGCAGCAGCGGCGACAGCGCCACCGTCAACGCGGTGCTCGCGGTGCTCATCCGTCACCGCGGCGTCTCTTACGTCTCCGACGTCATGCGCGGCGGCGACGGCGGGTGGACGCCTCTCAACGCCGCCGCCGCCGCGATCGCGCGCGACGCCGTGCGCGACGCGTCCGCGGGGAGGATCCGCCCGCCGTCGCGCGCGGTAGGCGACGGACTCGGCGTCGGACAGCTGTTCAAAAGGGGCGACGCGGCGGCGCCGGACGCGGTGAAGCTCGTGACGTCGCTGCTCGTCGTGTCGGACGATCCCCTGTGCTGGGTCTCCCGGCACGCGGGGAGCGTGTTCGGCACGCCCGCGTACATCCTCGCGAACGCGCCTCTGGAGGACGCGGACCCGCGCGCGATGACGCGCGCGAAGCGGGCGCTCCGCGCGGTGGGCGACGGCGTCATCGACGTCCTCGCGGAGCCGGTGGTTCGCGCGTGCGACTTGCTGCACCTCGCGCGGACGCGGACGGGGGACACGCAGAGGATTTTCAACGGGGGCGGCGCGTTGCTGTCGGTGCACCTCTCGATGATGTTCCGCGACGAGGAGACGCACTTCGCGGCCGCCACGGCGCACGCGGCGAACACGTTCGACGGCAGCGTCTCGCACACGCTCGCGGCGATGATCATCTCCAAGAGCTCGTCGCACTGCTGGGGCGCGTTGCAGCGTCGCGACTTGGACGAGATGCGCGGCGCGGTGACTCTGGACGAGGCCAAGGAGTGGCTGCGCGCGGGCGCGCCCGCGGACGGGTTCCCGCCGCCGCGGTGCTCGGAGGTTGTCTCCGCGCGCTACGGCGTCGTCGCGCTCGTCTTCAACGCGTGCGTCAACGCCGCGGTGTTCGCGTCCTTCGGAGCCAGGAGCGGTTTTGGCGTTAACGGCGAGGATCGCGGCGGATGGCTCGAGAAGGCGATCGTCGCGACGCAGCTGCTCGCCTCCGTCGCGATCCTCGCCGTGCCCCGACGCGTCTACGTCAGCCGGCACCGCGCGGTGAACGCCGCGGTCAGGCTCGCGTCGATGCTCTGCGTGATGCGCGGCGCGGCGAGCGCGTCGTCGATCGTGTGCGTCTGGGTCGCGATGTCGGCGGCGTCGCAGAGCGTGCTCGCGCCGGCGGGCGCGGCGGCGGAGGCGGGGTTGATCGCGCTCGGCGCCGCGGCGTTCGCGGGCGCGCGGTTCGCCGCGAGCGTCGGCGGCGCCCAGCAGCGCGGTCGCGGGGCCCCGGGTCCCGAGGAGAACTCGACGCATCAGTGCGCGACGGTGGTGTCGTTCTGGCTGGCGTTCGTGTCGTTGGCGCTGTGCGCGTGTCTCGCGGCGCAGAAGAAGGTGGCGGAGTCGTTTTGTAAGCTGGACAAGCTGCAGCTGTCCGAGATGAAGCACTGGAAGAAGATCTGATGAACGATTGACGACGCGCGAGGCGCGGTGTTGTACATGTATGATTCGCACATTCTACTTTGATTTAGATACTAATTAACTTGTTATGATTATCCTTATCCTTGTACTAAGTCACGGTGACGTCAACGACGAGAAGACCCACCGCCCGCGCCGTCCGCCTTCTTCGCTCGGCACTCCTCGCTTCGATGTCGCCGGAAGTCCTCAGACGCGCACCGCGTCGAACACCAAAAGCATTCCGCGCAGTGCTCGCACGACACGAGCTCGCACGCGTTCTTCGACGCGACGCGCGGGTCCGCGTTCTCGCACCCCGCGCGCGCGCACGATGCGTTAAACGTCAGCTTCGACGCGGTCGGCATCGAAGGCGGCGCGGGCACGCCGAGTTTGGTGGTGGTGGTGGTGGTGGTCGTCGTCGTCGCGCCGTCCTCGTCCTCGTCCTCCTCCTCCTCCTCCGCGGCGGCGATCCCTTCGCCGCCCTCGTCGACTCGCGCCGCCGCCGCCGCCGCCGCCGCGAGTTTCTCGCGCTCCGCCTTCTGAAACGCCCGCGCGATGTCCCCCGTGATCGCGTCGTCGTCGCCGAGCCCCTCGATCGCGTCGAGCATCAGCCCGAAATCCCACGCGCACGGCGCCGAGTGCGCGCCCGCTTCGCCGTCGCGCCCGAACAGCGCCTCCGCGCGTCGCCGCGCCTCCTCGCTCCGCCTCGCCGCCTCGCGAAGCGACCCCGCGGTCGGCGCCGACGCGTCTCCGGGCGGAAAACCCTGCCCCAGCGCGAGCGCGGTGGCGGACGCCTCGACGACGCATCGCCACGCGTCCGACGTCCACGGCGCGTCCGGGCACGTCGCCGAAAACGCCGTCGCCGCCGCCGCGAAATCCGACGCCGCGCGGCGGAAGTCGTTGGCGCGCGTCCGCGCGCGGCCGCGCGCGTACCTCGCGTGCGCGGAGGTCGGGTCCGCGCGCAGCGCGAGCGACGCGAGGCGGATCGCGTCGGACGCGCGCGACGCGTCCGCGTCCGCGTCCGCCGGCGTCGCCGGCGTTCGAATCGCCCCCTCTCGCAGCGACGCGCGCGCGCTGACGCACAGGATCGCCGCCACCGCGCGCCCCACCAGCGCGTCCTCGCCGCCGCACATACTCTCCACGAGCCTCGCGTCGATCGCCCATCTCGGCGCGAAATGCGCGTCCCACGACGCCACCGCGTTGGCAACGGCGCGGCTCGCGGACGCTCGCGCGGCGTCGTCGGACGCGAAGGCCGCGCGCAGACACAACAGCATGAACCCCGCGGCGCGCACCGCGTCGCAGTTCGGATGCTCCGGCGCGCCCGGGCACCCGCGCGGGCACTGCTCCGCGTCGACGCAGCGCGCGCACGTCGCGAGGACGCGCTGCGCGGCGGAGGTGCGAAGGTGGCGCGGCGCGATCTCGGCGATCGCGCCTCCGTCGCCGAGCGCGGCGTGAAAGAGGAGGCGCGTCGCGGTGAGGACGTCGCCGCGCGACGCCGCGGCCTCCGCGCGGCGGCACAGGAGGCGCGCGACGCGAAGCGCGCGCGCGGTCGGGCCCGAGGCCGCGGTGGAGGAGGAGGAGGGCGCGTCGGCGTCGGCGTCGGCGTCGTCGTCGTCGCCGAGGACGGACCACGGCAGATCGTACGGCGACGAGCCGACGCCATCGCTCGGCGTCGACGGCGCGTTCGTCCACGACGCGCGTATTAAGGCGGCGAGGTCGGCGTCGTCGCCGCCGCGCGGCCACTCCGGGACCCAGGACGGGAGAGGCGCCTCGTCCTCGCGCGGCATCGTCGACGACGACGCGCGGCGCGCGAGTGAGCGGTTGGCACCCGAGATCTCGCGTCGTCGTCTCGTTCGACGGATTTCGAATTCGTCTTCGACGACGCGCGACGCGACGCGCGAGCACTCGCCGGGGCGCCGCGGCGCATGCGCCTTCGCGGTCGAACCTTGCGACTTGAAGTCTTCGCGAGGACGCTCGCGTCGGCGCTCGCGATGCCGCCCGCGACCGCGACGGCGACGACCGCGCGCGCGCCCGCCGCCGCCGCGCTCGCGAGCGCGGCGCCACGCCGTCGAAGCCGCGCTCTCGACGATGATCTTCCTCGCCACCCCGCGCGTCGATGGCTGACGACGCGCGCGTCCTCCGCCGCGACGCCGTCGTCGTCGCCGCCGCCGCCGAAAACACCGTCGCCGCGGCGCGACGCGCAGGCGTGGGCGAGCGCGCTCCCCGCGTCGGAGGTCCCCGCCGCGATGGCGTCTCTCGCGGAGTTCATCTCCCGCGCGGACGAGGCGTACCACAACGACGCGGATCCCGTCGCGTCGGACGCGGCGTACGACGCGACGCGCCTCCGCCTCGAGGCGCTCGAGGCGCTGCACCCGGCGATGATCCGCGAGGATAGCCCGATCGGCGCCGTCGGCGCGAAGCCCGCGGCGTGGTCGGCGCTGCCGCAGGTGGAGCACGCGGTCCCGATGCGGTCGCTGGGCAACTGCTTCGACGACGACGACGTGCGCGCGTTCGTCGCGCGCGTAACGCGCGCGCTCGGGCCCCCCGAGCGCTTCGACGACGACGCGCGCGCGCCGCTGCGATTCTGCGCGGAGCCGAAGATCGACGGCGCGTCCGCGTCGCTGCGGTACGTCGACGGCGTCCTCGTCGTCGCCGCGTCCAGGGGCGACGGCGAGGTTGGCGAGGACGTCACGCGGCAGATCGGTGGGATCCCCGGCGCGCCGACGACGCTGACGGGCCGAGCCGGCGACTGGCCGGCGACGCTGGAGATTCGCGGCGAGGTGTTCATCGCCGACGATGACTTCGCGGCGCTGAACGCGAGGCGCGAGGCGCGAGGGATGCCGACGTTCAAGAGCGCGCGGAACGCCGCCGCGGGCGCGATGCGTCGGCTCGAGCCGCCGTCGCGCGACGGCGCCGACGCGGGGCGGTACCTTCGCTTCCTCGCGTACGGCTGGGGGGAAGTCAAACCGCAAACCGAGCTGCTGCCGTGGTCGTCGCAGCGCGCGTTCCTCGCGTCGCTCCCCGCGCTCGGTCTGTCCCCCGTGCCGACGCTGGGCCCCATCACGGACGACGTCGCCGCGCTCGTCGCGGGCTCGCACGCCGCGCTCGAGCGCGACCGCGCGTCGCTCGGCTACCGCGTCGACGGCGTCGTGTACAAGGTGGACGACGTCGCGTCGCAGCGCATTCTCGGCGCGGACAGCCGCGCGCCGAGGTGGGCGACCGCGCATAAGTTCGCCGCGGAGACCGCAGTGACGACGTTGCGCGCGGTCGACGTGCAGGTTGGACGCACGGGCGCGCTGACGCCGGTGGCGACGTTGGATCCGCCGGTGGCTCTCGGCGGCGCCACGGTGACGCGCGCGACGTTGCACAACTTTGAGGACGTCGCGAGGAAAGGGCTGAGGCTCGGCGCGCGCGTCGTCGTCGAGCGCGCGGGGGACGTCATCCCTCGCGTCGTGCGCGTCGTCGCGGAGGGGGAAGAGGAGGGAGCGGTCGTCGCGACGCCGACGCGGTGCCCCGCGTGCGGAAGCGCGGTGAGTAAGACGCCGCTCGCGGCTTCGGTGAAGTGCCCGAAGAAGCGACTGTCGTCCCCATACGAATCGGGAGACGCCGCGTCGTCGTCGTTCGCGGCGGTCGACGACGAATCAGAAGACGCCACGTCGTCGCCGTCGTCGTCGTCGTCCTCCGCGGCGGTGCTGCGATGCACCGGGGGGTGGCGATGCCCCGCGCAGGCGCTCGAACGCGTCGCGCACTTCGCGTCTCGGGACGCGCTCGACGTCCGAGGCCTCGCGAGGAAACAGATCGCCGATCTCCTCGACGCCGGCGTCATCGCGTCGCCCGCGGACTTGTTCACGATGCGCGCGAGGTTCGAGCATCTCGGGGTGGATCCGGACGCGAGCGGGGAGGACGACGACGCGAGGGGAGACGGCGGCGGAGTGGCCGTTCCTGAATTTTGGACGTACGCGTCTGGGAAGGACGAGGGAAAGTTAAAACGCAGCGCGAAGAAACTGTTCGACGCGTTGGATGAAACCGCTGCTGGTGTGCCGTTACATCGGTTTATTTATTCGTTAGGAATTCCCCAGGTTGGTCTCACGACCGCGAAGTTGCTATCGCGGAAGTACCGGACGCTGGACGCGTTTCGCGATGCGGCGGAGGAGGCGGCGGCGGCGAAAGCGGCGGCGTCCGCCGACGCGGCGGCGTCGACCGAAGCGCCCGCGATGACGGACATCGACGGCATCGGCCCGGTCGTCGCCGCGACGATCGGCGAATTCTGGTCCGAGCGCGCGAACGTGAACGTCGTGGACGACATGCTGCGGAACGGCGTCGTCGTGTCGGACGACGCGTCGCCGCCGGACGCGTCCGACGCGTCCGACGCGTCCAACGCCGCGGCTGCCTCCGCGACCGGCCCATTGACCGGGTACGCCGTCGTCGTCACCGGCGCCGTCCCGGGGATGACGCGCGAGGAAGCGTTCGACGCCGTCGCCGCCGCCGGGGGGTCGCCGCAGAAGGCGGTCAGCGGGAAGACGCACGTGCTCGTCGTCGGCGAGGGCGCGGGTCGGAGAAAGGCGGAAGCCGCGGAGGCGCGGGGCGTCGCCGTGATCGACGCGGAGGCGTTTTTGAGGGTGCTCGCGGGCGAGGAGCCGCCGCCGCCGCGGTGACGCGCGGCGGTAGCTCGCGCGAGGGTAGAGGATAGCGAGCGCGGTTTAGGGATAGAGTTTCGATGCGACGCGACGCGTTGTGTACGTCGTGCTCTCGTGCGCGCGCGGACTCGAGACGTTCTTTCTTGTACTTTTTTTTCTTGTTAGTTTTCTCGTTCTCTCGTCGTCGCAGGACAGCGCGGTGTGTTCTCGATGTGAGCTGCTCGTCGTGCGGTATCGTCGTTGACGTCGTCTAGAGGACTTAATCCTCTGTCTCGTTCTCGATCTCGCGCTCAGCGCGGCGGCGTCGGGGTCGGGTTCGGGTTCCGTTGGCGTCTGTCGGCGGCGCTTAACCCCACTTGCTCTTGCTGTAGCCCTTGCTGTAGCCCTTGCCCATGCCCTTGCTCTTGCTGTAGCCCTTGCTGTAGCCCTTGCCCATGCCCTTACTCTTGCTGTAGCCCTTGCTGTAGCCCTTGCCCATGCCCTTGCTGTAGCCCTTGCTGTAGCCCTTGCTGTAGCCCTTGCCCATGCCCTTGCTCTTGCTGTAGCCCTTGCTGTAGCCCTTGCCCATGCCCTTGCTCTTGCTGTAGCCCTTGCCCATGCCGTTGCCGCCTTTGTTCTTGCGCCCGAGGAGCGCGCGACCGTGGAGCCCGAGATCGGCGTCGTCGTTCGCGGACGGGTCGAGCGTCTCCGCGAGCGCGTCGGAGTCGCGCAAGATGGTCGCGCTCTGCGCGGACGCGGACGCGACGAACGCGGCGAGCGCGAGGAAGAGGAACGCGAGCGCGCGAGAGATCGGAAGCCTGGCGAGCGTCGTCATCGTGAGTATCGGGGGATGGGAAGGGTAGAGAGGTCGGGGGAGAGCGCGATACGCGCGATACAGTACGGCGTCGGCGCGTGATGCGGGGACGCGGTGCGGTCGTGCGGCGGGAGTGACGGTTCCGGAGCGTCGAAAGACGTCTGTCCTCGAGAAAAGCTGAGTCACGACCACGACCGACGGCCGTTTTTCTGGCGCGATGCGCGCGATACGGCGTCGGCATTGGTCCCGTCGCGCGACGGACGTATCACGTCGCGGCGTTCGTTCGAAGGCGTCCGAGGAGGAGGAGACGGGGGGGCGGTCCTGTCGTAGCTTTTCTCGTTTTTTCCAGGAAAACAGAAGACCCGCCCACAGCCCAAAGCCAGTCAACCAGTTTGCCCCAAGCCAGTCAACCAGTTTGCCAGTCCAGTCTGGTCCCGAGCCGAGCGCGAGACCAGTCGTCGTCGCGAGTCCTCTCTAGCTAGCTGGTCGTCCCTCAATCGAATCGGCGCCTCGGATCCTCCGCGCGGGAGGCGTCATGGAGGTGCACGCGTTCCGGCTCACCCCCGGGGAGGACTTGAAGAAAGCCCTCTGCGCGTACGCCGCCTCTCGCAAGCTCCGCGCGAGCTTCGTGCTCACCTGCGTCGGCTCCCTGAGCGCCGTCACGCTGCGGCTCGCGAACAGCGCGCGCGACGGGAAAAACGAGGTCGTCAGCCTGGACGAGCGCTTCGAGATCGTCTCCCTGACCGGCACGCTCTCCGCGAACGGCGCGCATCTGCACGTCTCCATCGCGGACTTCGAGGGGAACGTCGTCGGCGGGCACCTCATGGACGGGTGCGTCGTCTTCACGACCGCGGAGATCGTCCTCGGAGAGAGCGCGACGCACGTCTTCGCGCGAGAGATGGACGCGAGGACGGGGTTCGACGAGCTCGTCGTGTCGCGGACGCCTCCGCCGCTGAGCGCGATGCACGCGCTGTCGATCGACGGGCCGCCGTCGTCGGAGAGCGGCGGGCCGCCGTCGTACGAGAGCGGGCCGCCGTCGTTCAACGCGTGGTCGGGGAACGACGCGCGCGCGTCGAGGCGAGGAAGCGCGGCGAGCGGGGATGGCGGAGGAGGAACGAACGCGGATGCGCCGCGGAACGATTGGAGCGGCGGCGGCGGCGCTCCCGGGTCGGGCGCGAACGGGAGCGGGCTCGCGAGGCAGATCTTGCCGCCGCCGCGCCACCGCCCGCCGCCGCCGAGGTCGCGGTCGCCGCGGGGGAGGTCGCCGCGGCGGAGCGGCGATCGCGGCGCGTCGTCGCTGTCGCCGCCGCCGTCGCCGCCGAGTCGCGTCGGCTTCTTCGGTTGGGTCGGGCGGATGATCGTGCCGCCGCCGACGCCGACGCCGATGAAGAAGAAGAACCGGGCGGGGTCGTCGGACGGGATGTTAGAGATAGAGTCGGGGGAAGGGGGGTCGGACACGGAGTCCGCGTGACGAGAACGAACGACGACGCGAACGCGGTTGGATAAACAGTTTATGCAAATCAACTTCGAGTACACTCGCGCGTCGAGGTGACGAGAACGAACGACGACGCGAACGCGGTTGGATAAACAGTTACAAATCATCTTCGAGTACACTCGCGCGTCGAAGCCGTCGCCGAGGCGAAAAATACATCACGACGCCACCGGGATGGCGCCCGCGGGAATTTCCGCCACCTTCTTCCCGCCCCCGCCGCCGCCGCCCCCGCCCGGTCCCGGTCCGCCGCCGGTCCCGCCCTCCCCCGCCGCCGCCGCGTCCGCCGCCGAATCCGCCGCGCCGCCGCCCTCGAGCAACTTCTCCGGGAACTTGAACCCCTCGTTCAAGATGTCGATGTTCTGCTGCCCGTCGTACGCGAACGGCCGCGCCCCGAGCACGGTCACGAGGTCGTGCCGCTGGAGCACCTCCTTCTCGAGTAGCGCCTGCGCGAGCGCCTCCACCTTCGACCTCTCTTTCGTGATCAGATCCAAAGTGCGCTGATACGCGTTGGCGACGAGCAGTCTCACCTCCTCGTCGATGAGCTTCGCGGTGTCCTGCGAGTAGGGCTTCTGGAACTGCTGATCGTCGCTCGGGAAGGACAGCATCCCGACCTTCTCGTTCATGCCGTACACCGCGACGCGGTTGTACGCCATCTTCGTCACCTTCTCGAGGTCGTTCTGCGCGCCCGTGGATATCTTCCCGAGCATCACTTCCTCCGCGGCGCGACCGCCCAACGTCATGCACATCATGTCCGTGAGCTGCTGCGTCGTCGCGAGAAGGTTCTCGTTGGGTAGGTACTGCGCGAACCCCAACGCCGCGCTGCCTCGCGGGACGATGGACACCTTCAGCAGAGGCTCCGCGTGCTCGAGCATCCATCCCACGACCGCGTGCCCGGCTTCGTGATACGCCACGGTGTTCCTCTCCACCTTGTTCACGACTTTGTTCTTCTTCTCCAGCCCCGCGATGACGCGATCCGCGGCTTGCTCAAAGTGCGGCAGCGACACCGCGCGCTCGTTCGAGCGCGCGGCGACGAGCGCCGCCTCGTTCACGACGTTCGCGATGTCCGCGCCGCTGAACCCGGGCGTCAGCGCCGCGAGCCGTTCGCTGTAGTGCGCGACGTCGGCGTCGAGCTTGATCTTCCCGAGGTGCACGCGGAAAATCTGATCTCGACCTTTGATGTCCGGGCGGTCCACGGAGATCTGACGGTCGAACCTTCCCGGGCGCATGAGCGCGCGGTCCAGGATGTCCGGTCGGTTCGTCCCCGCGAGCACGACGACGCCCTCCTTCGATCCGAACCCGTCCATCTCGACGAGGAGCTGGTTCAGCGTGTTCTCTCTCTCGTCGTTCCCGCCCATCATCCCGCCGCGGCCGCGTTGCCTGCCGATGGCGTCGATCTCGTCGATGAAGATGATCGAGGGCGACTGCGCCCTCGCCTGCGCGAAGAGATCGCGCACGCGGCTTGGCCCGACGCCGACGAACATCTCCATGAAGTCCGAGCCGCTGATGCTGAGAAACGGCACCCCGGACTCGCCCGCGGTGGCCTTGGCGAGGAGCGTCTTGCCCGTACCGGGCGGGCCCACGAGGAGCGCGCCGCGCGGAATCTTCGCGCCGAGGTCCTCGTACTTCTTCGGGCGCTTCAGAAAGTCGACAAACTCCATGATCTCCGCCTTGGCCTCGTCGCACCCGGCGACGTCTTTGAACATGATCTTGTGCTTGGCGTTCTTATCCAGCGTGCCGATGGTCGCCTTGCCGACGTTGAAGATGCCGCCTGAACCGCCGCCGCCCATCCCGCCGCCCATCCCGCCGCCCATCCCTCCCATCCGTCGGTTCAGGAACACGATCCCGGCGAGGAGAAGTAAAGTGGGCGCGAGTCGCATGATCTCCGCGCCCCACGCCACCTCGTTCAGATACGTGATGGGCACGTACTCGTGCGGGTCCACGCCCAAGATCTCCTGCGCCTCCTCCATCTTTCGCTCGAACGAGTCAAGCGATCCGATGTTGAAGACGTACTTGAGCGCGGCGCCGCCGTTGGGACCAGGTGAAGACGAGGAAGAAGACCCTTGAGAGGGTTTCACGTACACGTTCGCGCGCGTCTTGTTGGACACCTCCACGCGTTCGACGAGGCCTTGCTCGAGGAGCGTCGTCTTGAACTCCTGGAACGAGATCTCTCGGACTTCCGACGCGGCGGCGGACGCCGCGGCGTAAAAGAGACCGAAGAGCGCCACGGCCGCGAGCTGGAACCATAACGGGTTCAAGTCCCCGAGGGTCTTGGGGCCCTCGCCTCCGGAGGAGCCCCCTCCGCCGCCCGACGACGACGATTCTCCGCCATCCGCCTTGGACGAGCCGCCCGTCGCCTCGTTCGCCTTCGCGCCGCCGCCGCCGCTCTCGCCCGCGTCCTTCCCCGCGACGACCGGCGTCTTCGCGGCGTCGCCCGACGTCTTCGCGTCGCCTCCGCCAGTCTTGGGCTGGAAGTTTTCCCACCCCGAGCCGCCGGAGCCGGAGCCGGAGCCTCCTCCGACTTTTTTCTCGTCGCCCGCCTCGTCGCGCGACGACCGCGACGCGTGCGCGAGCGACCGTCGCGCGAGGAGGAGCTCCGCGCGGACGACGTCCACCGCCGCGCGTGCGCAGACCGCGGTAGGACTACCGACGGCGGCCGCCGCCGCGGACGGGATCAGCGCGCGGACCGCGGCGGCGGACGCGACGTGGAGCCCGCGCGTCGCGTCGACATGCATGGGACCGGGCGCGACGACGCGCGTTCGGAGGAGTCGGCTCGCGAGCGCGTTCGCGCGCGCGGCGGGACGACGCTCGAGCGCGTCGCGCGCGAGGCGCGCGAGCGCGGCCGCGCGCTTGCCGGAGGGCGCGAACATGCTCGCGGACGCCTCTCTCGCGGGTTCCGACGCGCGCGGACGCCGCGCGCGCCCAGATCGACCCCGCGGTGGTTTGAACCCTTCTTCGAGGTCTTACCCTCTTCCAGATATCCCGCCGCGAAGGATGAAGTTCCGCCGCGCGACGACGCGCGACGACGACGACGTCGACGACGACGCGGCCGCTCCGCGCGAACGGCGGCGCGACGGCGACGCGTGAGGCCGTGCCTCGAGGAGGCGAGGACGGGCTGGCGCGATGGACGCCGCGCGACGCGCGGGTCGTTCTGGCGAAGAATGGAGAGCCGGAGAGGGGTGACGTGGTCGGTTCGACGAGAGCGAGAGAGCGAGAGCTCGACGACTCGACGACGACTCGCGAGCTATGAAAACCAACCATCGCGCGCGATCACTCCCCGCGCGCGCGTCGATGCGGTCCATCGCGTCGTCTTCTGTCATCCTCCGCCGCTGCTGCGCCGCCCAGCGCGTCTCCGTACCCTCCACCTCCTCGCGCCGCGTCGCGTCCGTCCGTCCCGCCGCCGCGCCGTCGTCCGCCGCCGCGCGTCGTCGACGCGCGATGACGACGACGACGACGACGACGATCGCCTCCGCGTCCGCGGCGTCGTCGTCGTCATCGCCGCTCGCCGGCGACGCGAAGACCGCGTACGACGCCCTCGCGACGCGCCTCCGCAAGATGTCCGACCTCGGCGCGATCGAGGCGACGCTGCAGTGGGACGAGCTCGTGATGATGCCGGACGCGGCCGCGGAAGCGCGCGGCCGACAGAAGGCGGCGCTCGCGGAGCTGTCGCATCGCGAGGCGACGTCGGCCGCGCACGGCGACGCGATCGCCGCCGCGGAGCGCGCGCATTCGGGGGACGGCTGCGCGTGGCGCGCTGCGGTGATACGCGACGCGCGGAGGGACTACGACGACGCGATCCGGCTCCCCGGCGAGCTCAAAGCGCGCGAGGCGACGCTCGGGGCGAGAGGCTACGCGGCGTGGGTCAAGGCGAGAGAGAGCGACGATTGGGATTCGTTCGCGCCGACGCTCGAGGAGCTCGTGACGCTGCGGAAGGAGATGGCCGCCGCGTGCGCGGACGACGGCGTGGAGCCGTACGACTACTGGCTCGATCAGTTCGAGCGAGGGATGAAGCGCGAGCGTCTGGAGGAGATATTCTCGGTGTTGCGCGCGAGCCTCGCGCCGGTGATCGCGAAGACGCTCGAGGCGCCGAAATTGGAGCATCATCCCGCGCTCGTCTCCGGGACGTTCCCGGAGGACGCGCAGGAGCGATTCTGCCGCGCGATCGCGACGAAGATGGGGTTCGACTTTAACTCCGGACGGCTCGATCGCAGCGTGCATCCGTTCACCGGCGGCGTCGGGCCGATCGACGTGCGCATCACGACGCGGTACGACGAAAACAACTTCATGGACGCCGTCATGGGGACGATACACGAGGTGGGGCACGCGCTGTACGAGCAAGGTCTGAACGCGGAGCAGGACGGGCTGCCCGTGCAGCGCGCGCTGAGCATGGGGATCCACGAGTCGCAGAGTTTGTTCTGGGAGCGGTACGTAGGGCAGAGTCTTGGATTTTGGCGAAGCGTGTTGCCGGAGTTCCACGCGTCGTTTCCGCGGACGAAGGAGGAGGGGGTGACCGCGGAGGATCTGTACCGGTACGTCAACAAGGCGTCCGCGGGGTTCATTCGCGTGGACGCGGACGAGCTCACGTACAGCATGCACGTGGTGCTGCGGTTCGAGATCGAGCGCGCGATCTTCGCCGGGGAGGCGTCCGTCGCGGAGTTGCCGTCGCTGTGGCGGACGAAGATGCGCGAGCTCCTCGGCGTCGTCCCGGATACGGACGCGCTCGGGGTGTTACAGGACGTGCACTGGTCCGACGGCTCGTTCGGGTACTTCCCGTCGTACACGCTGGGCGCGATGTACGCGTGTCAGTTCCACGCGCGCGCGAGGGAGGAGATCGAGGGGTTCGACGCGCTCGTGGAGAATGGGGACTTGGCGCCGATTCGCGAGTGGCTGCGAAGGAAGATTCACGCCGTCGGGAGTCTGCACCCGTCCGCGGACGAGCTGTGCGTCGCCGTCACCGGCGCGAAGTTGGACCCGGAGGTGTACGTGACGTACTTGCGCGAAAAGTACAGCGCGCTGTACGGCGCGTAGGGCCCAGGGGCCGCGAGCGACGCGGCGTGAAACTCCGATGCGAGCTACGAAGGTACTGACGACTTCGTACTTCAATACTTCCGTTATGAAACGGCTCGCGACGTCGTCCGCTCGCGCGCCGTGGCCTCCTCGTCACGCGCCCGCCGCCGCCTTCGCGCGCCCGCCGCGTCGAGGCGCGTCCACCAGCGTCGCCTGCCCCCATCCCCCCGGCGGCTCGAACCCCGTCGGCGGCGGCGGTTCCCTCTCCCTGGCCGCCGCCTCCTTCTCGCGCGGCCGCCGCGCGCGCATCAGATTCTCCACTCGCGCGCGCCTCGCGTCGTCGTCCTCGCGTCCCCACGCGTCCGGTCGCACGAGCGCGCCCACCACCCGCAGCGTTCCTCCCGTGGCGTCGTGCGATGCGGAGACCTTCACCTTCGTCGTCGCGACCTTCTCCGGGGCTTCCCACCCCCCGGGCGGCGCGTACCCGTCCGGCGCGTGCAGGTCCGGCCCGCGTTGGGGCACTCCTGGCGCGAGTTCGCCTTTGACCCAGCCGCGCTCTCGGCGCGATATCGCGCATCGTCGCGCGTGCGTCGCTCGGTGCGCGTCGCGGCACTCGCGACCGCAGTACTCCGCTTCGCCGCACCTCGCGCATCGAAAGTGCGGCCGCTTCGCGTTCGGCGGCTCCAGCGCGAGGCACACGACGCATCGCCCGTCCATCGTCGCCGCGACGGGGGGGCGGGGCGCGCGGGAAGCGCCGTGCCGACTGCTGTGACGAACACGCTCGCCGAACGGCGCTGATGAGGGCCATTCCATACAAAAACAGTGCACCGGTCAGTTGAAAGGGGGAGCGATCAAATGTTGAAACCGAGCGGTGGGTGAAAAACTTTTGTATAGAACGCACCTCTGAGAGTTGACCGTTTAATGCGTGGCAGCGCGTCAGGTCGAATCCAAACGACCGAACCGCCGCGGTCGTCGCGCACCGCACAGCGTCGTCGCGCGGTCCGTCCGACGCACGATGTCCGCGCCAGCATCCGCGGCCCCGTCCGCGCCCGCGTCCGTCGCCGCGCCGCCCACGCCGGGCAGCGTCGCGCCGTCCGCGGCGCCGCCGCCGGAGCAGCCGTCCGCGTCGATTCCACCGATGCCGCCTCCGCCGCGTCCGCCCACGGGGACTTTCGCGTACCCGTCGATGCCGGCGCTGCCGCTCGGTGGGCCGCCCCCCGAGGTGCTCGTCTCCCCGGAGCACATGCACGCGTACGCGGCGAACTGCCGGCGGACGCTGCACTACGCGGTGAACGGCACGCTGCTCGCGAAGCGCGACCACATCCTGCATCAGATTGGGCGCCTGCGCGCGAAGATGCTCGAGGTGGCGCACGTCCGAGGGGTAATGGAGCGCGACATTCAGAGCGAAGCGAGCGAGGCGCTGCAGAGGCTCGCGTCCGCGGAGGCGCTGAAGCAGATGAAAGTCCAGCGGGAGGTGGACGAGCTCGCGAGGCACGCGGACGCGATCAACGTCCTCGCCGCGGAGGTGGAGGCGGTGACGTCCGCGCCGGACGCGATGTCGTCCGAGTTCCTCGGACGGTACCGGGTGCGAAAAGTTTCTTTCGTCTGGCGCTGTCGGTTTTCAAATCGAAATCGAAATCGAATCTCCCCCCCCGGGGCTGCCGTCCCGTCCGCTGACGCCATCCCCCCTGACGTCATGCCCGCCCGCGCGCCCTCCTCCTTCGTCCGCAGGCGATGTACGACGCGTGCGACCGCTTAGCGCGACGATCGCTCCCGGAGCCCGCGGAGGTGAACGCGCTCGACTTTGAACGCGAAGCGCGGGTGTACACGGCGGCGTCGAAGGAACGCGACGCGTTGTCGCGTCTGTTGGCGGTGAAGGATAACATGATTTGGACGTTAGTCGAGGAGCGCGACGCCGCGAAGGAGGAGCTCGCGGACGCGCAGCGGGAGATCGATCAGCTCAAAGAGGAGCTGGACGAGATGCGAGCCGCGGCGGGGCAACACACGGTGGTGTACGCGGAGGGCGCGGCGAGTGGGGAAGCCGCCGAGTTGAACGAAACCGCGCACGTCGAGAAGGCGTGAGGTGCGTTCTATACACTGGTCCCCATACGATCGCGTTGGCGTGGTGAACGCCGATCCTTTAGGACTTTTCCCGGCGTTTCTCTCCGCCCAGGGTCCCACGCTTTCAATCCCCGCCATCGACGCCTTTCAACTCCAACTGACGCCTTTCAACTCCACCCCGACTTTCGCTTGTATAGAACGGCCCTGAGCGAAGCGCGAGCTTTCGCTTTCGCTCGCGAAGCGAAGAGCGAAGGCTGGCGTCGCGACCCTGCAGGTCCCGCGCGTTAACTTATATCGTCGATAGTTCCATCCCATCGCGGGCGGAGAGCGGAGACGCGAGCGTAGACGTGAATGTGTAAAAATACGTAAGCTCGTTCGCCCGTTCCGTTCCGTTCCGTCCCCGTTCGTTCCGCGACGTCCCCCCGCGCTCCCTCCCCCGACCTCCCCCCATCTCGTTCACTCGTCGCCGCCGCCCGTCGACGCGCGCTTCTTCGACGCGCGCCGACGGTTCATGAACCATATCTTCACCTGGTGCGACGTCAACCCTACCCGTTCGCCGATCGCGTCGCAGTCGTCCGCGCCGGGGTTGGTCTTCCCGCTCGAAAACGTCCTCTCGAGGCTGGCGCGCGTCTCGTCGCCGAACCGCGAAGTTTTAGTAGACTGTTTGCCCGCGGGGGTGTTGCTCAGCCGCCGCGACTTTGGCGACCTCGGCGAGGTCGGCGCCGCCGACGTGGACGACCGCCGCCGCTTCTTCGACGCCGACGACGGCGTCTTCGCGCGCGGCGCCTTCTTCGGTCTCTTCCCCTCGCCCGTAGTGACCATCCCCGACTTCGGGGACGCCGGCCCCCACCCCCCTCTCCTCTCGTCGTCGAACTCGCCCTCGAACGCTTCCCCGTCGCCGAACATCTCGTCGTTCAGCTTGCGGTAGTCCACCTTCGCGCGCCGCCGCTTCCCCACCACCACCTCGGGCTCGTCCCGCAACGCGCGCTCGAGTCGCCGCCTCGCCGAGTCGCCGCCCGAGTCGTCGTCCGAGTCGTCGTCCGAGTCGTCGTCCGAGTCGTCGCTCTCCGACCGCCCGCTCCCGCTCAGAGGCTCGTCCTCATCGTCCTCGCCGTCGTCGCTCGCGGCGTCGGCGCCGAAGTCCTCGTCGTCCTCCTCGTCCGACGGCCACTCCTGCTCCATGATCCCGCCGCTCACAACGCCGCCGTCGCCCTTCTTCGCGGCCAGGGTTTCGTTCTCCTGCCCGGGCCCCTCCTTCTTTACATCCGCCTCCGCCTCCTCCGGGAACACGTCCGCAAACGTCGCCTTCCCCGCGTCCAGCTCGAGCTCGAAGTCCGCGTTGAGAGTGTAGAAACAGTCCACGCGCGCGTCGCACAGCGCGCACAGCCACCCCTCGTCGCCCTCCGGGATGTCCTCCGTTCGTACCGGAGGGACGCAGCACCGTTGATGAAACCCGCGGTCGCAGAACCCGTCGCAGAGTAAGATGTCGTTGTCGTCCGTGCTCTCGCCGTCGCCGCACGCGCAGCAGAAGACGTCCTCCGCGTCGAGCTCGCCGTCCTCGTCGGTGATCGCGTGAAGATCTCTCGCGCCGTCCATGGCGAGGTCGATGTGTTTGAATAACTCGCGCACGCGGAGCTTCGCGTTGAAGATTTTGATCTTCGCCTTTCGAATCTCCTCCGCCGGTCGCAGCTTCTCGCGCGACGCGCCGCGCCAGCCGTCCATGTCGTACGCGTCGATCATCGCGTTGAGCTGGCGGATCGCGGACAGCTGCGAGTGGATCTTTCCTCGCGTGCGCTTGTACTGCGAGGAGTGTCCAAGGAGGCGAGATGTCGGGGTGGGAGGGACGCGGTGAGTTGGCGAGACGACGCCGACGAGATCGATGCACGGCGCGACGGAAGGAAACGACGAGTCGCGTCATCGCGAATCCGACGCGAGCGCGCGAGGGAACGGACGGCGGCGGCGGCGCGCCGCGGAGGACCGAGACCGACGCGCGAGTCGATCGCGACGAGCGAAAGGCGCGCACCTCGCTGACGTCATCGACGTTCGCGCGCTTGCCGTTCTTCCTCGCGCGTCGTCGACCGCCTCCTCCCCCGCGCGTCGTGTTCGCGTCCGAGGCGACGTCGTTCGAGGACGATGCCGCCTTCTTCTTCGCGTCGGCGGCCGCGCGCTTCCTCGGCGCCGGCTCGGGCGTGAACGCGACCTTCGCGACGCGCTTGCGCTTCCCGAAGCCTTGTCCGCTCCCTCGCGAGGCGATCCTCGGCGGCGTGTTCCGTCCCAGCGGCATCGCGACCGAGGGCGACGCCGCGCGGAGCCGTCTGTCGCGCAAACCCTCGCGCGATCTCGAAAGTCAAACCAGGCACCGCCGCTGACGAAACGGCTGCGGCGAGACGACGAGCAGAGCGTGACACACAATTCGTCGCGTCGCGACGGGGCGTCTTCACTCGCCCGCGCGGCGTCCTTTCGACCCCCCACCGCACCCAACCTTAACCCGTCGCGATGAAGGTCGTCGTCATCGGCGCCGGCTTCGGCGGCCTCGGATGCGCGCGCGCGCTGTCGAACCCGCCCATGGCGGACGTGGACGTGACGATCGTTGACGCGAAGGACGCGTTCACGATCGGCGGCACGTGGGAGTACGCGTGGAGCGGCCGCGTCGCGGACGCGGACACGACGTGGAAGCTGGAGGACGCCAAGGCGAACTTCCCGGGCGTGACCTGGAAGCTCCGCACGAGAGTGGAGAAGCTCGTGCTGTACCCGTGGGACGACTCCAAGCTGCGTCACCTGCTCCTGAGCGACGGCGAGGAGCTGACGTTCGACGTCCTCGTGCTCTCGCCGGGCGTCGTCGGCGACGCCGCGGCGATACCGGGGATGTCCGACACGCTGGACGTGTACGCGCACGACTCGATCGCGAAGCAGCGGCGTGACCTCGAGCGCATGATCGCCGCCGCGAAGGCGCGGCAGCGAGCGCACGACGCGGACGCGGACGCCGATGAAGCGGGGGCGAAGAAGAAGAAGAAGAAGAAGGGAAAGCTCGCGATCGCCATCGGCGCGACGCCGTACAAGTGCCCCGTCGCGCCGTTCGAGGTCGCCTTCATCGCGGACGACGCGTTCCGCGCCGCGGGGTGCCGCGACGAGATCGACATCGTCGTGACGTCGCCCGTGCCGTGGCCGCTGCCGGACCCGGCGAAGGAGATCTTCACGCGGTTGATGCTCGAGAAGGGCGTCGAGTACGTCCCCGAAAAGAAAATCAAACGCGTGACCGACGACGGGCGGTGTCTCGAGTTCGACGACGACGATCAGATCGCCGCGGACGTCGTGTGGTCGGTGTACCCGCAGATCGCGCCGCCGTTCATCCACGCCGCGGGGCTCGCGGCGGGCGGGGGCAAAGGCCCGATCGGGTTCGTCCCCGTGGACCCGAGGACGAACCTCATCGGTCCCATATCGAGCGGCTGCGAACTCGCCAAGGAGGGGCTGCGAGACGTCTACTGCGTCGGCGACTGCGCGTCCGTCGTCGTCGGCGGTTTAAACCCGAAGCCGCAGCCGAAGGCGGGCGAGTTCGCGTGGCAGATGGGTGAGATGGTCGCGCACCGTATCTTGAAGACGGAGGGGTACGCGCACTCGCGCGTGGGCGCGTGCATCGCGGAGTGCGGCGGCGGCGGCGGCGTGCTCGTGAAACCGGATTTCACGGAAGCCGTCGCGGACCCGGGACTCGGCGCGGTGCGCGTGAGCGTGGAGGAGAAGGCGGCGCCGGAGGGCGAGGACGCGAAGATGGCGTGGGTGAACAAGTACGTCGAGTTGATCTTCGGGGGGAAGGGGCGGGCGTTCGTGGCGGCGACGAAGGCGGCGTGAGCGACGCGCGACGACGCGCGAGAGAGAGGCGAGGCGCGTTGTTATTTACCTCCCTTTGACCCGCGCTGCTTGGCTGCTGCCGCCGCCGCGCGCGCCTGATCACTGAAAAAAATCTACAGTACAACTGTAACTGTCCCGCCCGCACTACGATTTGAACCCGCCTATTCGACTCCCGCCGCCTTCGCGGCATAACGCGCGACGGCACCGCCGCGCGGGTCGAGGCGGGGACTTCGACTCGAAGCGCGCGACCGCGCGGAGACGGACGCGGCGCGTTCGAGAGGACGTCGTCTCGGGTGGGCGTCGTTCGTCGCGCGACGAGGAAGAGAGAGGGCTTTTCGACGGACGACGGTCGAAGCCGTCCGCATCTTAGCCCGCCCGCGGAGTCGCGTCGGGGTCCCGCGTCGCGATGGCGCTCGGGGCGCGCGACAGCCCTGGCGCGCGCGAGGTCTCCGCGCACGACGCGACCCTCACCGACGAAGTCCAGAAGCTCGTCTACTGGATCAACTCCCTCCCCGGGAAGCGTTGCTTGCTCGCGAGCAAACCGAAGCACCTCAGAGACGGCGAGTGCATCTGCGAGCTGACCGCGATGCTCCTGGGCGCCGCCGCCGCGGGGGGACGCCCGCCGTCCAAGACGAGCCCGCTGAAGAAGCAGAGCGACGTGGACAGGCTCGAGCGCGCGCTCGATCGTCTGTGCACCGACGCGGGGCTGCGTCTGAGCGGCGTCGGCGCGGGCGACGCGCGATCGCGCGTGCTCCTTACCATCTCGAAGACCGCCGCGCGCATCGCGCGCGGGGACCCGGAGACGACGCTGCACGTCCTGAACTTCCTTCGCACGGCGCTGAAGCACGAGGCCGCGATCGCGGACCCGAGCCTGAGCGCGGGGAATATCCGAGAGGATCGCGCCGCGCGCGCGACCGCCGCGGTCGTCGACGATCGTTCCCGGCGACGTGAGTTGACGGCGACGCCGACGGCGGGGGAGCCGGAGCCGCGGAAAACCTCGCGACCGACGTCGCCGGCGTGGCGCCCCGCGGGGTCGCCTCGCGTGGACGCGAGCGGCGCGATCCCGCCGGAGTCGCCGTCGCGGCGAGCGCTGGAGGCGCTCGAGACGCTCTCGGGCGCGGCGCGCGCGCGGAGCCCGAGCGCCGCCGCCGCCGCCGACGCCGCCGCCGCCGCCGCCGCGCCGCCGCCGACGCCGACGCCGCCGAGCGCGTCGAAGCGCCTCGGCGATCTCGCGAGGTCGGTCAACGGCGAGGAGGACGACGACGACTCCGCGTCTCTGAGCGAGTGGAAGCGGCGCCGCGCCGCGCCGCGTAAGAGCCGCGTCGAGCGCGAACGCGAAGAGGAGGAGGCGACGTTGGAGAGCCAGACGACGCGCGCGAGGGACCCTCGGTCCTCCTCCTCCTCCTCGGCGGCGGCGCTCGCGGCCGCGTCCGTCGCCGCCGCGCGCGCGAAACGCGCGGAGGCGTCGGAGCAGCGACCGTGGAGCTACTCGCGCACGACGTACGCGTATCACCACCAGCCGAGCCCGACGAAAAAGGGCGAAGGGCACGGCGGCGCGCCGTCGCCGCCGCCGCGGGTCGCGCCGCCGGTCGGTCGCCTGTCGTGGACGGGACCGAGCCAGACGCGCGCGAGTGTCGCGGCGCCGCTGTCGAAGGAACAGAGGGACGTGCTCCTGTGGCTTCTGAAGCTCGGGCTGGACGTCCCGGGCGCGAAGACGACGCGAGGCGGCGACGTCGTCCGGCTTCCGAGCGCGACGGAGCTGGAGAAGGAAACCTCGAAGGGGTTGCTCCTGTGCGACCTCGTGTCGCTGCTCGAGGGCGTCTTCTTAGGGACGCTCATCGCGCGCCCGAAGCACAAGAAGGAGTCCATGCACAACGTAAACAAAGCGCTCGCGGTGCTGCGACGCGGCGGGAAGATGCCGTCGACGTTTCTGTGGAGCACGACGGACGTCGCCGCGGCGGATCCGCGCGCGGTGTGGGGTCTCCTCCGCGACGCGAAGACGACGTACGGGGGATCGAAGCCGGGGAGACGGAAGATCCGGATCTCCGACCCCGGCGGGTCGACCCCGCGGCGCGTCGTTAACGACGTGAACGCACCTTTCGCGTCGCCGACGAGGCGGACGTCGAAATCCCCGGGGAGGTCGAAGAGCGCGTCGAAGAGCGGGTTTCTTCACACGACGCAGCAAGTTCGGAGCGCGGAGAGAAACTTGCGTCGCGAGCTCGACATGGAGCGCGAGCTCGCGGAGCTGCGCGGGCACTTCGAAGGCCTCGGCGGCGCGGGGTCGACCACCGCGAGCGGCGCGTGGCGACGCGCGACGCCGAGGAACGCCAGCAACGTGTCGACGCCCGTGCGAGAAGCCGCGGCGAAGGTGGCGGCGAAGAGAGCCGCGGCGAAAAAAACCACCGGGCCGTCGCGCGCCGCGTTCGCATTTGACGCCGACGCCGCCGGCGCGCGCGCCCACGCCGCGCGATCGCGATCCTCCTCCTCCGCGCCGCGCCGCGCGTCGATGCCGTCGCGCCGCCCCGTCTCCCGCCCCCCGCGGTGCCCGTCCGCGGACGCGTCGGCGGCGCGGAGACCGCCGTTCGTGAACAGCGGATACGTCTCGCCGAACGCGCGGCGCGTGCTGTCGCCGCCGCGGTCGCGGTCGCGGTCGCGGTCCGCGTCCGCTCCGAGAGCGCGCGCGAACTTGTTCGGGGGCCGGTATGACGCGGCCGAGGGGAGCGGGGATCACTCGCGGTCGTCCTCGCCCGGGAGGCCTTCGTCGCCGATGGACACGTCCCCGGATGGCGCGCCGCGACGCGCGTCGAAACCGGCGGAGCCGCGTCGGAGCGTCGCGGAGACGCGCGCCGCCGCCGCCGCCGCCGCGGGGAACGTCCCCGTGGTCTTCGAGTACAACCCGGGGCCGCCGCCGCCGCAGCCCGGGGTGCAGCAGCGCGACGACGAGGTGAGGGAGTGGCTCAAGTCGCTGCGGTTGGGCGTGACGCCGCGCGAGGAGGCGGCGGAGCTGCTCGCGAACCCGCTGCGAAACGGCGTGCTCCTCTCGGACGTGATGACCGTCCTCGTCGGCGCGCCGCCGTTGGGGCGGCGCGAGCGTCGCCCGCGGACGCTCACCGCGGCGCGCGCGAATGTAGAGCGCGCGCTCGTGCCGCTGCGGACGATGCCGGACGCGATCCCGCCGTCGTTGACGTGGTCGACGGAGGGGACGTTGAAGGGGATGCGCGAGAATATTTTCGGATTGCTTTGGCACGTCAAGCACGCGGTCCCGGAGCAGGCGTCGTTCGCGCGCGCGCCGACGACGAAGCTGAAGGCGTCGCGTCGGTCGGCGCCGAGCTCGCGCGGCGCGTCCGCGCCGGCGTCGCCGCGGACGTCGACGGGTAACGCGCACGGCGCGACGGTCATCACCCCCGGGACGACGATCGACCCCGCGGCGGTTTTGGAGGGGTTCGTCGATGACGCCGTCGTGACCGGCCCGGCGTCGCCGATCGGCCCGTCCGCGCGCCCCGGCACCGGCAGTGACTGGCCCGCGGCGGAACCGGACCTCGCGAAGACGTCCACGCGCGTCTACCAGTACGTCCCGATCCCCGCGAAGGCGGCGAAGAAGCGGACGAAGAGGCCCTCCGAGCCCCCGACGGCGTTCAACGCGGTGGACCCTCGCGCGGGTCGCGCGGTGAGCGGATACGAAGCCCTGCCGTACTCCGACCCGGACGTCAAGCGCCTCGAGAGCTCCATCACGCGGTGGCTGCACGCGATGGGGTTGCTCCCCGACGGCGCGCTGCGCGCGTCGTTCGCGGCGCTGTGCCCCGAGATCGCGAAGGGCGTGCTCCTGTGCGACTTGGTGGAAGCCGTGGAGGGCGTTCCCGTCGTCGGCGTCACGAGGAACCCGAAGACGCCCGCGGTGGCGGAGGCGAACGTCCGACGCGCGTGCGAGAGGCTCGCGAGGCATCGCATGATGTGCCGTCGCTTCTTGTTCAACCACGCGGACGTCGCCGCGGGGATACCCGGGATCACGTTGGGCCTGCTCGAGGACGTCCGAGCGTTTTACGACGGCCTCCCGCCGCGGACGGCGACGCCGACGTGCGAGCACTGGACGGAGATGACCCCGTACGCGCCGTCGGAGCCGCGGGCGGCGCCGTCTGGGGAGGCGCCGGAGATGCAATTCGGCGGGCACGGGGTCGGCGCGGGGGCGACGGCGTCGCCGCCGCCGTCGCCTGGACGCGTGCTGCGACGCATGGCGGAGGCGGAGCGAAGCGGCGCGCGCGAAGAAGAACGGTGGAACCCCGCGGACCCCGGGGACCCCGGGGACGTCGACGACGACGGCGACGAGATCGCGTCCACGGGGTCCGTCGACTTCGCGTCGCGCGCGGCGATGTCCCCGCCGAACGGCGCGACGACGACGTCGTCGTCGGACGTGTTCGGGTGGAAGGCGAGGAGGGAGAACGAGGACGACGACGGCGCGGACGTCGGGTCGGCGACGCGCGATGCGTCCGCGGCGCAGGACGAGGCGCTGAGGAACCTGTTCGGCGACGCCGAGGACGAGGTGGACGAGGGCGAGACGCCGCCCGCGCGGCCGACGCGGATGAACGCGGCGATCGACACCGCGGCGAGGAAGGCGGCGGAGGCGGCGACGCGTCTGGACGCCGGCGATGAGGAGGAGGTGGACGACGACGACGAGCTCGACGCGCCGCGGTATTCGCCGTCGATCCCGACGCGCCCGACGCGGATCGGCGCCGTCGGCAGGGAGGACGTGTGGCAGTCCGAGAGCTTCCCGAGGCGGCGCGCGAGCGCCGCGGAGGTGGATCGGAACAGGGAAGCCGTCAGCGCGAGGAAAGCAGCCGCGGAGGCGGAGGCGGTGCGAAAGTCGTACACGGAGGCGGCGGCGGCGGAGCGCGAAGCCGCCGCCGCCGCCGCCGCCGCGGCGGCGGCGGAGGCGGAGGCTGCGCGCGGCGCGGACGCGATGAAACCCCCGGTGAGTCGCGCGAGCAGGAAGAAACCCGGACCCGGCGACGGCGCGTCGACGCGCCCGGCGACGCCCGCGAGCGTCTCCTCTGGAGGGTTCGTCGCGACCTCCGCGACGGCGGCGCGCGCCGCGTTCCGCGCGCGATCCGCGTCCCCCGCGCGGCGGCGCGAGGACGAGACGCACGGCCGCCCGCCGTTCAGCGTCGCCGCGAGCGCGGACTGGGGACCGTTCTCGAGCGCCGCGAAGAGACGGCTCGCGTCGTCCGCGAGCTCGAGCGGGAGTCGCGCGGGCGGCGCGGGAGGAGGACGGACGCCCTCGTCGTCGTTCGATCCGGTCCGCCGCCGCCTCGCGACGCCGTCGACGGCGCCGCCGCCCCGAGAGAGCGCCGGGAGAGTCAAAGTCAGCGGCTGGAGCGACCTCGACGTCGAGGCCGCGCGCATCGCGCGCTGGATCGACTCCCTCGGCGTCTCTCTGCGACGCAAGGGCACCGCGCTGGCCGCGCTGGCTCCGACGGAGAGCGCGCTGGAGGCGCTGTCGGGGTCGCCATCGCCCGCGGCGGAGCTCGCGGAGGCGTGCGGCGACGGCACGCTCCTGTGCGAGCTCGTCTCCGAGCTCGAGCACGAGGCGATCAAAGGCGTGACGTGGGACCCGAAAGCGCGCGCGTCGGAGCTGCACAACGTCAAGAAGGCGCTCGCGAAGCTTCGCGACCAGCCCGCGATGTCGCCGATGCATCTGTACTGCGAGAAGGAAATCGTCGCGCGCGACGCGTCCGTCGCCGTCGGGCTTCTCGGCGACGTAAAGGCGTGCGTGGCGTACCAGCGCCGCGTCCAACGCACGCCGAGGAGCCGTTGATCGATCGATCGAACGACGTGGTTTAGTTCGTTCGCGACTCCTATTTATTTCGCTCTATTAGTTTCTAATACTACGCCTCCTCGTCTCCCGCCGCCGTCTCCTGCCGCCGTCTCCTGCCGACGTCTCCCGCTGCCGTCTCCTGCCGCCTCCTCGTCTCGAACATCAAGTCCGTGCGAAGGATGTACTTTGGCGCGGCGCCGAACACGGGCGACCCCTCGTGTAGCATGGGCTCGTACGGGAACGGCCTCGTCTCCCCCGGCCGCGCGACGCGGTGCGGGAAAAAGAGCACGTCCCCGAGCCCGCCGCGCACGCGCGCGACGCGCTCGAACAGCGGCTTCGCGCCGTTGCCGACCGCCCACGTCTTCCCGCGTCGGCTGGTACTCTTTTGATCGCCATCCCCATCTTGTATCGGGCGATAGAACGTCGTCGCGCCGCCCTCGTGCGCGTCGCCGTTGAGGTACACGACCACCGTGTACGCGCTCGCGAGATGCGCGACGCCGTCGGTCTCGGTCGCGATCTCGCGCGTCGAGTGCTTATCGTAATGCGGCGGCGACGCGGTGCCGGGGAGATACCGATAGCACCGCAGCGCCGGGGAGAACTCGAGCCCGGGCGCCGCGAGCGCGGCGTCGCCCGCGCGCGGCGGCAAATGCGGTCGGCACCGCGCCGCGATCGGCGCGAGCGCTCGCGCAGCCTCGTCCTCGTCGGCGAACCACGCGGGCTCGACCGGGACGAACTCCGCGCCGTCGACGCCCGCGGTGGCGGAGATCAACGCGAGCGGGTCGCGCGTCGCCGATGCGAACGTCGCCGCGACGTCGCGCGTGCGAATCGCGCGCGCGGCGGCGGTCTCCCTTCGCGGCGCGTACCCCGTCACGGAGCCGGACGTCACCGCGGCTATCGCGGACGCGAGCGCGACCGGCTGCATCGACTCCGCGGTGGACGCGAGCGCGGCGCACGCGGCGGCGTGGACGACGCCGCGGAGGACGAACGCGCCGGGGACGCCGGCGACGTCTTCTCGGGTGATTTCCCCGGGCGTAGGGTTTCGCGGGTTAGGGTTTGGGGGTGGTTTCGGCGCGTCCTCGCCGTCCTCCTCCTCCGCGCCGTCGCCGTACCGCGCGCGAAGGAAGCTCCACTCGCCGTGCCGCGCGTGAGGCGTCCGCGCGGGCGGGGCTTCGCTCGCCTCCGCCTCGAGCGCCGCGACGTCGGATCGAAACGTTTCGCCCGCGAGATCTCTCGGCGCGACCTCCGCGATCCCGTCGCGAACCCTAATCCCATCCGCGACGACGATCCCGCACGCGTCGAGCGCGTCGAGCGGCACGCGCGCGACCGCGCGCGGGTCCGCGCCGTGCTGCAGCAGCGCGCGGTACATCTCGCGCGCGCGCGAAGCGCCCGCGCACTCCGTCAGAATTTTCCTCGCGCGCGCGTCCTCCTTCCACGCCTCCTTCCGTCCCGCCTTGTCGCTCTTCGGCAGCGCGCGCAGCGTCGCGGCGGCCGCCTCTCTCGCCGCGAGCGCGTCTCGCTCCGGGGCGATCCGCAGAAATAGCGCGCCCGCGATGTGTAAGGGCGTCAGTCCGAACCCGCCCGCGGCGCCGCGTTGGTTCACGCATACGTTCCCCTTCTTCGTCGACCGAAACGCCTCGCCGTCGAGCAACGCCTTCACGACGTCGAGCTGCGCGTACGCGACCGCGACGTGTATCAGCGCGCCGCCGCCGTTATCCTGACACGGGTAGTACGGATCCTCGGCGAGTATCGCGCGAAGGAGGTCGACATCGCCGGTCGCGGCGGCGGCGTAAAAGGTCACGGGCGGGACCCTCGGCGTCGCCGCCGCGGCGACGCGCGCGAGGCGCGCCCTCGTCGCCGCGTCCAAGTCCGTCTCGCGCGCGTCCGCGTCCTCCTCCGCGCGCGCGTCGCGCTCGCGCGCGGCCAAAAACGCGCTCAGCCGCGCGTCGCCGGCGAGACGCGCGAGGTCGGACGGGGCGAACCCCTCGTTGTCCGGCGCGAGGTGCGACGCGTCGACGAGCGGCGAGCGCGAGCGTTCGACGCCGACGCCGTCGCCGTCGATCGCGCGCGCGTCGTACCCGAGGAGCCACAGGCACACGGCGCGGTTCCCTCGCTGCGCAGCCTTGTGCAACACGCTGTGCCCGTTCGCGTTCAGAAGCCGAAACGTCACGCCTAACGACCGGACGTATTCGCACGCGGCGAGCGTCGCGTCGTCGCCCTCGTCCTCGCCGCCGCCGCCGCCGCCGCCGCCGCCCTGAACGCACCACATCGCGGCGTTACACCCGAACGCGTTCGTCGCGCCGTACGAGCAGTCGCCCTCCTCCGCGAGCCATCGCATGACGCGGACGTGCCCTCGCCAGCACGCCCACGCGAACGCGGTCGTGCCCTCCCCCGTCCGCGCGTCTACGTCCATCCCGCGCGTCTTCACGAAGTACTCGCACACGTCCAGATGGCCGTTCCGCGCCGCCCAATGCAGCGCGGTGCGGCCGTGATACGCCCTGCGGCCTCTCTGCGACACCGTCTTCGGGTCGATGCCGCAGTCTTCGACGAGGAAGCGGCACGCGGGAAGGTGCCCGCCGCCCGCGGCCCACAGCAGCGCGCAGCTGCCGTGACGATCCGCCGCCGCCGCGGGGTCCCATCCGTTTTCGGCGACGAGCCTCCGTAACGTCTCCACGTCGCCTCTTCGCGCGGCGTCTAAACCGGGGTCCGAGAGCGCCTCCACCTTGCCCGCCTTGACGAGCGCGTCGAGGGCGCTTCCTCCGTCGCCGTCGCGCGCGGCTTTCAACCCGGCGGCCAGGTCCTTCGAGTCCTTCGTCTTCGTCGGAGACGCCGCCGCCGCCGCGTCGCCTGCGTGGTGAAGCGATCGGTCAGTCGAACGTCTTACCGGTCAAACGTTGAAAGGGAAGCGCGGGTGAAGAGTGACGACGGGAAAAGTCCTTAAGGAACGGCGTGCACCACGCGAACGGGGTCGTATGGGAAGCAGTCTCACCTCCGCCGCCGTCGCCGCAAACGCCGCCGCCGTCGCCGCCGCTCGCCGACCCTCGCTCGTACACCCCCGTGGACAGCGCGTTCCGCTCGTCCTCCACCGCCTCTATCGCGGTCGCGTGATGCAGCCCGTGTCGCGTCTTCTGATGCCACCACAGCGCCCTGTCCCCCGCGACGAACCGGCCGCACGACGCGCAACGCATCATGCCTCGCCGTCGCATCTCGTCGTATTTCGCGCGCGTGGTGAGGTGCATCACGCCGCTGTCCCCCGGAGACGCGCGCGCGTCGACGAGGAGCTCGGCGCGCGCGCTCGGGGGGATCGCGTCCGCGATCGCGGTCGCGAGCTCGCGCGGCGTGAGGCGCTTCTCGACGCCGTACGCGGACGTCAGCGCGACCGTCTTCGTCTTCGCTCGCGACGACGACGACGACGATCTCGAGCGAGGCGAAATCTCGCCGCCGCCGCCGCCGCGGCCGGAGCCGGGCGTCGACGCTTCGCCGCCGCCGCCGCCGCCGCCGCCGCCGCCGCCGTCGCCGCCGGCGGCGATCGACGTCCTCTGCTCCGCGTAGAGACCCCAAAACAGCGCGACGGCGACGTGCGACTGCAGGTCGCACGCGTCCGGGGACGCGGACGCGCGGCACCACGCGTTGGACGCCATCGATTCCGCCGCGTCCGGCGCGCGCGCGAGCGCGGCCGCCGCGTCCGCGTGTATCTCCGTCGCCGCGGCGAGCAGCGCGTCGCGGAGCGCGGACGTCGAGGTGGCGTCGAGCGCGCCGACGCCGCGCGCGTCGGCGCCGGCCATGCCCCTCGCGCTCGCGTCGTGTCGTCCGAGGCTCGAGGACAGAGCGTATTTGATGCGAACGGTGGAAACGCACACTTCAGCAGTCGGCACCGAACCGGTGACGATGACGCGTCGCGAGGAGACGACCGAAACGAACCTACGTCGTGGCGCTGACAAGACGTCCATCGAACCTACGCGCGCGACTCGACTCGACTTACGCGCGCATGACGCCGCCGAGGTACGCGCCCTTCTCCTTCTCCTTCGCGCCGACCCCCCCCGGCCCCTTCCTCGGCGCCGCCGCCGACGCGGGATCCACCTGAAACACGAGCGTCTTCGCTTCGCCCTCTTCCACGTACGCGTCGCACGCCTCCACCGCCGCGCCGTCGTCGCCCCCCTTGCCCTTCGCGAGAAGAAGCGACTCGTGCGGCAAGGTCTTGAAGTGCGTGTACCCGGGGAACTCCCCGGGCGCGAAGTCCAACGACGCGCGGTAGACCAGGCCGCACCTCGCGGCGACGCCGACGACGTTCCACGACGACACCCCCGCGTCGGCGGACGCGACGGCGACGTGAATCTCGCCATCCGGGACCGACACGAGCGCCCTCGCGCGAAGAAAGAACGCGGTCAAGACGTCCTGGTTCGCCTTGACCGCGAGGCTACCGATCGTTCCGACGCCGCGGTCGGGGAAGTTGAACACGACGCGATCGAACGCGACGCGCCCGCCGCGACCGCCGCGATAATCGTCGTCCCCGCCCCGGTTCCCGCCGTCCCCGCCCCGGCCATCCCCGCCGTCCCCGCCCCGGCCATCCCCGCCCTCCCTGCTCCCTCCGCGCTCAAACTCGCCTTTCCACCACGCCCTCGCGACGCGCTCTAACGCGCCGTCCTCCTCGACGTCGATCCCGAACCGCACGCCCGCGCCGGACGCCTCCAGCGCGTCCACCACGTCCGCGGCGTCCGGGTACGCGTCGAGCGCGAGTCCACGGCGATCGAGCGACGTCGCGAGCACGTTCGCGCCGTCGCCGTCGAACAGCGTCGCGAGCGACAGCGCGAAGGAGAAGTCGCCCTCGCCGACGCACAGGATCGTCATCCCGGCGTGGTAGCCGTGCGGGAGACCGGTCTCGGCGGCG